AGGGTTGTGTAATGTTTTTGATGATGTAATATGCAGTTGCTAGGCAGTGTCAAGCCACTCATGCAAGCGGCTGTGCCTGCATGTATACTTTTGTACTGGTCATGCAGGACTTATGCGCCTTGCTGCAACCTGCTGTGCCTGCATGTATCCTTGAGGGCTGTAAATGATGGGTGTCAGTGCCAGTCATTATGTAGAGTGTGAGAGAGTAGAGCTATGAATAAACTGTAAGTGGCTAGTAAGGGTATTTTGAGCTGTAGAGTTTGATTCTGTAGAAATATAGAGTGATGACTAAAGAGAGAAATAGAGAAAATAGAGATATAGAATGATAACTGAAGAGAAAAATAGAGAAAATAGACTAAGAAAGAGAAAATGAATAAAATTTTTATTCTAGCAATATGGTATACCATAAAGCATCCCACATCCTCCCCTAACTTATTGTCTGTCCCCAGACAATGACTTAGGAGAGTTACTGGTATTCTTGATTGAGTCTTATTGATGGTGTGGAACTACTCTTGGGAGGAATAGAGCTTGAGAGGGATGAGTGCTTTATTGGGCTGCCTCTCTGATAACAAGAAAATATAAGAGTATGGACTCTTAAGGAAAGGTGTGGCTTTGGAGATTTCTTGAGGATGGTATGTCTAATATGTCTTATGTTTACTAGTCTAAATATACTTGTTCACAAATCAAGGTATCCCAAATGTTGATGGGCAAATACCTGGCTAATAGTGGGTGATCAGTTATCTGAATTGCTGGGGCAGGATCTGATGAGGAACAAATGAAGGGGAAAAACAAAGCTCCTTATATACAAAATTCTGGGGAGTGGCCAGCTTGTGGTTGGAAGATATTTGGAACATTCTATGAAGAGTATGAAACAAGGGAAAATATTTATCCAGGGAAAACAGGGGAAAAAAGCAGTGGGAAAATTCTCCCAAGGCTACTAGTATGAAACAACTAAGGGGGGAATATTCCATGGAAGGAGATAGGAGGAAATAACTGTTTCATGGATCAGGGGGATTGCTACTAGTGTGGAACACAAGGGGTAAGAAGAATATAATATGTTTGGGGGGGAATGAGTTCCAGGGCTGTGGAGTTTCTGTCTGGGAAATATTATTATCCATGTGGTCTGTGCTTGAGAGGATTCATGATTGGTTTTGGGGGTCTGGGGAGCTTTCTGGGGTGTCTTGATCCTGTGATTCCTCTGTGATTTGTACTCTTGATAACTTTGAATTTTCAGGAGTGGCTTACCACAATGGTTGAAGATGTTACTTTATTTTTGAAGTGCCAGAGGTGTTATTTCTTGATTTTGTGTTCAGGAGTTCTGGATTTTTATTGCCGGTGTGGTTGTTGTTGTGAATTTGAGTAGTTGTGCGTTTTGTGGTTTGATGTTTGTTGATTCATGTTGATAACTTGTTTTGCGGTGTTTTAAGATAGCCTTCTGAATTGTGTTTTGTTGAGATTTTCAAGTTTGATGATGTTGAGAATTTTGATTTTATGATGTTGAGTTTCTTTTTTTTTTTCTTTTTTTTTTTTTTTTTTTTTTTTTTTTAAGTAAGAAATGTTTGATGAAAAGACTTGAAGATTTTGAAGCAGAGAAATTGATAAAGTGTGAAATTTTTAGTTTTATTCTTTGTTTATGACTGGTAGGGGAGGTGGTTAACCAGGGGTGGCTTCCTTCCCCAACTTTTGAAGGAAAAACAGCCCATTTTTAATATTCTTGTATATGTTTTTTTTGTATTTCTTTATTTTATTGTATTATTATTTTGTTGCTGAATGTTTTTATGTTATTTGTTGTTGGTTTGTCCTCAAGCAAGTTTTTTTTTTTTTTTTTTTGGGCCTTAATAAAAAAACACGGTTTTTCCGCGTTTTGACGCGGTTTTGATGCGCCGCAGCACACGCGGTTTCCGCTTTTAGACGCGGTTTTTTAATTGATTTTTTACGGCTTGTTTTTTGAGTTTTTTCAAAATTTTAAAATTTATTCCTACACTATGAAAGGTGTAGAATTTAATGGTAAAGTCCATTTTCCATAAAAATGAATTTTGATTATTAATTATTTTTTTTCCACTTATTTTTCAATTAATTGTTTGCATGCATGTATGTACCTTATTTTTTATGCTTTTGTGAAATTTTAAAATTATTTCCTAGGTTTCAATGTGTGTAGAATTTAATGGTGCAATCCAATTTTTTTAAAACTGTACGGTTCATTTTGAATACTGAAATTAGACCCATTTTTTCACTTAATTTTTTACAGCTTAATTCTCATCATTTTGTGACATTTTAAATTTATTTCCCACACTTTAAGACATGTAGAAAATGATGGTAACAACCATTTTTCCCCAAAATGAAAACTATACCTTGAATGCCGCATTTGACACGTTTTTTTTTAATTAATTCATCACTTTTTCACTTAATTGTTTGCATACATGTGTGTACCTTATTTTCTATGCTTTTTTGAAATTTTAAAGTTTTTTCCTACATTTAAAAGTGTGCAGAATTTAATGGTAATATTCAATTTCCATAAAACTCAATGGTTCATTTTGAATACTGTGATTAGTCATATTTTTCAATTGATTTTTAACAGCTTAATTTTCATTATTTTTTGACATTTTAAATTTGTTTCCTACACTTTCAAACATGTATAAAATTATGGCAACAATAAATTTTCATCAAAATGAAAACTATATCTTGAATAATGCCTTTGACGTGTTTCCTGAATTAATTCTTACACGCTCAATTATCCTTATTTTTTGGAATTTCAAGCTCATTTCCTACACTTTTAAAGGTTTCAGAATTGATGGCTGTATCTATTTTGCATTCAAATAAAATTTGTATATGGTACAAATTATGCAAGAAACAGGGTACGCTCATCTATTAAGATTGAAGCTTGTATTTTGAGTGAAATTGGACTTCACCATTCAATTCTAAACATTTGTAACTGTAGGAAATAAATTTAAAATAAAAAAAATGCTTAAGATCAGGCCGGTAAAAATCAATCAAAAAAATATTAAAAAAAGCCTGTCCACTGCAGTATTCAGTAACAAGCGCTGATTTTTATGTAAAATGGTTGTTACCATCATTTTTATCATGTATTAAAGTGTGGGAAATAAACTTAAAATGTCAAAAAATAGTGAGAAATAACATGTAAAGAATTAATTGAAAAAAGTGTCTAGTTTCAGTATTAAAAATGAACTGTTGAGTTTTAAGAAAATTGGATGTTACCATTAAATTCTACACACTTTTAAATGTATGAAAAAACTTTAAAATTTCAAAAAAGCATAGAAAATAAGGTACACACATGTATGCAAACAATTAAGTGAAAAAGTGATGAATTAATTAAAAAAAACGTGTCAAATGCGGCATTCAAGGAATAGTTTTCATTTTGGGGAAAAATGGTTGTTACCATCATTTTCTACATGTCTTAAAGTGTGGGAAATAAATTTAAAATGTCAAAAAATGATGAGAATTAAGCTGTAAAAAATTAAGTGAAAAAATGGGTCTAATTTCAGTATTAAAAATGAACCATTGAGTTTTAAAAAAATTGGATTGCACCATTAAATTCTACACACATTGAAACCTAGGAAATAATTTTAAAATTTCACAAAAGCATAAAAAATAAGGTACATACATGCATGCAAACAATTAATTGAGAAATGAGTGAAAAAAAATAATTAATAATCAAAATTCATTTTTATGAAAAATGATTTTTACCATTAAATTCTACGCCTTTTATAGTGTAGGAAACAACTTTAAAAATTCAAAAAAAGTCAAAAAATAACCCATAAAAAATTAATTACGAAACCGCGTCTAAAAGCGGAAACCGCGTGTGCTGCGGCGCATTAAAACCGCGTCAAAACGCGGAAAAACCGCGTTTTTTTATTAAGGCCCTTTTATTAAGGCCCTTTTTTTTTTTTTTTTTTTTTTTTTTGTTTGGCTTCTATAGGGGTTTTTAGCTCTTTGCTTGTTTGATTTCACCAGTTTTGTCTGACTTTTCCTGTTTTTACCTGTTTTTATGAGGTTTTGTCATGGGTTGTGGGTTTTACTCAGGGTTTACCTGGTTTTATATGGTTTTTGCCTGGTTTTGCCAGGTTCTATTTTTGTTGAACCAGTTTTTGTCTGGTTTTGCCAGGTTCTATTTTTGTTGAACCAGTTTTTGTCTGGTTTTGCCAGGTTTACTGGTTTTTTACCGGGTTTTGTCAAGGAAACAGCCCAAAAGCAACCTGTCACAGGTTGCGGGCTGTCTGGAGCCGCAGTCGCGCAGTCGCGCGCCTGCGCTCTTCCGACTCGGGTTTGGAGGGATATCCTCTGAGTCTGGACTCAGAGGTTACATATACCTCCAAGTCCTACATCGTCACCGCCACCTCGTCTTCCCGTCTTCTCGTTTCTTCGATCGGATCGACCATCGTACGAGTAAGTCGTCTGATTTCTCTTTTCCTTTCTTTTGTTTAATCGTTTTCTTTCCTTTTTGTTTTTATATACTAAGACTAGTTTTTTATTTATTTCTGTCTTTTGACAGATCTTCTTGTCAGGTCACTTGACCGATGCGAGGGGCACCACTTGGGCCTCACCCAGGCTTCAGGCTCCCAACCGCTGCTTCTCATTGGTTGGAACTGGAGCCTACCACTCCAGGCAAATGGGATCGCCGTGGGTCACTCTTTGAGGCTTCGGGCCGAGCGTTCAACCGTTCTTCCTGGCTTCTCTTGGTCATTGGCGTGGTCCTGGTCTATACCAGCAAGAAAAGAAGAGATGAAGGTATAAAAAACTGCCCCTTCACCTCACTTTCTTTCCTCACCCAGCATCCAATGCCCCGCCCCTCTACTCCGTATCCTGTTTTTACCCGTGCTCAATCATCTTCTGCACCTATGATTGTGCCTACCCACCCGTTTCCGGTGGGTTACCCTTTTCTATTAGTGATATCTAAAAAACATTCAAGAACTTTGTTGGCTGATAGTTTTGTTTACATTTTTGTCCCGTTGCGCTTTTAGACTGTCAGTGACAGGTCCACTATGGATGAGGATTACTCCTCTGATTTCCCAGTTCCAAACGCTTCCCCGGCTGCGCCGTCCTCTACTGAGGCGGTGAGCATGGATCTTGACTTGATCGTTGAGGCTCCGGCTGCTCCTACCATCCTGGCCCCTGCTCCAATCTCTTCTCCTCGTGTGGTTCCAGCTTTTCGCATCCGAGGTGCTGCCAACGCGGCACCCCACTCATCCCCTACTCCATTGGTTCCTGTGAACCAAAACGGAGGAGGTGCTCGCGCTCGAGGCCGCGCCAGAAACCGTGGTCAGGCGCGCGGCCGAGGTTTGGATCCAGTTCGGGTTCGTGGTCGTGGTCGTGGCTTTGTTCCGGCTCCACTTTGTGGTCGAGGTCATCCTTCAGGTAGCAATAGGCTTCCTACTGGACCGGTAAGCTTTTGTTCTTTTCGTATCCTTGATTATGAAACTAGTCTATTAATCAATTGTTGTTATTTGTTCTAACTCTAGGTTATCTCGAACCGAGCTGTGGTTGGGAGAGGCGCTACCCCTCCTCCAGCTCCCCGAGGAAGTAGGCTTCCTACCCCGCAACTCAGTCCCGGTGGTCCATTCAATCGTCACGGTTCCTTGACTTCAGCTGACAACAGCTGGGTGGAGCCTCACGTGCGCACACGCACCCGAGTGCCTTCCCCAGCTCCGTTTGGCTTCTACGACGTTGATGACTACCATCGATTGGCGCCCCATCAAGTGGCCGCTCTCCTCGATCGCCGTCCTGACTTTGGCCGGTACGATCAACATCAGTTCGCACCTCAGCTTTACACGGCCTTCTATCAAGATGTGGCCTCCGCTCTCGTTGGTCATTTCACTCGCCACCCCGCCGCCAATACTTTCGAGCGCGAAGGTCGAGTTGCGCTTTTCAGGTTTGTCGGCCGCCGCTACAGATCCGCCCTACGTCGTGTGCCTACTTAGTTTTAGTAAGTTACTCTTCAGGCTTGGTATCTGTCTTTTGTTGATATTGTTACTGATTCTTGATTTTCTTTTTGCTAGTTACTGCCTATGAATGGACAGTTCAGTTTCCAGGGGTAAAATCTTCCTAAAACCAAAAACATCAGTAGAAAATACTTGAACCTAAAAAAATTTGTATAACTCAAAAAAACCAAAAAAAATTGTATCTTTTTAAGTTTTTATCACTACCTCAAATTGTCTGGTTTTTTTGCAATCTACCTCCCATACCCCTCCCCCAACTTAAAAGTGGTTGTCCCCAACCTAAGAAGTGAGAGCAAATCTGGAGAGTGAGACACAAAAATGACACTGAGTCTAAGAGCCATTTAAAAATTTAGTTGGCCATCTTGAAGGAGTTGTCTTGGTTAAAAAAAAGTGCCTGCAACAAAAGAATAAGATATTCTTTGTTGAATATCTTCTTGTTATTTTATATAACAGCAATTACCTTGAGTTGTATTCTGAAAAAAAAAATGTAAGTGTTGCTAAAAAAAATTCTGAGAGACGGAAAATTTAGTTAGTGCTAAAAAATGTTATACTTATACCAATTTATTTTTATGGGATGTTGAATGTTTGTGAACAGTTTAGTCTCATGCCCGGGAGGTAATCAGCATGATTGGGAATTATGATCATCAGATCCTTCTTGAGAGCCTTCATCCATGGAGCTAGTTTGGCTTCCTTCCGAATTGCTCCCACTTTCAGGGTCCTCCTCGTCTTCCGTAATTTCATTTAAGCTGCGTCCTCTAGGATAAAATCTTTTGATATGAGATGCTGCATATGAGCGGTTTAACTCTGTCCCATCTAATTCCTCAAGTAAGTAAGATCCTTTGGGTAATTGTTTCTTGATTTTAAATGGGCCATTCCATCGATTGGCAAATAACTTTCCCCATTGGTCCTCTAAACTTTTGTTGTAAACTAGGACAAATTCTCCCATGCTCAAAGGCTTTCGTAATCTTGCGGCCATTTTCCTATCCCAGTATCTTACAGAATCTTCTCTTGATTTGATCAATTTTTTGTGAGCATCTTTCAAAAGTACGTCCCTTCTTTCTAATTGCAAGGTCCTGGCTTCTAAGAGTTCTACTGTTGATTTTATTTCTGACCAATCAATGCCTAGATATGTATCCATTTCCAGGTCCACTGGTAATACAGGTAAATGTCCAAATACTAGCTCGTATGGGGTAAACCCTGTTGTTCGTTTAGTTGAAATTCTGTCTGAAAATAATACTAATGGAAGATATTCCCGCCACTTTCCGCCAGATTCTCCACATAGTTTAACCAGTGCATCTTTAATTGGTCGGTGTCCACGTTCAATCATTCCATTAGCCTCGGGATAGTAGGGTGTCGTGAATTTTAGGGTAGCCCCAGTTTTCTCAACAGCTTCAATAAAATCTTCTTTAAATTCTGCGCCATTATCCACAGTAACTGATTTGATTGAACCATATCTGTATACCCAGGACTCCAAAAGGAATTTGGCCACGTTGCTTGCTGTAAGTTTAACTAAGGGTGCTGCTTCAACCCACCCAGACAAATCATCCCGAGCCACAATCAGATATTTATATTGTCCTGCCTTGATGTGACAGGCGTCTAAGGCTACACGTCCAAAAAGATAACTGTCACCAGTAGCATTCCGGATTTCTCTTGGTACCAGGGGGTCTCGTTTCTGACATGCTTCACAGCTTTGTACCCATTTCTTGACCTTCTTCTTCAAACTTGGCCACCAAAATCTGGTTACTAATTGCTGGTATGTCTCTTCAACTCCTCTGTGCCCTAATTCTTCGTGTACCTTCCTGAGCAGTTTATCTTGATAGGTGTCTTTGGATATTACAATCTGGGGTGCTGGTGAGTGTTTTCTCATAAGTCGTCCGTCGCTGCTGAAAAAGCTTGCTGATTTTTGTCAAAGTTTCGCAAATTCCACTCTGTCCATCGTGACAGGTTGTTCCAGGGTTTCCAAGTAATGCCGAAGTTCCCTCCAGTATCCTGGTGCCTCCCAGTCTTTCATCTCTAATATTTCTGCATGAGAACAGATCTTAAAGGTGTAGCAGGGTTTGACTACTGGTGCTTCTTCGTCAAAATCTTCTTGGTCCTGGTAAAATTCTTCTTCGTCGCTAGATATCGGCCTTCGTGAGAGTCCATCGGGTAAGGTGAATGTTTTTCCTGGTTTATGTACTATGTCAAAAGAAAATAATTGAATGAAGGCCACCCAACGCGTCATTGGTGCATTGGGAAGGGATGGGGAGTTGATCATTTGTATCAAGGACTTTGCATCCACTTGTAGTTCAAAATGTTGACCCCAGAGGTAAGTCTGCAATTTCTTCAATACCATTGATACTCCACATAATTCCAATTTGGGCTGAGAATATCTTGATTCCACAGGCAAAAATACTATTGATTCATAAAGTACTGGTCGATCCAATCCGGTTTTGAGTTTGTTTTGCATTAATACTGCTCCTGCTGCAATAAAACTTGAGTCCACTGCTAGCTTAATCAGTCCTGCGTCCTTCGAATAGTCAATGCTTTTGAGCACAATATCTTTTCCAACAATTTCCTTTAGCCGCTCAAATGCTTGGTCACAACTCGTACTCCATATCCATTCTTTCTCCTTCCGGGTAAGTTGTCTCAATGGGGATGCAAGTTCAGACAGGTTTTGTATGAATATTTGTACGTAAGTGATTACGCCTAAGAATCCTCGCAGTTCCGTAAGGTTAGATGGTGTTGGCCAAGTTAAAATTTTATTTCTCTTTTGACTAGAGACTCGTCTTCCCGTGTGGGAAACCACATTTCCTACAATGTCCAAAGCTAGGACACAGCAGGAGAATTTCTTGCCCGATACTGTGAGTCCTGCCTCTTCAACCCTGAACAATATGTGTTCCAAAGTTATTGTGTATTCCCATATAAAACGTCGGATTCCGGGATTTTCTGATAATACTTGTCCTCCGTAAGTTGATCGTGGTCCTTTAATTCCTCCATCGTCAATGAATACCCCGGCAAATTCTGGGATCTCATCTTGCAGAATCCACATCATTTGAGCCTGGTAAACTGCCACCAAATTTGTTGCGCCTTGAGGAAGCCGGGTGAGTTGAAATCGTCCTAGTGGGGTGTCAAAGGTTGTGAGTGGTCGTGATTCTTCAGCTAATTCCCGTTGATCATAACCTCCCATGATGTCACCGAGACCATAGCAAGCCCTCCCTGCAAAGGATTCAATAAATTCCTCAGTTGCAGGAGGCAGCCCTGCATCTTTGATTGTTACTTTGTTCATCTCCTGTAAGTCATGTACAATTCTCAGCTTTCCATCATGTTTGGCCACACAAAATACTGGACTCGAGTAGCTTGAAGTTGATTGTTTGTATAAACCAGTCCGAACTCGTTCCCGTACCAATTCGGCGTATTCGCCCTTGATTGCTGCTGGGATTGGGATTGGTTTCTTCTGCCATGGTATGTGGTCAACCACCAGGATGACGGAGGGTAAGCCATATGAGTGTTTCAGAAGTCCTCTTTCCGCAGGGCAAAATGCTAAAGCTTTTTCTCGTAGCACAATAAGATGTCTGAAAAGTTTAATTTCTTCTGGCCATAGCCATCCTTCAGGTCCAAAGTTTATTACGCCCAGCCGTTGTTGCGATGAGCAAGGGAGAGAAGAACCCAAAGTTCACGGTTGACAAACCTGTGACACTTTGTGAGTGAGAATGTAATGGTTCTGATTCACTGGGGGGAAAAGCATGGTGGACAATCTAGTAGACTATATACAAGATTGTTGTTCTCTGGTTAGAAGCATACTACAATAGTGAATATAAGCATACTATTCCAACACACCCCCTTGCTGAAAACCAGAACTAAAATAAAAGAAATAGTTGAAAGCTACTGAGGTTGACTAGCATAACTACTTTTATGGGAACAGAATTTAGAAATAAAAATCAGGCCAGAGATCCAGTGGAAGAGAGGAGCAGGGAAAAATCGTGACAATTGATATACTCCTGGCCGCCAGGAGGAATTAGCCGTCAGGTCGTGCCGGAGTTGCCTTCCCTACGAAATTAACTGTCTTCTACTTTGGGGTCTATCCCCACACGACGTCGATTTCTGGATCGAAGTCGTCCTCTTCATCTTCTTCATCGCTAGGACCTCCACCTCCAAGTGGGACCGCTGATGTGGCGCCGGCTCGTGCCTCAATATTGTTTGCTCGAGCTTTGGATCGGTTCTTCAGGGGAGGATTCGGACAAACCGACGAGTGATGACCGATCTCGCCACATCTCCAACAGCCGGACTTTTTCGGTTTCGTCGCCGCAGCAGCCGCAAAAGCATCCGGACCATTGTCAAACGATACTTGCGTTGACACTTCGTGCGCCTCAAGCGCCCCAATGGCGTCATCGAGGGAGATTTCCGTTGGTGAATAGACCAGATGATCCTTGATCGTCTTCCACGAGTCGTCCAGACCACGGAGAAGTCGATCACATATTTGTTGATCTGCAGGAGTCAATTTAACCGACTTGAGGTCGGAAGCGGCATTGCAAACCTTTGCGATGTATCGGGCTATCGGTTGACTGGGATCATGACGTGCACCCCAGAACGAATCTTGTAACATCATTCGTCTCGTGCGGGTGTTCTTTTCATATGCGTCGCAGATAGTCTTGAACAATACATTGACCGGCTTGAGATCCTTGTACCTGATTGCTAGATCGATCGAGAGCGTCATTTTTAAGGTCGCACGAGCTACATCCAAGAGTGTATCCCAATCAGTCCCAGACTCTTCGGCAAAGTAGATACGCTGAGAGCCCTGCGTAACGGGTTTAGAATCCTTGTCTTTATAATCGCTTTCCGGTCGAGCGAGCTTGCCAACAACGATATCGTGCACCCCCTGGATGGCGAATAGTTCCTCGAGTCAAGTGCGCCAAGCTGGAAAGCCGACCGAGTTCCCGTCTAGAACCGGAACGTTCCCGATGAGAGCGGAAGGGTTTTGGGTGGTCCGAGCTGGCATCTTAGTGAGAAATCCAATACGAGGTCGACTACAAGTGTCAAAAAAGATGTTGAGTTGCGAGCAGGGTGAGCGGATGGGCCTCATAACCTGTTGCGATGAGCAAGGGAGAGAAGAACCCAAAGTTCACGGTTGACAAACCTGTGACACTTTGTGAGTGAGAATGTAATGGTTCTGATTCACTGGGGGGAAAAGCATGGTGGACAATCTAGTAGACTATATACAAGATTGTTGTTCTCTGGTTAGAAGCATACTACAATAGTGAATATAAGCATACTATTCCAACAGCCGTTCCTCCGTAATTTTCTGCGTTGGTTGAAAACTAGGTGGGTTTGGTGATAACGGTGTTTTGTAGGGGTCTCTTGATAACTGAGGTCTCTGCAAGGGTGGGTTGATTGATTGGGGCATGGCTTGATTTACTGGTCGGACTTTCTTTGCAACTGGTTTGTATTTTGTCATACACCACAAGTTGTCCTCCTTCCAGTTTTTACACATATCTTTTTGCACTGTGCTGCCCAAGCCATCCACCAGCAAGCTATTAATTCGTAAGTCCTCGTCTTGGGTTTTTGTTACCAGAATCTGTATAGGACTTTTCTTCTTCTGAATTGGTTTCTTCTTAAATTGAACGCAGAATTTCTTGATCCATCCAAACTTTTTCATGACTTTGCGGGTTTTCGAAAGTTCTACCGAGTGGTCTGAAAAGTGGGATGATAATGTTGCCGACAGTGGAGCTTGTGTTTGGTAAGCATTGGAGTATGCTGATCCTGAAGGGTTAAGGTTCTTGAGTTGATTCCAGCCTCACCCTTGTCCTATTTTTGCTATAGGTACCGTGATCCGCCGTCCACTATTGCCTTGAAAAGATAGTAATTCTCCAGTGCCGGGATAATCCAGTGTACAATCGTAATCGAAAAGGAAGGGTCGTCCAAGGATGCAGTCTTGCGCTTGAGGTGAGACGAATAAATGAACTGGGCCAGTGAATCGGCCAATACTAATGTCACAGTTTTCTACCACCCCTTTTATATCACATCGATCCCCGCCAATTCCTTTCATTGGTATGTCAACTTCTACTACTTCTAAATCCAGGTCAATTGCCGCTTGTCTGGGGATTACATTGACCATTGAACCAGAATCCACCATAAATGGTATCTTCTTCCCTGCAATGTGAGTGTCAATGTATCCTAGCGCGCAACTATAGAAGCAGTTGTATTCCCGCTCCTCCTCATCTTGATTGAGCAGCATTGAAGCAAAAACTTTTGGATCGGTTTTGTTGTCTTTTACGTAGGTTAACTTGGAATTCTTGTGTTCCGGAATTCGTTTTTGAAGTTTCTTGATAATTTCTTGAGCGTATGTGGGCGAAATCGAAGTGAGTTGTGAAAACGTAGTTGGTATCTTTAAATTGTCCAATTCCGAGACTAGTGCTGATTCCGCGGTCTTGTCCCCTTTTTGTGCCGGTGTTTTTCCTTGAGCATCCGAGATTTGTCCCGGAGTTTTTCGAGTGGCTGGAATGTCTTGAACCAACTCTTCTAGTTCATCAGGTTGGTCCACGTCCATTTCCGAGTTGTCCTTTTCGGCCGGAGGTTTGCGTCGTCCACGGAGCGCTTCTGCTCGGGTTGTTGCTGTATTTGCTTTGAGTTTTACTTTTTCAAAGTTTCCGGACCCTAATCTGGGTGGGTCCCAATCGATCTTATGTAAGGATGAGATGTACTCATGTTCGCTGGTTGCAGGTGGTGATGGTAGTGGGGTTGAAAACACTGCAGGGTTCTCTGTCCTATAAACAGCGTTTATCGTGGGCTTAGGTTTCGCAGATTCCGCAGCAACTACAACCCTAATAGGTCTTGAAGTGTCCCAGGGAATCTTTTCCCCGTTTGGAAGACAGAAATCGCGCCCATCTCGTTTGACCAGCCCCGCCTTTTCATCTTTTTGGGCTTCATAACATACCTGAGTGGAATGTCCTTCTCTGTGACAGTACCAACAGGGTTGGGGTTCATAGAGCCGCCCAGCGGGTCGATCATTCCCTCGTGAGTATTCTGTTTTTGGTGGGTTTTCAAGTTTCCCAGTAAGAGTTTCAATGGCTTTTGCCAAATTATCAACCTGTTTTTGTAGCATTTCGGGAGGATTTTCCTCTACCATTTTCTCACGCTTTCTGCCATCACCTTTCTTCTGATCCAGGCTCCGCTGCATCATGTGATTGGCTTCAGCAAATCCGCTTGCTGCAAATGCATTTATAGATCTAGCTCGAATCTCATCTTCTGCTACATCAATAACATCGGCCAACAGAGGGGGTTTATTATAACCATCCTTTCCTGTGGGTATGAGGTCTGCTTTGACCAATTCTCTGTTGATGCTGGTTTGTACGTCTACTGAGAATGCTAAGAAAAACAGGTGAGAGACACTGGTCTCATTAATAATATGTTCGTTTCTGACTAAATACTTTGTTATCATCATGAATTTTGACTGATAAGTTTTAAAGTCGTTAATTGTTTTGACTCCACCTTTCTTCTGGCAGAAATCAATCAAATTATAAAGGTCCTTGAGCGTGTAACGGATTTTCTTGATTGCCCCTCCCCAGAGTTCCATCATGCTAGCTCGCAAGATTGTCCAGTTGCGGGTATCATAGCCGTCCATTGACTCTAATTCCTTTTTCAATTCTTCGCTTTTCACAAATCTACACACCTGACGTGCTTTATCAAAGCCGCCAGCACCGTATATTTCTGCTGCTAGCTCGAATCTGTCCAAAAAATCCTCAAAGTTTTCGCCATCGTACTTGAGGTCCGCTTCCTTGATGATAACCGCAGGTCTTGGCCTGGGTTCGTCCATTTCTTGAGGTTCTTCATTTTCCGCGGGCACGCCGTAAGTTCCATTTCCAAGGTTTCCTGCTGGTCCAGGTCGATTTCCACTTGAAGTGTTTGCTGATTGTGTGTGTCGGTTGATTCCATACGTCCTGTTGTGCCTTATGCGATTATGGCTCATCGGTGGTGGTGGTGGATCAATATTCATGTTTTGACCATTTTGATTGCCAGAGAATATTCCTGATGACGGTGGGTTGGTTGTTGGTAGGGCTCCTTCCAAATCTTGATTTTGTGAAAAAGCCATACCTGAGCTTCACTTATTTCAATTTTCTTTTTCTTTATCGAATGAGTTTTAATATCTGCCTAATAGTAGTCTTAATATCACTAACAAAAAACTAAGTTCTCTGGCGTTTCTATCCAGGGCAAGCTGAGGGGTTTTACTAAATCTATCAAAAACCAAATAATATGCTACTCCGTTATTCTTCAATTATACAGATCCTTAAAAAGTTGTCTTAGACTACAGTCTGCCCGCACAAGCTTATCGGCTACCACCTTGGTAGTTAAAATCTATATCCTACTACTTGTACGTCAGCTTAGCCGGTCCCTTTCGTCTTCTAATATAACTTGATTTTTTAAAGCAGTTAACTATTTAGTCCGACCCTACTAGGTATATATATGAACTTTATCGTAAAAAAAATTGGATTGAACTTTGCTTGTTCAGGATAGGTTTGTTCAGTTCTTCAAAACAGGTAAGTTTCCTGCCTCTAACTAACACACTTTTAACTGAAATACACTACTAGTTCTCACTATAGTGTTTCACAAATGTTTGATCCGCGTGCCAAACGACAGGATCCTCTATCACGTTGGGGACTCCCTTGTTAAGCTCAAAAGTATTCCTGAGAATCTTTTGCTGAGTGCGGAAAGGGATGTGTGAGGTTGCCTCTGCCTTTCCTGGTTCACTAGGCACTAAAACAAGCCCACCAATCTCAGATTGGCAGGTTTATTAGTGATAGTGGAGTGTTATCAAAAGATAACTGTTGCCTGAGCCGTGGATGGTATGCCGTGTAAGGTATTTATATGTAATTAATATGTAATGAAAGGGCCAAGGCTTCAACCAGGTGCAAGTTGGCTGAAGGGGCTCCAAAAATAAGGGGGAGGGTTATTTATATAAGTGTTGAGAGATGTGTAATAATTGTTATTTCAATGGTATGTATGTAAGTAAAATTTGTAAGAGAGTATAATAATAATGTTTGAGCAGGTGGGTAATGTTATAGGGGAAACACTGGTGCAGTACTCTGCTGAGGAAAAAGAAAAAAGATACAACTGAGGGGGAGGAGAGCCTCCTTATATAGAAAAGAGTGAGGTATTTTGGCCCCAAGGGGGACACTACATGAGGCAGTGTGACTAGTTACATGAGGAATACATATGCTGAATGGTTGGATGTGATTGGTCAGAATTGTGCAGCCTTGTGTGAGGTTTTCTGCAGGCTGAATGAGTGCTTGTGATTGGTCAGGATTTGATGTGTATTCTGCAGGGTTGTGTAATGTTTTTGATGATGTAATATGCAGTTGCTAGGCAGTGTCAAGCCACTCATGCAAGCGGCTGTGCCTGCATGTATACTTTTGTACTGGTCATGCAGGACTTATGCGCCTTGCTGCAACCTGCTGTGCCTGCATGTATCCTTGAGGGCTGTAAATGATGGGTGTCAGTGCCAGTCATTATGTAGAGTGTGAGAGAGTAGAGCTATGAATAAACTGTAAGTGGCTAGGAGGGGTATTTTGAGCTGTAGAGTTTGATTCTGTAGAAATATAGAGTGATGACTAAAGAGAGAAATAGAGAAAATAGAGATATAGAATGATAACTGAAGAGAAAAATAGAGAAAATAGACTAAGAAAGAGAAAATGAATAAAATTTTTATTCTAGCAATATGGTATACCATAAAGCATCCCACACCGTTCGAGAGGCTTAGTTAAGCTAGATCTGGCCACATGCCCTTTATTGGCAGGGGAGGTGGTGCCATGGACAACACCCACCTACGCCACGCTCCAGAAAGCTAACATTCTTTTTTTGTTTTACAAAACTTCTCAAGAGTACAGAAAGCAGGCCAAACCAAGCTATATATTCCAGGCCCAACCCCCCCCCCCAAAAAAAAAGCCCTCAAACATATGTACCATCATTGGTTTTTTTTTTTTTGGCTCATATTAGGCATCTTCATTCCATTTTAGCCTGATTTTTTTTTTTTTACTCACAGAGGATTTTGTGAGTAAAAAAAAGAAAAGAAAAAAATGTGCCACAAAGAAATCAGCCAATTTCCCCATAACAAAATGGAGATTACTCCATGATGCCAAAGTAGTAATGTTAGTAGAGACACTTGAGAGAGGCTTGCCGTGCCACTGCCAGCAACACACATCTAGTGCAACTGGATCACCTCATATGTCTCTCACTCTGGAAAACACAGGGCAGATATAGCCTTTGGCATGATGGAGGGGGGGGGGACAGAAGGATTGCACTTGTCAATCCACATTTCGCTCTCAATCACCAAACCCATACAATACATACCTATAAAAAAACCCCAGCCTGAACCATGGCAGAAGAAAAGAACAAGCTTCCAACAGGTTGCACATATAATAAGGACGAGTGATGTAAACCAAGAAAACAACGGTTAGATCCTAGAATTCCATTCATCATTTTTTTTTGTTTTTTTTTGGTTTGGAGAGAGCAAGAGAGAGAGAGTGAATAAAGGTTCAACATGAACCAATGAGCTGAATGGAATCAAATTGAATAGAATCAAAATCAATGAACCAGGAACAAAGGTGGAGTGGTGTGAAACAGCCACAACACCAAAATCCACACAAGACCAATACTCAAGCAAGAGAGAAGAACGAAGCCCCCACTCACTCACTCACTCAATCAATCAATCAATCAATCAATCAATCAATCAATCAATCAATCAATCAATCAATCAATCAATCAATCAATCAATCAATCAATCAATCAATCAATCAATCAATCAATCAATCAATCAATCAATCAATCAATCAATCAATCAATCAATCAATCAATCAATCAATCAATCAATCAATCAATCAATCAATCAATCAATCAATCAATCAATCAATCAATCAATCAATCAATCAATCAATCAATCAATCAATCAATCAATCAATCAATCATCTTCATCATCTTTGTCATCACCAGAAGAGTCCATCAAAAGACTGGGCCCAAGAAGACGATATGTAGATCTGATTTCTAAGAAAGAACGAGGATAAATTAGACTCACTAATAATGAAGAAAGATAGAGAGACAAGAAATGAAAAAAAAGAAAAAAAAAAGAAGGTAACACAACAACAAAGAAGAACCAATCAAAAAATGAAAATAAAAATATAAGCAGTAGCTAAAGAGCTATATATATATATGTATAAGGATATATCCATCCACGAGAAAAAAAAAACACAAAAGAAACAAAAGTGATTGACAAGAAAGTCCTAAGATCACGAAGCGGCGAGATTCTCGAGCGTGATTTTGCGCTTGGGAGAGGCAACGGCGGCGGGGGAAGCGAAGCCGGCGAAATGGCCGGAATGGTTGCGGAACTTGCCGACGACGAGGGTAGCGGCCTTGGAGACGAACCCGTCGGGGTTGGGATGGGAGGTAGACGAGATCGACGAGCTGAGAGGGGTGAGAGCGATGGTCGAAGAGGCTGCAGAGGAGGAGGAGGAGTTTTTGCGGAAGAAGGAGGTCGTTCTGGGCGGGAGTTTGAACGAGTTATTTCTTCGATTACTTGTAGCTGTTGTTGTTGTTGTTGTTGTTGTAGGCGTAGGATCAGGCGTAAGAATAGGTGTAGGATTAGACGAAAAGGAAGTGATTGTAGGAAGCGGAGAGGTAGGCGCCTGAGTTTCGCGGACGTCTTCGCGAGTGTAGCCGGAGGTATTTCCGACCGGAACTTCCGCAGCGCTTAGTGCCGAAGAACCCGACGGAGTAGAAGAAGAAGCAGAGGACGAAGAGGAAGAGTGTTGCGGTTGAGGGGGCAAGAGAGAAGAGCGAGCTTTGATCTCCTGATAAGACTCTTGCAAGCTATCGAAGAACTTGCTCATCCCACCACGTTGCTCCTGATTAGAAGATTGAAGAAGCGCAGACGAGCTGCTGCTCGAGTTCAGACGGTTCTTATTCGGCCCGGCATGGATGAGGTATTCGGGAGAACAAATCGACGAGCCAGCGAGAAGATTATTGGAAGGTTGAGTGGCAATCGGCAGAGGGTTGGACGAGGACGAAGCCAACGAGATAGGCGACGGGAGCGGATTGGGGCCAGAAGAGCGTAAGGCTCGAGGCGAGAGACTGACGAGTGCCTGCTCGAGTTCTTTGAGATTGGCCTCGATAGCCATTGAGGAGCTCCGTTTAGAGGCCCACAAGCCCGGCAACAAGAGTTCTTGGTTGTCGGGCACATCGACGGAGGAGTTGGAGGAAGTGGAGCCGGTGCTCGAGTGTGTCATGTTCGCAGGGTCGGTATCCGGGGAACTGGTACAAGACGAATGCGAGCCTTGCTCGTTTCGTTTATACCTAGAATCCGCCAGGTCCGGTCGATTGCTCACCTCTAGGGATAGCCCCGGTAAGGTGGTCGTCGTGGTAGTGCTGGTCAGGTTACCAAAGCCATACGAATGGTGCTGTGGGACGGGCTCCAATTTGATCGGCGAGGATAATTGGGCATCGATCTGCTCGACCAAGGATTGATGCTTGGCTTGGGCTTCGATCAAGGAGATTGCTTGCCGATGTTTATCGCTAACGATTCGACCACCAACTCTCCTACTCTCATTTCCCTCTCCGGGTGGTGAACTCTTTTCTCCCCTAGTTTCACTACTATAGAAAATACGTCCTGAATCGAGTGGGTATTTCTCGCTCGTCAGTTTAGTGGAATTGCGATAATCCTTTGATCGGTCTGGGGTATCAGTTGATTTGTCGAGAGCCAGTTGTGATCTACTCAAGTCAGACCCGGATAGCGGAGCAGGATCATCGAAGGCAAGAAAACTGTGAGAGTTATCATTTTGATTTCTGCTGCTGCTGCTGCTCAGCTCGGTGGAGCGTAGAGAGTTGTTGAAGTGACTGGTGGGTGATTCTTTTTCTAGAGGGAGGTTGGGGGAGGTAGATGATTGGGATCGTTGGGTGATCAGGTTAGGGAGTAGGAGAGGTCTAGAGCAGTCTGCAGAGACAGGCGTGGTACTCGACGAGTAATCATTCCGAGGAAGCTTGGATGATGGGTTAAGCCACTGTTGATACCAACGACCACTACTCCGAGAGCAATCGATGTCGAACTCGATTTTGCCGACGATCATTCCGGCGCCAATGCGACGGGGACGTAGGGAAGAGGCGGAATAGGAGCTCCCACGATCAGACATTGGTGCTGGATGATGGGCCGGGCGGATGGGCCTAGTCGATCGGAATGGGGGTCGTACCGAAGTGGGAGAGGTCGGCCTAGATGTGAGGTCAGCCGAGGAAGAGACTCTGGTTGGATTGATTTTGTTTGAGATGATTGAGGAATGGGAGTGAGCATGATGAATCAAGCGGTCGGCTGGATCAAAAATCATCAAGAGAAGTCAACAGGTCTGAGCTGAGGGAGATATGTAAGTGATTGATGCACTGACCCAGTTTGAAACGATCGTCGGTTCGTTGCCTTGAGGGGATACGTCGCTGGATAGTAGATGTAGTATGTGTATGATGGAGTCTTGGATCGTCAGATGATGAGATGGATGATGTCTGAGCTGGATGATTGTTGTGGGGGTGATGAAGATCTTGGGTAGATGGAGTGAGGGATGGACGATGGTGCGCAGGAGGGATCGGGAAATCGATGGCAGATCCGACGATATCTTCGAGACTACTGTTTAAGGCTTCCTCTTCTTCGATCTCCTCATGATCTTCATTCAGATCTGCTTCTGGGTTATTATTTGTATAATACTGACGTGAGGCTGGTTCAGAGTAGAGTTGATCCCTCTGAAGCAATTCCCGTTCGAATGCTTCTGCCTCTTCTTCCTCGAATATTCCAGACCAGAGTATATTCCAGGCTGCCTCGCTAATCTTGGGACCACCGACCTGTGGAGAAAAGGAGAGTGAGTGTTTTTCTTTTCTTTTTTTTTTTTTTCTTTTTTTAGAAATGGTCAGGAGACTTACCATATGTTTTGCTAGTTCGCCCAACTGAGGGGAGGCTTCGATCATGTAGACCATCATTCCGCCGGTTGAGGGTAAGCCATACTCTCGGGCGATGGCAGTCATTTGAGCGGCGAGTGTAGGGTAGAGGGGAATGAGGATCCCTCGGCTGGAGAGAGAGAGAGTGTGTGTGTGTGAGGATAGATGTGACTGTGTATTGAGAGATAGGAGTTTGGGGGGCTGACCTGAATCCAGATGGGGGGCCATATCCAGAGCAGAGTGTTGATGATCGTACTTGTGGAGGGTTAGAGGGTAGTGATGCTGGTGGTAGGACTGTGATTAGGGAGCGTGATGGTGCTGTTGAGTTGTTGTTGTTGTTGGTGATGTTAGTCTGTAGTGATCTGGATGGTCGATGGTTTGGGGTGAGGGTGGATGAGTAGGGTAGTCCGTTTGACCTGGGCTGTCGGTTGTTGATGAATGAGTGGTGTAAGGGTGAGTTAGATGAGCTTGACATGGCTCGTTTTCTTTCTTTTTTGGTGTGTGGGTGGTTTATGCCCAAAAGGGTGAGTTGGTTCCCGTTGCGTTGTGTTTCTTGAGTGATCTGTGAATATTAGAGAAAGGCGAAGATGGATCTTGATAATCAGTAGGCTGGGAAGATGGTTGATTTGAATTTTTGAGTGTTGGAAATGAGTGAAGTGTTTATCCCTCGTGATATGTACATAAGGGTGGGAAGAAATAAATGATAAAAGTGTGTGAAGTTCACAAAGTGAGAAGAAACCCAAAAATCGAAGTCAGAGAAGAAGGAGGAGATCAGGTTCAGTGAGCTTTGCCAACAGACTGAGCCTGTATCACTGGGATTCTAGATCCAACTGGTCATCAAACGAATCACCACAGCCCGGAATAAAATAAAAATAAAATAAAACCCCTTTTAACTTGTTGGTCTTGGGAGGGGGGACATCGGGATTGAACTTCCAAGAGGAGGAACTGGAAAGCTACGAAAGGAGGAAAGAAGCAGAGTGGACGGGAAGCGGCCGGAACGTTTTCCAAGCGCTTGCTAATTGTTTTAACAAATCAGTTCAAATGAACTTCAGCGGCAAAAAAGGGTCTGGCAATCCATGTCAGCCCAGCCTCCGTCTGCGTCAACAAACAACAAGCAACATCCTCATCTCTCTCCTGTCCATCACACACAACCCCCGGATGTCGGCGACTCGGCCCAATCATCAACTCTACCTCCAGCGCGGCGCCGACAAGCGGAAAAACTCAGAAAAACTCACATCACCAACTTCATCATCAGACATCATCATCATCATCACCATCATCCCATCGGACTCAGTACACCGAGAGTTGACACCAGGCCGGGTCCCAAGTCTTTTGGTGTAATCAAGCTCAAAGATTTAAAATATGTATGTAAACAAATCGATTTCCATCCAACCGACAGAGCCCCAGAAGAATTGGGACAACCCCCCTCAATCGTGTGTCCTTGAACGACATCCGACTCTCCTAGTGTCCATCTACACAGCATCATAAGTCACTTGCCAAAGCTTCCATCCTATTCATGTTGTCTCTTGACGATTGTCCCCTGTCACTCCCCAAACAGTCGAGCTATGAAATTACCAAAGAGAGAGAGTCCAGAACATATTTGTATGTGTTACTGAAGGGGGAAGAAGGTGAGCAGACGCAATCCTTTGTCTCATCGGTGTTCGGTGTTTGCGATTGGAGGACAATGGTAAAGGCAATAGAATTCATCAGTGTCAGGTCGAATCCCTAGAGTCGTCCACATTCATTTCAGCCTGATCAGACAGATGGCCATAGAAAAAAACAAAAACTAAAGCCCATTCAAAAATGAATGAATGATTGAAGATGATCATTAATTTGAGTCGGAAAACGAAAATGAGCTTGCACATTGACAAAAAAGCAAACAAAAAAAAGAGAAAACAAGTGAACTCGTACACCAAAAAAAAAAAAAAAGAAAAGGTAAGACGATCTTGAAAGTTGTACAGTTAGTCTAAAGAAAAAAAAATCATAGAAATTCGATTAGTGTAGATTGGTTCTAATGATCAGTGATGGTTTTTATCCAATAGATTTGATTATATAAAACTTATTTATGAGAACAAGTACGATCAATGGTCAAATTTTCTTAGTCAATTCTCTAGAAATATCAATCAGATGTGGCAGATGAGATGATCAGCATTGAGAGAAAGAGTAAGATGGTTTGCAAAAAAAAAAAGAAAAATCAGTAAAAAGAAAACAGAGCAGTAGGAGAGGATGAAGAGCGAGACTCAACGGTACGGCCTCAAACAAGTCAGCCACCAAGCCGATATCAGCGACCTGAAAGATGGGCGCCTCGGGGTCCTTATTGATAGCGACGATCGTTTTACTATCTTTCATCCCGGCGAGATGTTGGATAGCCCCACTGATGCCGACGGCGATGTAGAGTTCGGGGGAGACCACCTTACCGGTCTGGCCGACCTGGAGGGAGTTATCGGCGAAGCCGCTATCGACGGCGGCCCGGGAGGCGCCGATGGCCGAGTTGAGCTTGTCGGCCAAGGGCGTGAGCACTTGGTCGAAGTTCTCCTTGTTTTTGACCCCTCTGCCTCCGGAGACGATCCGCTTGGCCGAGCCCAACTCCGGCCGGGCCGACTTGGCCAACACCTCATCCTCCCATTGCGAGCCCCCCGTCGTCTTCTTCTTCTCCCCCTCCTCCTTCAGCTTCTCAACCTCCACCGAACCCGTCGCATTCTCGTCCATCTTGATCGGCTCAAAACTCGCCGTCCGCACCGTCAACACCTGGATCGCCGCCTCCGAGGAGACCGTCATCATCGCATTCCCCGCATAGATCGGCCGCACAAACGTCCTCCCATCGATGATCTTCATCACCTCCGAGATCTGCGAGACATCCAATTGCGCGGCGATTCGCGGAAACACATTCTTCGTCACCGAACTCGAGCCTCCGATCAAATGACTGATCGACCTGCTCTGAACAATACTCGTGATCACCGGCGCTAAGGGCTCGGCTACATATCTCTCTAACCTATCGTCCTCTTTGACCAACAATTTCGTGATCGGTAATCTGGATAATCCATCCCACCAATAACAAAAAAAAAAAAAACTCAGAAATCCATTTCAAGGTTAACGCGAGAGAGAGAGAGAGAGAGACGAACTTTGCAGCAAGTTCGACGGCTTTTTGGAAGCCCAGGGTTTGAGAGGAGCCAGAGATGAATCCGACGATCTGATTGTCATCGATCTGTTGGGCGGCATTGAGAGCGCTGAGGGTGGCCGGGTTGATTTTGCCGTCGCGATGTTCGATGAAGACGAGGGAGGAGGCCTGGCGAGTGAGGGCGGATGAGAAGGCTCGGTTGAGGCTCGCGTTCAGGGCCCCTCTCCCGGCTCGTGTTAATCGGCTGCTCAGCATCTCTCGGCTTTGGTGTGCTATCTTCGTCGTCGTTGTTGTCGTTGATGTTGTTGTTGATGGTCGAGGTGGTGTGGTGGAGTGGTGGTGGTGGTGGTGTGGTGGGTCCAAGCTGTCCTCAAGCCATCTGAAGTTCCTGATCCGTCGGCGTCGCAAAAAATGCGATTACCTAAGCGTGATCTCCTTCGAAGTTCGGTCATCTGCTCAAACCAACTTCGGGCTACTCCGGGGCATCCAGCACGTGAATCAAAAAAAAAGCTTCAACCTCATTTAAAGTCTTCTGTCTGCACTACATAGAGCTGATGTATCAACACAGTCAAAATAATTTGTTTTTTCTCTTATGTTTCTGATCAAGATCCTTGAAAGTGATAATAGGACTCGAGGGAGCGGAATTGATCCTCCAAGATCCCCATGAATCCACAAACTGAAGGGCTTTGAGCTTGTCCAAAGGATCATCAAGTGAGGTGCCCATGATCTCACTATGTAAAATATGCAAAACCTTCATGGTAGGTACTGTTACATAGGCCAGGGTTTCATTCCCACATTGAAATAGAATGCTTTAAAAACTTGATTCATGACCTTAGAAGCCAGAGTTTCCCTCAGATGCATAAGAGAGCAATCTTTCAAGAGTTATTAAACCTCTCCCTCATGTCTTCAACTCTCTCTGAATTTTGCATAGACCACAGTCCTCTGGGACATTCATCAATGGTTCTGAATTATAATCTGAGCTCTTGACCTATGTGAGTGTGGTTGTGAATTCAAAACATCAGAGAGTATTATGCTAGTGATTGTCTCTGTTCAGGCTGTGTCAAGGGCTCCTGTGTGTACTCTTTGATGTTTTTTTTTGTTTGCAAAATGTTGAAGTGTGAGCTCATGTTGTTGTTTGCTCTTGCTTTTGGTTTTGTCTCGATCTCGATTTAGGTTTTGTACTTCTCGGTCTTATTGGTCATGGGTTACTGGGGGTATGGAGTAATCATCAATTTCAAACTTGGTCGTCATTGACTGTCCTTCATCACCTCAACCCTTGTCCATCCATCCCCATCCACCTTCGCAACATCCACCAACAAACCATCTTCTTATCATCGACATCCCTCTCCAATCCAATTCGATCATATCCTAAACAAAAATGGACAAGATCGAAGCACTCGGGAGCTCAATCGCTCAGGTCAGTCAAAGTCTCCTCTCCAGATCTATGCAGTCAGCTCAGATTGCTAAACAAATAAGATAACTTCCTCATTCAGATCTCGCTCTATGACATCAAATCGTACTACAATCAAGCTAAGGCCGTGGTCCTAAACTACACCGAGATGGAAGCAAAAGTCAGAGATGCAACTAATGACGACCCTTGGTAGGTCTATTTTTACCCTCATCCTGCCACTTTCTTGCCCATATCGCTAAAACACATCCTTTTCTCTATCAGGGGTGCAAGCTCGACCGTCATGCAAGAAATCGCTCAAGGGTATGTAGAGAACCCTCCATAGTTGCTTCCTCACTGTCGACACTTACTAATCATCAGCGTCCTGATTCACATACAGAACTTTTAACTTGTTGGTAACTTCTTCTGTCTTATCAAATTTCGAGCTCCAACCTGTGACAAGCTAGATACTTGAAGTCCTAACTTTGAACCTCTATCCCATCAAGTCAACAATTCAATGAGATCATGCCAACGATCTACAAACGATTCACCGAGAAGGAAGCTCGCGAATGGAGACAAATCTACAAAGCCTTACAACTACTCGAATACCTGATCAAGCACGGTTCTGAGCGCGTGATTGATGATGCCCGATCTCACATCTCGATGATCAAAATCCTCAGGAACTTTCATTACGTCGATGACAAGGGTAAAGACCAAGGCATCAATGGTAAGTTCAACCTTTCTCAGCTTATCACCCACACAGGCGAGATGTGGAAGCACATCGTACCCCGGAATAGGATTTAATAATAATTTACCCTTCAAAACAGTTCGCAATAGAGCCAAAGAAATTGCCGAGCTACTCTCCGACCTTGATCGAGTCCGTCAAGAAAGAAGGAAAGCCAAGGCTGCCAAAAACAAATACATAGGAGTTGGTAGTGAAGGACCATCGTTCAGCACTTCAGGGGGCTCCAAGTATGGTGGCTTTGGAAGTGATTCGCTCGGTGGTGGTGGTGGTGGTGGTGGTGGCGATGACTGTGAGTTCTGACTTGTAGCGGGATAGCTACTGGATCACGCTCTTACTCAAAAAAATCTGTTTTAATTATCTCGTAATTCTTTAGGGAATGGTGGCGGCAGTAGCAGTCGAGACCAGTATGCCTCCGGAAGCAGCACATTCAAGCAGAGCGATGACTTTGAAGAGTATGATGCTGGTGAATGGGAGGACCGACCAGCCGCAGGAGCTGGTCGAACTTCACCATCGACCGCCCGTGGTAGCATCAGCAGTAACCGGGCTCCCTCAATATCTGTCTCGATGAAAAAACCGGCTCAAAAAGCCACCGCACCTCCACCTAAAGCCAAAGAGGTTGATTTGTTTTCGATGGGTGATGATGATGACTTTGCATCACCTGCAGCTCCCAGTTCGATCAAACCTGCAGCCTCGGAGAATGCCAGCGTCAGCTTGGATGGTAGGTCTTCTTGATAACCCGTCGAGCGACTGACTTTGAATATCCAGATCGCCTGACGTATTTCCTTCTCCTTGCAGATGAATTCGATGATTTCCAATCCGCCCCACCTGCTTCCAACTTTGGTGCTACTTCTCCACCGCCCGCTACCGGTGCATCGTCAGGTGGATACAAGCCGAATGTGTTTGAGCTCTTGAGTGCAACTCCCTCTGCCCCCGCTCCAATGTCGAACACCGGTGGCTCAAGCATGTTTGGGGGCAACACCAACTCGATGTCTAGTCAACCAGCGCCAGTCAACGCAAACATGTTTGGCTCATCAATGATGCAACCAATGATGATGAACAACAATCAAGCCATGAATGCCCAGGCTGCTCGACCTGGCCAATACGGCAACACGACACCGATGTCTTCGAACACCAACTCGACGAGCGCCAACGCTCGCGGGACGAGCTCAGCGAAGCCTGCCGGCGGCGACCAATTCGACGACCTCTTCTCGTTTGCCGGCTTGACTAATTCCAAGAGCAGCACCGCCGCGACTGGCGCTAATGGCAAGCCCGCTCAGGCCAAGTTGAGCATGGCCGCCATGGCTAGAGAGCAGAGCAGCGCATCCATCTGGGGCGCCGCTTCGTCTACTTCTGCTGCTAAACCTCCCGTCGGGATGGGTGCTCCCATGGGCTCCGCTGCTCCGTCGGCCGCTAGTGGCTCGGCATCTATGGGGGATAACAACGATGACTTGTTGCTCTAAAATCCGTCAATCTTTCTGAATCACTCATCCATCTTCTGAGATCTTGTTTCGAATATTCAAAAAGGAAAAAAAACACCTTCAACAAACTTCAAAATCAGATTCAATCCTCAGCACCTGTTTGACTTGGCGCTGGTTTGTTCAAACCACTTACATATGAGTTTGTTCAAACCACTTACATATGACACACTCGATGCACACCAACTATTTATTTTTATTTGCTTTTCTCACACCCTCTTCTGGTGTCCACCTTGTTCTGATGGTTGATTGGGTGGCTGAAATGCTTATACATCACGGTCAGAATAAACAGATTTCCAGATCCCTTTGTATTACTCCTTGTCTCTCCACGGCTCTTATGGGATCTACTTTGTCTACACACTCACAACTTAGTAGTAATAGTACAAGATATGATTGATGGCTGCTTCTCTCTCAGTCAATCATATCGAAAATGGTTAATGATTTGTTCTCTGTGAAGATCCTGTCGGAAAATAACCTATATCAGATCAAATTAAATCAAACTTAAAATACTGTCCTCATACATCCATCATCTCTTTTCTTTTCTTTTCTTTTTTTTTTTTTTTTGATAATCATAGAGAATTCCCTCACTTTTTTTTTCTCTCTCTTTTGTTCTTTCTTCACCCTCTCAAGTTCTTTTGTTGTTGCCCTACTCTTCTCTTTGTTTTTCTTTCCTATCTTTCTTCCTCTTTGCCAATCCACCAACCAAACAATGTGTGTTTGTTTTTGGTTCTGTATTCTGCTTATTATTTTTTTTTGTCACTTGGTTTTGTTTGTACTCTTGTGTGTGTGTGTGTATATTGTTTGTTTATTTGAGGAGTTTGAGTTGTTGACAGAAAAAAGTGAATACATGTAGATAAGGCTGTGTCTGTCAGTCTTGTGTGCAAGTGTAAAACCAGGTGTGAGATCTGGTTGAATTCTGGCAAAGTTATGTTGCACTGACAAACAGGGCTCATGTGAACAGGAAGCCATCTTTCATGCTTAAGGTTTTTATCTATTTACTCAAGATAGGCACAAAAAGTGCTGATGTTATGGTAAGTAATTCTGGTTACTTGTGAGTAGAATATACAGGCACTAGAGTAGCATGATGCTCATTTTTATTATTTATTGATTCTTTTTTTTTTGGGGGGGGGGGGAGGGATGAGAGAGATTCAACCCCTCTCCCTCTCTGCCTCATCAGTTGCAGCTTTTTCTTGTGAGGTCTAGTGTGTTTTCAATGCTTCTATTGGAATGTGTACTCTTTGAGTAGTACGTTTATCTGTGTATTCACTTCTATGCATTAATCATGCCCCAACTTCAAATACACCAGGGATGCTGGAGCTTGAAAGTTCTTCGAAATGGTTTCAAAAGACCCCTAAAATCCCAACTTGCAATTCTCCTGGCCGTTGAGAGTCTACCCTCTGAACGGCTGAAAGGAAGCTCTTGGCTGTCAAGAGTATACACTCTCAACAATGGAGAGGAACCTTTCCAACACCATTGAGAGTCTAACCTCGCCACTACTGAGTGTGTACCCTTCCAATGGCCAAGCGGAAACCTCTTGGCTGTTGAGCATGAATCCTCTTGGCCAAGGGTTTTCCTCTCCTGCAGTTGGGAGGTATACTCTCAAAGGTAGAGAGGGGTTTTGCTCAAAGGCAGAGAGGAAGCTTTCTTCCATTGAGAGTGTATCCAACAATGGGGAGTGTTCCTCTCCACCTGTGAGAGTGTATACTCTTGACAGCCAAGAGTTCCCTCTCAGCCGCCAAGGTTGTCTGCAGGGCCCATTTTCTGGGAGAACCTTCTGGTTATTTTTTTATTTTTATTAAACTTCTTTGGGAGTCAACTCCCATTCCTACTGCAGGAATCAGAGGAATGACTCTGATTCTTTAGGGGAACCAGGGATTAGGGGGTGGGGACATCCTGAGTCAGCCTCTCTGCTGCTAACCTGAGTGGGTTGTGCTATGAGTGTTGATAAGTGAGGGTGAAGTGTGGTAAATTGAACTAGTCAAATACCCTCAACCTGTACAAGAAACAGGTAGGAGTCAGTGAGGAATGGTTCTTCTGCTGCTAACTCTTCCAAATTTAATTGGGCATCCAATAGGCAACCAAGGTGAGGAAGTATCCAAATCATGTGGGTTCATGTAATTATCAGTATATGTGAAGGATGAAAAACAAGACTGGATAACAAGTGTATTTCACTTGGGGGCCAGAATTATTTGAGAGGAGGAATTCTTCCAGCAAGAGGGTTGATTAGAAAGACCTTAATCTGTGTAAAGTAAATCTATGTAGACCTGATGGTAGCTACTTTTCAGGTTATTGGTGGGTTGTTGAATCACTAATAATCACAGTGAAAGTGTTGGTTTTATGCTACCAGAAGTTCTTGGGGGGAAAAGTAATCAGGGCTCCTTAAATATTCTACACTAGAGGGCCAGGGGGGAAGAGGAGAGGCCCTCAGGGAACTAGGGAGATTCATAGAAGCTCGAGCTTGTACAGCCTCTCCGTCGAACGCACGAAGTGCGGGAGAGGCTTGAGCCCAAGACGAACACGCTCGCGTGTCACGGTCGAGTTTTTTGGTCGTTTTTGCGCCAAAAATATAGAAAGAAAAACTGACAACTTTTTCCGGGAAGAAATTTGGGCAGGATGTGTCCAAGATGGGGACCTTCATCCCCTATTGAGAAGGATTTCAAAAAATCGGACAGTTGCATCGAGCAGATTTTTTATAAGCAATTTGAGTCCCAACTCAGATTTGAGTTTTTTTTTTCAAAGTGGACCGTTTCTTAAGTAATCGATAGCGGTTGAATCTACCGTCCCATAATGATACAGAGGATCAACCCGGAGTAGCTGCTCATTAAGACCTACAGTAAGTTAGAGAAAGGCCTTCTTGTGACGCAAAAGGGACCAATAATCCCACCTCAACAACACCTTCCACTCAGCTCGATAATCACTGTTTTCATTCCCAGTGAAGATGGACAACACAAGTTGTGATCCACCGGAAAATCAAAGAATTCGAGTCAGCTTGCCTGAAAGCATCCTTCGCTTCGATGAAGATCATATCCGAGCTCATATAACAGAGAAGACTCAGAACACCTACCAGCAAGAGCCAAAAGTTCAACAAGTGGAAGCGGTGAGCTCTTTGGTTAAAGGCCAAAACACGTTTGTGCTGGCTGGTACAGGATTCGGAAAAAGTCGCATTTCCGAAATATTCCTCCGATTGTTTGACAAGAAAGAAAAGGCTACTGTCCTTGTTCTGAATCCCTTGGATGCGCTTGGGGACAATCAGGTGTGCATTGTTCATCAATTCGAATTAGAGATCGTCAACTCTGTTTTGTATGTACAATTATGAAAGTCAAAAACTGAAGCAATACATTTATAAAGGTGTTGGAAAAAAAGGCTGCTGGTTTTAGTGCAATCAATCTAACAAAGATGGAGTTCAATCGAAAAACAGCTCTTCAAATCAGATCAGGAGCCTTCGACTTCGTTTACTTAAGTCCCGAAGTGTTCCTCAATAACGGTCTCTTCAAAGAAGTGTACTACGACGAGGAATTTCAAGACCGGTTGGCTTTGATTGTGATTGACGAGGCACAAATGGTATACTCGTGGGGCCTTGTTGAAAGTGGAAAAGCAAAGAGATCGTCCGCTCACAAACGAACAGAAGATCGTTCTATCTTCCGGCCGTCTTATGGCGACATGGGTGGCCAGTTGAGTGCCACAGAGGGAGTGCCTATCTTACTATTATCGGCTACTTGTAGACCTGTCGCCGTCGAAGGAATCTTGAAGTGCCTGAAGATCACAGAGGACAACATCACCTTTGTCCGAGGAGAACTAACCAGGCCTGAAATCCGAATCCTACGCGTTGTCATGACCAGCTCGGGACTTGCTGCCAATAATCGAGAAGCCAGAGACTTCTGATGACAAAGTTGCACCCACATTGATCTACTCGGGAACACGAAAGGCGACATTTCAAGTGATGAAGATTGTGAACAAAGCTCGATTGACTCCTGGTGCCGAATACAACCCTTCCAGTTCAATGATACAGCGCTATCATTCAAATACTGGCGATCTTGCTAAAATCGATTCTATCAAGGCTTTCACAGAAAAGAAATTCCCTCACCTGTCTTGCACAATGGCCCTTGGGTTGGGCCAGAATTGGAAACGAGTTCGAAAGGTTATTCATATGGGTCGCGGAGATCCATCCAACATATGCCAGATGATGGGCCACTGCGGAAGGGATGGAAGGCCAGGTCTAGCTGTACTGTTCATGGAAAAGAATCGAAGAAATGGAAAAAACTCGATCGACGACTTTACCGGCATCAAGGAACAGTCTGATGATGTACGTATGGATGCACTGGCGATGACTCCGGTGTGCTTGAGGATAGCATTCTCATGTGATAACCTGTAAGATATTATGCTTTTCTTTTCGAGATAAGAACAAAACATAATCAGTTAACTTTTTTTTTTGTTTTCAGAAAAGGTCATATTCCCATGTCGAAGGACGACATCAGATATCTTGAAGAGGAGCAACGCGAGATTGAAGAGGGCTTCCCAAAGTGCCAATGCTCCAACTGCCTTCCTGAAGAAGCAACTCAACTATACAAAAACATGCGCGAACTCACGCTTGATAACTTCTCTGATGCAATCGTTGATCCAGATCTTTTGCCATCAACCAACTACGTACCGTTCGATGGCCCGTCTCGTAGAAGAGGTCCTCAGAAAAAAGAATTGCCGGTTGTGCTTCTTGAATTTGCTGGTTCCCTTGTTGAACAATTTGAAACATTCTTCTGGGAAACATTCCCTGAAGCAGCATCGTTCCTACCGCACGATCTTTTCAATCTCGAGCAGGCCGAGAATATTGCACGACATTTACCAGAAATCAACTCATCAGACGACATATTGGTTGATATAGGAGGTGGCTCAGTGGAAGGGCAGGTTGAATTTATTTACGAGTGTGTGGTTAAATTTTGTCAAGGAAACATTTTTCACAATCATGTTGTTGATGAAGGGGAGAAAAGAAAGCAAACCGAGATCGATAAGAAGGCAAAAAGACAGAAAGTACGATCTAAAGCGAATGGAAAAAGTGACGAACAAATCGAGGAGGAAAGAACTCGGTTGGCTGAGAAGCATGCCACAGCTGAAGTAGAAAAGGCGAGGAAGTTGGTGGCAGCTGAAAAGAGAAGAAACGAGACGATAAAACGAAAGGAGATTGCGGAAAGGGAGAAGGAAGAAAAAAAAAGAAAATGGGAACAGGACAAGGTCTACTTAGAAGGCTACAAGCAGCTTGCACAAGAATCGTCGGCGTCAAAAAACCCATCAGTACCAAAAACAGCACCAAAAGTCAAACCGAAGCCCCGCAAGGTTGTTTCAGAAGCTCCATCGGCAAGCAATGTTGTGCAACAATGAGATCTACAACTCAAACGAAGCGTTGCTTTGGGATTCATTGGAACTCAACTCGCTTTCTGATTCATCTGAGTCTGGATTTTTCGACAATACACCGTCCTTCCAGGTGATGATGGCTTGAGGGAGGAGTCGAGATAATGGGACGTTTGGTTTGGCGTAATCGGCATTTAACTTTCTTATTCCATCGCGATAGAAGTTTGATACACATTTAGGCATGTAATCACCCACCCTATTAGAACAACCACTAACATCATTAGCCCTTGTCATCCGAAGACAATTATTGATCGATTTTAAATCTATTATGTTATGGTGTGATTGAAATATGTGGGTTGCTCCTGAATCGGTTGTAAGTTTCTGTATAAGACTTTGTAACTGAGAAAACCAAGTTAGATGTTTGAAGAATATGTATTTAGTCAAAATTAAGAAGATGAAGGCTAAAATTAAGCTTACCATAGGGACATTGACAGAATAAACATCCTTCAGCCTATCAATCTCTGTGCCACACCCTGTCTGGTTGAAAAAAAATTTCAGCCAGTAATTCTTATTTTCAAGGAAGTAATCTTTTGTGACAAAGTGTTTCTGTCGTCCACTAGGTGCGATCAGTAGCGAGTGGAGGATAATCCTTGAAAGGCCGGGAGGTAAGACGTGTTGAATTAAGATAATCATCCGTGGGAGTTGAATTGCGTATTGCCGAAGCTTCTTGACTCCAATTGCTGTAACCGACCATCGCTTCCACATGTTCATCAGCCGTCCTATATCACCTGACTTTGTAGCTCGATTCCCTTCAATGATTGAAGCAAAATCACAGAGTCGCAATAGAAGATTGGAAAGCTTTGGTGAATCCGACTGAGATGCCTTGTACTTTGCTTGTGCACTAAAATATTGATCATAAGTCTTGTCAATTATAGATTGAATAGAATTACTTGGAAGGCTCTGCAGTTCATCGGTCAAGGAGCAATTTTGAATACCCATCACACACCTGTAATAGCTCAGTCAGATCAATCAAAACCAAAAATTTAGTACAAAGAAGACTCACATGACACAGTAAACCAGTGTTGCTTCATGGATTTTTTCCATATTCTGAATCATTTTTGTGAAGTCTTTTTTGTCTAGAGTTTTTTTTGAAGGAATCCCTAGTGAATCAAGCCATCGCCATGCACCGCAGTCGCGTGAGTCTGAGGCGTTTCCATAATGCAATTCAAAGATCGCTAGCCCAACATTCCACATTGTGTGTGAACCGCCGAGTAAAGTGAGCAAATTCGTAATTGTATCTTGATTGTGCTTGCTAGGAATTCGTTGGGTTCGGAGACTTTGAATATTTGAGCATGTTGCTAGATCGCCATCAATGACTTGTAACCGACTGAAAAAATCATCTATTTCTAAATCACACTGTTGAATTATTCCGGTGCAGACTTCACCAACTCCTTGCGCTGAGTTATCAGAGGCAACCATAAGCTTAAGCATCGTTATATCAGGAGGCTTGTGAGAGACCTGATCGATTTCAGGTGGATTGATACTGATTTTTGTATTGTTGTCGGAAGGCTTTGCGATATGTTCAAGTAGAACCTTTGCCACCTGGCTCTTCAGTACAAGTGACCAATGCTTTTCTTCTTTGGAGGATGAAATTAGCATTTTTGGAAACACTTGAACGGATGGAACTTTTTCCATTGCTGATACGTAGGTCTCTAGAGTAAGGTCCGACGGCAAGATTGAAGAAAGAAGAGTCGGATCGACCTGGTGAAGATAGCCCCATGTTCCATGGAACATCTGGCTGTTATTGCCCTGAGATTGTGAATGTATACGCTGCTCGAAGTCCAGGTTATCGACACACAAGAAGGGGGCAATCGGCTGTCCATTTTTGATTGAAAGCTTCTCGGTGATTTTATCCTTGGCGTGAAGACCAAGTGCGACCAATGCTCTGTTGGCTGTTTTACTTGAGGACACAAGACCAATGTAGTTCAGAAATCGATTGACTCGGTTGCTAACGCCACAAGCCAAGAATGTCAATGAGTTTTCAAGCTGTCTGGAGTTGTTTCGTCGGTTGTGTACAAATGAAATCATTGAACAGATACATTTAGAGGTCTGGTTTCCATAAAGATATTATCAAAACATCAGAACCTATTGAAAAGAAAAATTCTTGATATTCAGTGGAATACTCACAGTATGAATTCTATCTTTTCGAGCAGCCATACGACCCTTCAAGCTTTTGATCTTTTTTATTTCACCATCAAACAGCTCATCATCGGAGTCGCCAGCTTCTTCATTTTCTGAATCACTATCATTTTCCAAGTCCGGCTCATCTGGTTTTCCTCCATCAGATTGAATCGGTAACGCCACAGTTTTGCTAAGCTTATGACTGATAAGCTGATACAGGAATGGCATGTCGCGATTCACCATGTCGTTTTCGCGAATATCCCTGGCTGTCTCGTCAGTGAGAAGTTGAGGTTGTATATCTGCAGCGCTATAGAATCTATGCGAACGAGCTGGCGGTTTCTGATGAGAAACAATCAAAGATGCCTGACACAAATTCACAATATGTCAGTTTGAATAATACTGATATTTTTTCCAATGCAACTTAGAAATCCAAACGATACATACCTCGGACAGGATCAAATCCGACCACAACTGTTTTCCGACTTCCTTTTTGATGACAACATCTCGGATAGCATGTATAACGTCCACGGTCGACTTCCACCCTTTCTTTTCAGCAGCCCAATATCTTCGATGTACCGCAAATTCAATGTCCTCATCCTGGAGAAATGCAACGAGGAAGTCCTTCGGCGAAATTGAGAGTTCTTGCATCAGCCGAAAAACCCGCGAGATTTTAGAATGCATTGAATTCGTCCGATTGCTTGACTCCATTGTGTGACCGACCAAGCAGAAGAATTGCGGCAGTAACTTGAATGATCTGATGTGTTGAGGCTGATCGAAGGCATGTATGCGCTTCAGAACCTGATTGAGCCATTTCGGCAAGTATGAAAAAAAGAGGGCTCTTCTTGATTACATAAGAACAGTATCGACTTAGCCAATATCGAGAAGTAAGTTTTTCAAACTTTCTTGATCTTGTAAAAAATATTGCTCATCCAATTTTCAAGGGTTTCCTTTGAAAATTGGATGAGGACGATGGCAAGATCGGCAGCCGGAGCTTCCCTGGTTCCGAATCCACCAAGATCCAGGCATAAGCGCGGTGCAGCCGTCCAAATGTCGGCTACACCAAAACTGCCCAACCGTGACACGCGGGCCTGTTCGTGTTTGTCCTAAGTCCCTCCTTCGGAGGCTCGCGCTTCGCGCGAGTGGCGTTCCACGCCAGCCAAGGCCACCAGGCCCTCCGAAGCGAGGGACTTTGATAAGTTCAATAGAAGCTCAGTTGTTTTGTGAGACATGGGAACTGTATCTGTGCATTGCTATGCAGTGATGGAATGTCATAGGACATGATATCATGCATGCATACTTGATTTTGTGGCCCATTTCACACATAATTGAGTGAGCTGCAGTTACTGTGCATTGGCTGTGCAATTGTAAAGGTAGCGGCATAGGTGTAACTATGCTTGTGCAAGATTGATGTCATGAGAATTGCATGTGCTGCATGCATAATTCAATCTTTCATGTAGAAATTGGGCTCATTTCCCATGTAGGCCACTTTGAAATATGCAAGCTTTGAATTAGAGCACAAAAGGGTTCTGATGATGCAATCCATTAGGTTTAGAGTGCAAGATGAGGCTTGATGATGTGATCAAGGATGGTTAAGCTTCAGGTAATTTTATATAGCTTATTCCTTAACCCTTCAACTTATCCCTCCAAGTTACACACATCTACTAGCTCTTTCTTGCACATATGTTAATGAGTTATGGATTATAAATTATTTACATATTGTGCAATTATAAACATTATTCTGATTATTAATTTTGATGATATTTCTGTGAAATCCTATTCATACTTGATGTAAAAGATTCAAGAGGGACTTCACAGGTAATTATTGAATTTGTATGTATAAAATGTAAATTAAGATTGTGGGGTATCAAATATAAGAAATCCACCATTTGAAAACAGTCAATTATCCAGAATTTATTTTTCACCAATGGGTCCCCAAAGGGGGAAAACAAAGAACCAACATGATTAGAAAAGGATGGGTTTTTCAAAACCTGTCAATTAAATAATGGTGGATTTGCCTATATTTGATACCCCCTATTGAATGTAATTACATTTTTATTTGTTATTTTAGCAATAATGTATAAAATTTACAAGTATTCAATTAATTATCATTTTTGCAGTTACTAGCTACATTTCACATACTGTGAAATGTGCTCCGTGGCTGACAGAAATCCCCCAGGGTGTTGGACTTTTACAAACAGGGAGAAATAGGGAGGCAGAGAGAGAGGAAGTGATGAGAAAATTTTTCACTGGATCACTTCAGTTTTGGTGAAAAAAGAAGCTAAGAACCAATCAGTTTTAGATTGCTTGTAACTGGCTAGTTTTTAAATAGACTACATTCAAGCTTGATCAAGAGGTGGTTGTGGGATTGAATATTCAAACAAGAGAAAAATGTTCATCAATAATATAATTAGAAAAAAGATAAGAAGAGAACATGTGTGTTAATAAGAAGGTTACTGCCTAGGCTTCTTGACTACAAAGGGGGCTTTTATTATACAAAACAGGTCTACACAGAGTATGATATAAATAAATCAAGATGACTAAAAATGTGAGGTATAATGAAAGACTCATGATTAGAAAGAGATGAAATCAGTCAGAATTCCAACACAGGGGACATCAAGCAAATTTTGAAGTGAAATTGAAATTGAGTGGCCCATACATTAGATATCATTCTGCGGTACTCCTTGCAGGTACCACCATGAAAAATTTGAGGGAAGTACATTTCAGGTGACATGCAGCTAACTCCTGCCTTTATTCCAGTTTTACTTCAAAGTCAAAGGGTTGGGACTCCCTGATGACCACAAAGGGCACATTGTTATTTGAGCAGACAAGCACCAGAGTAACAATGGAGTTGTAACATATGTCACTTCATGTCACCTGACTCCTACTGCCCTCAGATATTTCATGGTGTACCTAGTACTGATTGGGGGGTACCTCTGGCACCCGCTGCGCACCTGCCAGGAGGTGCCAGGTGCGGTGCCAGGTGTCTGTTTTTGGGGAAAAACACAGGAGGTACCTCAGGTACCGCGGGTACCACCCCACTTCCCTAACATAGGGTGGGTGGGTGGGCTGCATATTTTATAATAAATATGAAAAAATTGAAAAAATTGACTATATACACTTTCAACAGTACTTCATATCCAGTACTCAGTACTGGACATGCAGTAAAAAAACTGGATATGCAATATTTTTTCCTTTTTTTGTGAAAAGTAAACAAAAACAGCACATCCAGTTTCATTTTACCACATATCTAGTACAGGATATGAATTAATGTTGAGATAGCTAGTGGAACTAAGTGAAAAAGAGAGGGGAGGTACCTGGGGTACCTGCCACAAGTACGGCCAGTACCCGCTGGGAGGTGCCTGGTGTGGTACATGGTATCTATTTTCTTGGAAAATGAACAGGTACCTAGGTATAAACAGGTACCCAGGTCCGAGCAAATGATCTCTACCATATATTTTGAAAGGAAGAATTGATACAGTTGCAAATGTCAATAACCTGTACTGAACCATGGGCAAAATTTAAAATTTGCATTTTGGAAGTTTAAGTAAGGGAAGAAAGGTTTCAAATTCTAACAAGTGTGAAAGATGAAAAAAGAAACTCAATCAGAATTGCACTCAGATATGACAAAAAAAAAATTCCTGCGGGGGACATGTGTTGCATGTGTGTTTCCCCGGATGAGAATCCCCAAGTTTCTTGGTGGGGTAGTATTTATCCAGCCTATCGTCCACCTGAGACTCCCTGAAACTCTTCATTGGGTAGGAAGTATGGCTGGGACAAATTGTGCAAAACCTCAGTGCAGCGTCCTTTCAAGAAGATTGCCCAGTGGTTGCAGGTGTTGCAGTGATACACTTTGGCTGCAATTACCTTGTCACATTCATATGGTTTTCCACGCAATGTACCACAAGTGAACCTATAGTCTTTGGGTTCTGGCATAAGTGTCCCCAAAGTAATGGGTCTTTGGCCACGGTGTTCACACTCTGTACACATCCTGACTTCAATATTGGGGGCAGAAGATTCATAGGAAAGTGCTAGGCCAGTAAAGAGGGTACAAATCAGCCCCAGGATGACCAGGGTGGCCAGACTATGCATGGGTGAAGTGATTCCAACAAGACTTGATCCAAGGACTAGAGGCAGCAACTAAGAAACACAATGGGCTCTTGAAGTGGGGTGAGTTGACCACTATGCCAGCAAGGTGTGATGGGATAGTTATAGGCAGGAATTGAGGCATGGTGGAACTGCCTTCCAAAAGCAGGAAGTGAATGAAACTTGGTTGATAGACAAGTGCAGAACCCACCCCTCTCACGGGTCAGCAAATCACAAAACTTACATGAGCAATATTATCAACTCACTACTTCAAACCGTGGTTCCCTGCTCCCCACCTATTTCAGCAGATGTCTTAACTCAGGAGGGAAGTGAGTTACATTGACCCACAAGTGACCTGCAACCCTTTGGGTCATCTTTTTGGAAAAAATTGTAAGCAACCCAGCCTGCTTTCATTTCCATTCTAAATTCTGGGTCATGTTTGGGCAGCATTTTTTGATTTCAGGTTGGCCCAATAAAACAGCAACCAACCTGTTGAAGTCAGGTCCTTGATTGGGATTCAGGAGCCAGCCCCCAGAATCCCAACCACAGACCAGTAGATCCTCCACAGTTGACCAATACACTCCCACCTACCCACAAACACACACCTCAAATTGTTACTGACATAAATCCAAGAAGCTGGTGATCTCTCTTAGAGATGGTCGATTGGCATCCGGATATCCGCGCGGATGTGGATATCTGGCTGCTTTTTCCGGCCATCTGAGCATCCGCATCTGCACCCGCTGGCGGGTATCCGTTGGCCGCAGCGGGTATCCTCGGATACCCGCCCTCTAAAGGGCCGGCTGGAAGGGTCTCCTTCCAGCCGGCCATCTCCCCTTCCGGCCGCGGGTATCCTTTGGGATACCCGGATACCCGCCAACTTTTTGCGGAAAAGGGGCCATCCGCACCCGTTGGCAGGTATCCGTTGGCACTGGCGGGTATCCGCCAGCGGATAACGGGTATCCGCGACGGATACCCTTCGACCATCTCTAATCTCCCTTACCAATCACTACATCAATTTTACCTGAGCCAGAAACAATCAAGACCACAAATTGAGTAGCTCTGAGTCAGATAGAAAAATTGAGATCACAGAAGAAGCCAGTCAAGTTCTCAGCCAAGCATTGACCCAAACATGACCCACAAACCAACCCACCCCAACCTCAACCCACCTACTGCTCCAGCAAACTTAACTAAGTCCCTCCTTGCCTGAGGCTTCTGCCGGACGGACTTTTTCTGGCATGAGAGTTTTTTCAGTATTGGTGTTCAGCTTTGAGCCTCCAGAACACACCCAAGATAATATCTAACTTTCTAATTTTTTGAGTATATTGTTGGCCTACTTCTTTGCTTAACTCTGATACAATTTGAAGCCACATCACCCATGTCTTCATGTTTTTTTTTTCTAAAAGTTTGGGTTTCTTGATTTTCTGGATAATTTGCCCAGATAACAAGATAATTGTCCATGCACAACCAAAACAACTGAATTCCATTTGTTGTTTGTTTTCTACATAAATTTTCTCAAAAATGTACAGTCAAGCTACCACAAATCAAAAAATATGTACATTGAAGGGATGAAGGATGTGATCTAGGAAATGTGAATCTTGGGGGTAGGGCTTGAAAGTTACCCAAATTAGGAGGATTGTAACAAAAAGAGTGCTCAAATATCCAGAAGTCTCAGGTCAGAAATCCTGATAAGTGTCCCTCACTTGGTTCAGTTTGCTGCTCTAGGTGGGTTGGGTTTGGGCAGGGATGTTGATTGTCTGACCCGACACACCCAGTATTTTTGCCAACTACAGCACTCTAGCATATGATTGTCAGGTCTACCATAAAGTGTTAATCCAGTAAGTCCCCAAAGCCGGTAGCTACTGATAGTGGTAGAAGACTTGAATCATGGTTGATCAAAAAATGGAAGGAAGATGACAAAGAAATCAACAGAACTTAGCGCTTCACTTTTTGGCCCCTCGAGATTGCTGGCAGGAAATAATTCCTCGTGGCAAGGATGTTGTTAAGCTCTTTGATTGGAGAATTCCCTCCCTAGCAAGTTAGCAACAAGGTCGTGCTACCTCATTGGCTTCCGGGTCAACGAGGTTGTTCAATCAGCACTAAAAAACCCTCAACAGCTGGGATGATACTACCACGCATGCTAATACCTCTACAAGTTTTGGTTCCCGCCAACCTAAGGGGAGTTGATGTGGACTGCAACATTTTGGCAAGCAAAACTCCTGGATCAGTCAAGAGTCTGTTTTGAATGGCCCATCCTGGAAATGGAATCGGTCGTCCAGGCCGATTGCTGTCAGGGATAAGCCTAAACATATGACATGAAGCCACCCCATCAGCTATGTAGCTCTAGCAAGCTTTGTTCATCGTGGGCTTATGATGTGGTTCCTAGGATGTATGTGGCCGACTTGCCTTGCAAAACAGTTCCCAAAAAAGTGACCCACGAAGCACAAATAAATCTGCCCCATGCGCTTCCGTTTAACGTATGAACTGTGAGTTATGTAAGTGGCTGTTGGTTTCTAGCCTTTTGTCAATGTTACTTTGGATCTTCTCCATCGATTCCTCCAAAGCCAGCCAAACCATTTTTCCCCTTCTGTCAGAATACATACACACGCCGCCCATCGGTGGTATGTAGGTGCATCAAATTCCATAGGCTATGAGTATGGCCTATCACTGTCCGCGCAACTTCAAGATGATTGCTGATGTGGATCGAATTGTAAGGGTACTTTCCTGCATATCCACCACTCTGCACCATCGATCCATCTGCCATTAGACAGGGACTGAACAGGATGTTGCGCTGCTCGGTTCGAACTGACACCCAAGTCATCAACGTCTGACTGGAAAGATGTATGGCTGACTCCGGCAACCGCTCAAAAGCCCGCCTCCCTTCAGACTTGTTGTGTGCTCAGTTTATTTCCTACGTATGCGATTGCCAAAACATGTCATGTTTGGATGTGTGGATGGAGGTGTATGATACATGATGGAGGCTCCTTGGCACTTGCTATTCCAGCCAGCGAAACGATCCCAGAAAGTTATTTGGTGGTTGTAAATATATAGCTCGGATTTGTTTCCGCGGACTTCGGCTCAACCAAACCATGATCTCCGTCTCCTTCAGGTCCCATCATGAACCTGGTGTGCCGGTAGCACAGTGCCACACACAGAGAGGCAATGATGACTTTTTCGATTTCAGATCCAACAGCCTTTTGATGGATGGATTGACTCCTCGGTTGGGACATGTATAGGATACTACGGCCAATTCAAACATCATGTTGAGACGATCAAGCCTGGAGCATCGCCTATCTCCAAGGCCTCTTAAGTCTTCAAACGTTTAGTCTCCACCTCGATCTTTCCTCCCGTCTTTCAACACTTGGACACCAAACTTACGCCTCTTTTAACCCTAGAAGATACATATAGTAGTTTTCTTTATTTATCCATCAGCGCCTTCTTGTCTTGAGACAAGGGTTCCTGCCAACAATTGCCCTTTCAAAAAGTCCACTCAGATCGCATTTTCCACATCCCTTTTTGCCTGTCACCCCAGAGACATCCATCATACACCTGTGATTCTACATACATACTTCTTTCGCTTGTTCAGCCCCCCTGCCCAACCATCAATCAATTCCAAGCGACCTTGAAATTTGAAAACTCTTGATCACAATCGAAAACAAGATGAGTCAGGCCATCTTCGAGGCACCACCAACACAGACTGAGAGCCGATTGCAGTTCGGAATGCCAACCGCGTTGGAGCTCCATCGGCTTGAATTACTACGAGCAGCATCCCATCATCTCCCAAGCATCCCGCCCAGCAATCCTTGGGCTTGTCTGGCTTTCCGACAAATCTCTCATCGGTTAATCGGCTGGGATCAGCTCTATCCTGAACGCACCGGCCAAGAACATATTTTCCAAAATTATTTCGAAGAATCTCGACTTGGACCTGAATTGTTATACGCCATTTATCCCCGCACAATCCTTCACTGGAATTCTGTACCGACGTTATCAGATACGAGTATGTTCTTTTTCCGCGTTGTTTTATTAGAGAACAGAACAACATACCCCAAAGGAAACTCTTAACTTACATTTCCTCCATCCGAAACCAGTTATCTTTTCGAATCTAGATCAGCATCCAAATCATCCAGCTGGGAAAATTGAGAAAGTCGGGGATTGCCAATCGAACGAGACTTCTAGTTCGTCTGATGGCTCAGACAGCTCAATCATCAACTCGGATGATGCACACGAAGACGAAGGACAAGAGCCACTCATAAATGTCTCAGTTGCTCGACCTTCCTTAATTCTCCAACCCATGATCCAGTTGCCCGTCATGAATTATTCTTTTCAACTTGAAAGCCACTCTCAGCCAGCTGCGATAACGCATCAACCGACCAGCTCGTCTTCGTCCAACTCTCGCTACCGGAAATCGCATTTGATCGAGTCCTCTTTCGACGGAATGATCGATTTTAAAAGGCGCAAGATTCAACCGGCTTGATGCACTCCTGGGCACTTTTTTGGGTGATTGTCTCGAAGAAGCCGGAAAAAGGATACGCCCGATTGACATCGAAATCGAACGGGTCGTAATTCGATGATGAAGTAACGGTTCCTTCAATTCAAATTAAACACTGGACATTTTCATTTCGCTTCTTTACAATCGCAAATCTGACCATCTCGAGATGGCCGATTTGTTTTTCTATGGACACTTGTGCTTATTTGAACAAATATATATAAAGTCATACTTCAAGCTATTTTCGGTGTTTTTTTCCTTGAGCGTACATTAGTTTTTTTTTGTATTTATTCTGCGTGTGCTGTTCTGGTGGTTGGTCTTTCTTTGTGGGCTTCAGGACACCTAGGGACCTCTTCAATAAGTGAAAGATACTCCTGCTCATTCCCATCTTTCTTTAGATCAACTGTGACCTGTTTCTTCATGCTTGCTTTCAAGAATTGAATGACATAATAGACCTGGGCAATTGTTTATTTTATTTTTATGAAACAATTCATCTTCACAGATCAAGATGATCAGGAATAAGACACAGTGTGATTAGAATGGTTCACAGGAATTTTTCAGCACTGTCTGTGACAACATAAAAAGACTTTCCAAATCAAACTGGTTGGTATGTCATGATGACATTTATTTGGCAATGGCTGATGTATTCCTTGTGTGAACCATGCTATTAGACCGGTTCACATCTGAAGTTCAAGGCAACCTTTAACACATTTATAGATAAAACTTTATGAATCTTGTCAAATCTCATGAATCATCAGATTTGGAGCAATTTGAGATTTTTGACAAATTTGACAAATTTGAATGATAAATGTCATTATATTTGCCTCAAAGTTCAAATGTGAGCTGTCCTATTAGGTCAGTTCACATTCCAGAAACACTTGCATTAGCACTCATGCATGCCAATGCATAATTTCCAGAAAAATTTATGTGAAATGTTTATAGTAAATTTTAACTGTAGTGTAAGGGTTTTTTCCCTTCACTGTTTTTTATGGATGGAACTATGGCGCTGAGGGAGACTTCTAGAACCAAAAAAAGGATTTCTTATTTGTTCTAGCTCAGCAGATGGATAACAAAAGGAAAGTCTCTCTTATCAGTACAAGTTTTGAATCTTATAAAAGAAGAAGGAAAAAGGAACAGAAAGATAAGTAAAGAAATAAGGAAGACAAAAGGAAACAAGGTGAGATAAAGTGAAATAATTCTGGCTTACCTAGCTCAGTAGATGGATAACAAATCAAGGAAAGCCTCTGCTGAGCTAGGAGGGGGAGCGGGGCAATGTTTCTTGAAGTAGTCCAGAGTGTTGATTATGTAATTTATTTGTGAAACCTGTAGTGCAGGGTTTCACATGTGGGCTCTTGCACTCAAAGCAGAGATTTGGAAGTCGTACTTTCTAAGAAATCAGTAAGGGCCTGTACCACAGTCCCAATTAGAGATGGTCGAAGGGTATCCGTCGCGGATACCCGCCTGTGCCAACGGATACCCGCCAGCGGGTGCGGATGGCCCCTTTTCCGCAAATCGCTGGTGGGTATCCGGGTATCCCAAAGGATACCCGCGGCCGGAAGGGGAGATGGCCGGCTGGAAGGAAGCCCTTCCAGCCGTTGAGGTACTTTTACCTTGTCGACTGGAAGGAAGCCCTTCCAGCCGGTCCGTCGCCGGCCCTTTAGAGGGCAGGTATCCGAGGATACCCGCTCGGATACCCGCTGCGGCCGACGGATACCCGCTAGCGGGTGCGGGTGCGGGTGCGGATGCGGATGTGCAATTTCGCTGAAATCGCCATCGGATATCCGGATGCGGACCAACCATCTCTAGTCCCAATTTTGAGGTCAATTTCCAAGTTGCAAGTTGGAAATTGACTTGGCTGGAAATGGTGTACCATGCAATGGATTTTGGTTGGTGAAAAATAAAAAGGTCAAAAATGAAAATGAGAATTGGCTTGGGTGCTATGGTACAGGCCCTAAGCATCCATTTAGCAATGTTAGAATTGTTTCAAAAGTCAGAAGGACAAGGATAAACCACATGTGGCTGTGGCCCCAATGTGCTTGAAAAATCTGTTACCAATTTGTAAATGTATCAGAACAGTGATGGTGAGGTATTATGGTGAATTGTTTACACAATAAAGCCCCAGCTCCTGATTAGGGGGCTCACAATGGTGATTGACAAGCAAAAGTTTCAGCAAGAGGAATTATTAAAACTTTCTCCATTGGGTCTTTTGCTCAAATGTGAAAGCAAACTACATAGAAAAAAAGTCTCGTGGGTGTTGTGTTTAGGTCCTGCATACATCTAAGAAACTTCCAGTGGTTGAATGTTAAAAGGAATTGAATTTGGTGAGTCAACTCAAAGTTTAATGTGAACCTCCCGGCCAGCGTGCCAGGAGCAGCTTTTTTTCCCCCCGTCACGCCGGGGTCCCCCGGCCCTCCGACATGAGGGGATCGGGTGAAACCACACCGAAACGTGAGTGATCTACACTTATTCCAATCTCGTCCCTTTCACAAAGTTCCACTCACCATAATGTTATAATTTGACCTGATTCGACTCATCGTCTCGTTTTGAAAGATCGCGAGGAGAAAAACTGAAATTCAACTACAATCCCGGCGAAATCTGATCAGTGAGCGTTCTTCCTCGACCCAAGCCTCGAGGTCCGGAACTCACCGAGCGAGTTTCGGCAACCGTTTTCAAGATGTCCGGTCGTGATCGCGAAGATCCAGAAGAGGCGAATAACGAAGCTTGGGGGACCGATGAAGAGGAGCCGTCCCGCGAAGCATCAAGTGACGCGGATGAGGGCCTGCCAATCAGCTGTTTTGTCTGCAAGTCTTCGTTGGCAACTTATGGACCCCTTGGATGCCAACATCGAACGCTTTGCAAACGATGCGCCATGAAACAAGCGACCGGTGGCAAATGCAAGGTAAGTCGACCTCTAATGCTCATGCGACACAACGCGATTGCGTACATTCTCAGCCTTGGATTAATGGAACTGATCATCTGCTTATTGTTCAATGTCGCTCCGTTTTACCGATTTCACCGGTCAAAAAAAATCATGAAACCTTCACACCAATCATAACAACGCCAAAATCAAAAACTAGAGATGCGGTGAACTCTTCTTCCAATTAAAACAACTCACGGTGGCCTAAATCATATGTAGACCTTGACATGTTTTCTCTTGAACCTCAATACTGTAGCCAGAGTCACAGGTCTCAAAAGCTCTCGGAGGTGATATAAACACGTTCTGGCAACCTTGTTTGTCACTTCTTCTGGCTATTCTTTCTACACACACGTACTGAAGAAGTCCCTGGAAGAAGATCAGTGGGCATCAACGATTTGCTGGAGCTTTCTTCATCCAGAATGAGGAGCTCTCTGTTCAGAGAAAATAGATCATAGAAGCTGGGACGAAAAAAAAAACAACTGAAATCCTTTAATTATGTATGGAAATATGAAGCTTTCAATTTAGACATCAATTTGGCTTCCTTTTTTTTTTCTTAGAAAACCAGATCATCTCATATGTCCTAGTTCAAATTACGCCATCTCATCATGTTCTGCATCACCATCCCCTTGATATCTCTCCCTGATGACATTTGGGTCAAACTAAATATAACTCAAAGAAAATTGTATAAAAGACTGCTTTTGGCATTTGAGGTTGTATTACCAAGAACCTTTTTTTTCGATTCCTCTGTTTTTTTTTTTTTTTTTGAACCTATCATTTTTTCACTTTTGCAGCTACAAGATGCTTCTGTCAGCTATAGGTTTTTTATATTCACCCGACCCAAGCACCATTGGGGCTTTTGCGAAAAGAAAAGCACCATTGCGGCTTGTGGCAAAAGAAGAAAAGTTAAAACAAAAAAATCAAGAATTTATGCATTGTAATCTGTTCCAGTGGGGGTTTTTTCCCCTAGGAATTCTGTCAGCTGTGACGAGGATATATGTAATATGTGAAGGAAATGGGGGTTGCAGACGACATCGAGGGTTGTATTTATGTGGGCGGTCGGGGTGAAATTGGAATGCTTCCAATAATTTTGCGAAGTGGACACTAAGGCCATTGTCAAGGGAAATGGAGCCTGAGGCCACCAAGGAAAGACCTAAATTGTTTGGTTGGACGCCCTTCGCCAGACTCCTCTTCAACTTGCGAGTCAAAGAAGGTTCGGCCTGTTTTTCCCAATCCCATCGGTTTATTTGAAGTAAGCTTGATCTTGTTATCATTTTGCAGTATGTATAACTTGATCAGGGGGTCACTACATAAATAGACTCACAGGCCAAAAATGATTGATTCAAGTGCCAGTGTTTGTGAGCCGCGTATATTGTACCCCAACTCAGCAGTTCGGTGAGACTCCTGTGAATCATAATCAGACCCTCGATCAAGAAAACAAAAAACAAGCCAAAACCAAAACCAAAACCAAAACCAAAAGTCGAACGGTTTCGAACAAGGCCGGGTAAATAGAAAAAAGTGTCGATCACCGGTGACGGGATGAATTCTTAAGATGCATTCAAGCTGTCTGTTGGACAACAGATCCCTAATAATCTGGTTCCAGAATAGCAAAAGCACTCCGTGGATCCAGCTGGTTATAATCTTTACGTGCCCTCCCATATGAGGTTTTCATGTTTATTTGGTTGTTTGTTTGCCTTCCCCTGGTGAGCTGAGTTTCTGCTTAAGTGGATCTCTCCATCCATCTATGGTAATCATAGAATCGATGAGCCTGCTGAGAGATCCATCGGATTGAACTCCGATTCTTGTTTCCAACCAGAAGTTGAAGTTGCAGGCTTGAGAAAGCAGAGAGGAAATCGACCAGCGGGGATCAAGAGTGAGAATATCCGAGCCCAAGCGTATGTATCGTTTGTGAAGATGGCCAGACAGATTCAGACTTGCTTGCGTCTCTTTCGCTTTTCGTCTGTTTGGATATGTTTTGGTGAGCTTCCGTGCTCTTTGATCAGTCATCAAGCTTCAACCATCCCAACTTACTATGGTCTGCTGAAATTCACATACATAAATAGCAATCTGTGCCCTCCTGCCTTCCATAATTTAATTCCCCCCTCCTCATCCTACCGATAGTCGACAGTCGAGCGCTCGTTCCCCGGCCAAGAAGGAATCCTCAGCTGCTTGAATCTGTAGATCCACTATCATCAGCATTCCTCCTCTCACATCCATCGACCTCTAACCGGACGAGACACAAGAAAAGGAAGGTCAAGAAGCATTCTAACTCCTTAGCGCCGGTTAACCCGAATCGACTGGTTTGTTGAGCTCCGCAACTCATTCGCCGAGAACTCGACAAGACTACCCCCTCTCAAGATGTAAGCTTTCCGTCTACCTTTGACCTCAAATTATGGTCAAGCAATCCTGCATCCTGTGACCATCAAGCACTATAGATCGTTCTCCTTCTCTCTCTCTCTCTGTCTGTCTCTCTTCAGCTCTTTCCAGTGCTATACTACAGCTGCTTCTTGAGTATTCAGACTCTCGCTTGAATGAGATCAAGTCGATGGCAATCTGTATATTAATATTTCAGAAGCCTGTCCACTCAGTTTCATCCGCGGTTTGGATCTTTACGTTTCATGACTATCTTCCCCACACCTGCGTTGCTCTGACTTTCCTCCAACACCGTGTGATCACATCAAATAAATTCAAACACTTCCTTTTTCCCATCCATCAAAACCGCCCCTCACAACGCAGGCTTGGATCAAAACTTGCAAGACTTGACAACAAGGGCTGTTTGAACCTCAACTCACGAGTTTTATAAACCAACACTCAGGTGCTAGTGTATTAAACCTCAGCATCGCCATCTCATCACCCCAGACTCACTCTCTCACCATACGTGAACTACCTCCATAGTTCAACTCAAGCTGCTTCCCATCTCAAATCGCAATATAGAACAGCTACACCTCTGCAACATCTCTCAAGCAGTTCTACGAGCTTGCGGTTTTTCGCCATACTCTGTTGATTACATAGGCACTACAGTACTTGGCCCAGCTCAACTCCGATCCGGTCTCAGTCCTAAACCATCAGAAGCCTGTGCCGTGTTAATAACCCGAGTTCTAGAAATCACTCTTGACCGTCGTCCGTCGTTGCCGTTGTCGTTGTCGTGCTCGAAAGGTTCTTGTGACGAGATCGGTGCAGTGTTTGACTGAGTCCAATTGATTGTCGGCTGGGCTCTTCACGACCAAGCCCCGAACACACGGCTGAGTTCCAACCTGAGCACTTCACTTGGACGATCTCACCAAAAAAAAAGAAAAAAAGAAATTGAGAAATACAACCCATTGCAGTGTTGTACAAGATTTGTATTTCCTCTTTATCAGCAAAAGTAGTCCGAGTTAAACATTCTACCCTTTTCTCTTCTGTTTCGACTGATCCAACTCCAAACCCTTCTCCGCTCACTCCACCATCCCTCTCTGGTTTATCACCCCATTCCTACCACCCAACAAACACAATATCATCAAACGCGTGTTTATCGATCATCGATCTCAAAATTCTTCTAATCCTGTCCCTCCTGTCATTCAATCTCTTTCCCATTCATCCCTAATCTACTCATACACGCGCACCTCCTGCGGCACTTACTCCCAGATACATAGAAAAAAAAAACAATCAAACGGAGAATTTGTCCCTCCACTTGCTTGATTTTTCTCTCTTTGCACCACTCTGACTTGAACATCTACCCTGCTGCCTGTTCTACACAAAGAAAGTGTTTTAAAAACATCCCTTCTCCTGTCTCGCTAATTCTACGCTCATCCGTAAATCGAACAATCTTCGAACTACTATCAACACACATATCAGAGGAATTCAAAAAGCTGACCCGATGAAAATGTTTTTGATCAGAAAGAAGACAAAAAATACCTCCGTCTCTGCCACTATCGTCTCAAATTCTTCTCCACCAGAACCCAAAATGAATTCGCCACCACCCAAGACCGATTCTTCCTCCGGCAATCGCTTCTCGCGCCTCAACCAACAGACGACCAACCCCAACATGATCTCACCCTCTTCCCCAGACCTGACTGGTTACACGTCCAATCCGGAAGAAACCAAGTCCTACCAGTCTTTCTCCTACTCGCCATCCCAGCAAGCTCGTTCTCCATCGGTCACCTCACCCGGTGGCGGTTTATCGCACTCAGCTCGCGCTGGTCTCCGCAAAAACCGACAGATTCAGACGTTCAACTTGATCGTTCTCGGTGCCAAATCCACTGGGAAATCGACATTCGTACACACCTTAATCGGAAGTTTAACGCCTAGTCTACCCACCCAAGATGACCCACCAGCGATCTCGGTTACATCTACCTCCAGTCTATCCGAAAGGCTAACGTCGATCGTCACCTTATCGGGCGAGAAAGTGATGTTTAATGTGATCGATACTCCGGGCTTGGATATTCAGTCAAATGGTTAGCCCCGCTCGCCATTCACCTGGTTTATCCGTCGTGTATTGTTTATCCAGCACATTTATCCGCTTGATATGCTGATAATCCTCTTCCGATCCTGTTACATAGATGAATTCCGAGCGGATTTACAAATGAATGAAACTTTACGATGTATGTCCTGATCACACAAGTTCTTCCCGTCTGATGCATTTGACTGATCTGCGATTTGACTTGGTCATTCTTGAATCCAGACATCGAATCCAAATTCGATGATTCCTTACAAATCGAAAGACAGGTACACAGGAACCCAACCAGACTCGGTGACGGACACGTGCATGTTTCGATCTATTTTATCGACCCCTCTACGATTACGCAACGTGGGGCGCCCATCGGTTCCGCCGACAACCATCTTGACCTGACTGCCACCAAGCCCACCAATGGACAAGAGCTACACATGTCCGCCATCGATTTGCGTCAATTGAAGCGACTCAGCCGCAGATGCAACATAATGCCTGTATGTACCTGCATGAGATTCAAAGCATGATGTGCGACACCTCCCTGATGAACTTTTTTCTTGTTCTTCTTCTTGATCTGATACAGGTGATTGGTCGAGCAGATGAACTCACTGAAGCCCAGCTCATTAACATTAAGAACGTTGTCCAGACTGACATGAAATCTTACGGCATCGATCTTGGTCTTTTTGCCGTTAGCGAGCCAGAATCGGACCAAGAGGATACATCTTCTGACCACCCCGAAGTGACTACGGCCTCCTCCAACTCATGCAAAAGCAACGAAGACGACGAAGCGCGCAAGAAACTACCTCGTCGAAAGTCTGCCGCCATTCTCACCCCTCGTCGGCCATTCTCAAGCATCGTGGATAGCTTGCAGGATCTGGATGGGGTCTGCGGCATGATTCCGTTGAGCGTGATCGGCGCCGAAGTGCTTCCGGGGAAATCGATGGATGCTGATGACCTCGAGCGACTGAATCGGATCAACCCTTTGTTTAGCATTCCAAATGATGAAGAGCCTTCTTCGATGTATGTCCGTCGCTTCAAGTGGGCGACTGTGGACGTCTTGAATCCCAGACATTGCGATTTTGTTCTCTTGAGGGCTGTAATCCTTGGTAGTCATTTCAAGAGATTGAAAGAAGCCACTCGATTAGAGAAAGTAAGTGATTATTTTCTTTTTTTTTTCCAAAGATGTTCTAGTTCCTTGATCTGATATCCGGACATTGACCTTGATGATCATCTTAGTATGAGAAGTATAGGACAGAGAAATTGCTTGCGAGACGGATGACGATGAACAAGGGTGCGCTGGGGATAGAAGAGCAAAGGAGAATAGCGATCGAAGTGGAGAAGATGGAGATCCCGCACATCGAGCCTGCCGTGTCGATCTTCGTCCCGTCCAGCGCTACCAACAGGCCGCCCTCCACCTCGGCCAACCTGTTCAAGCCCTCTGGCTGGCGCAAGAAGCAGCCCTCGGCCCCGGCGACCTCCGTCAAGCAACCCACCGCATACCCCTCTCCCACTAACACCGAAAACCATCTCTCATCCCGTCATCCTTCCCGCTCCCCTCCTCCCGAGAAGGCCAATAATTTACCCATGGTCTTCTGAACCAAATCTTCCCCCCCCCTGACTTTTCTGCCTCAGACCCTCGCAGCTAGCTGCGAGTTATATATATATATACATACTATGTACTCGATCGATTCTTGCACATTTCCTTTTTTTTGCCCCTCCTCATTGATATTGCTCTTTTTATACACACGTATGCGCGTCACGTTCAGACCCCGCGAAACGATGATGTCTTTTTTTTATTATTCCATATTTCGATCTATCGGTTCTTCTTTTGTCCCATACTCGAATGCTTTCATCAAATATAATAATCATGACTGACTGTGTTTCTGAAAACTCTCTCAATAGTCCCTTCCCTCCCTTGCTTCCATTTTATGAATGATTTCTTCTTCCATTTTTTTGGGTGTTTTGTTTTGATCAACTCCGATCCAAGTAGTTGGTCTCCTCCTGTATAACCCTTTCCTATCCCTCCCTCTTCATCTTGATATTCGCTCTCATTCACACTCATATATATCTTATCATTTTCATCAATCATCTCTTCCCAGAAACAAAACAAAAAAACCAGTCTTAGTGATTCTAATACTTATATGCTCTTTTTACATATATATATATATATATTCTTTTTGTTTATTAATCTTAATGTTATTTTGGTTTGATGATCTCACACTTCCACTTTGTTTTTTTTGTTTTTAAAATGACGAAATCAAGACTTGAACAAATCTTTGTATAATCCTTGTTTGGGCTTTGTGTTCGTGGGAGAGTTGGCTGGTGCCCGATGGAAGCAACCCCCATATGATTCTTGAATCTCTTTTTTCCTTATTTGTGGTGGGCTTCTTTTTTAATGAGGCAGGGGGGGGGGGCTACATAGATACATGAATATGTTTATAAGCTACCTGAAGTATTTTTGATCACATGTTTTTTGCTAATGTATTGTCCACCTCTCACACACACATACATGTACAACTTATATTGTAACTGAATTGATTGACTGAATCCTGATGGCTATGAGACACAATCTTGGCAAGACTATTTGAAGTACTGTTTGTATGTACAATCTGCAAGAGTTGATTGACACAGCAGAAAGCAAATTGTTTGATGGAATGATTATAGTGTCTCTTATTCTGTCAAAAGAAATACGGCCTATAATCTGAGTGAGACAAGGGTGGACAAGACGATATGTACTGTAGCCTTTTGGAAGGCACAAATGCACAGCTCCTGTTGGTGGGATTGAAAACCCCTTGGAGTAAGTGCAACACATCACAGGATTGGGAAAGGTATATCACAGTCACTCTTTCTCTCAAAATGGTTCCATATCTAATGTGAATCAAGTTTCCCTGGTCAATGGGAAGTCCTCCACTGTCTCTGTCTCATTTGAAAGCAGTGGGTATTCTGAGCACCTCTTGCATAACAAACCATCTTAACACATCATCTCAAACAAGCTGGATTATGAAATTCAATACACTCAAAGTTCAATCATACAACAGATCTAAGAGTGAAGTTAGCTACCTACTGAGCTGCATCATAGCAACGGTGGGCCAGCTACGCTAACCGTAGCGTTAGCGCAGCGTAGTGTAGCGATTTTTCGCTACAATTTAGCGTAGTGTTAGCGCTTGTTTCTTTTTTTGCGCTAACACTACGCGCATGGGGCGAAAACGTGCGCTAACGTTTAGCGTAGCGTTAGCGCGATTCCCCCCATCTGCGCTAACGCTACACGCACAGGCCGCCAAAAACTGCCCGCTACGCTGCGTTACGGCTGTTTTTAGCGGTTTTTTGCCGTTTTTTGCCGCTAAAAACGCTGTAGCGTAGCGTAACGCAGCGTAGCGGCGCCAGCGGCGCGCTAACACTACACCAAAAAAAGGTTAGTGTTAGCGCCGCTACAAATTAGCGTAGCGCAGCGGCCGTAGCGGCGCGCTAACACTACACGAAAAAAAAAAAATGGCGCCGCTACGCTAACGCTACATGGGCCCGTAGCGTAGTGTAGCGTAGCGGCCCACCGCTGATCATAGAAGAACTGTTGCAGGTTGACATGTAATATTACAAAGCCAATTTTCTAAGATTTTGTCTCAACTCCTAGAAAAAAAATCACAGTGATGGATTCAGCAATTAATCATTAAACATTCAATGTTGGGGTTCACAATTGAACTTTTTGCTTCTGAGTTTGATAAAATTCTTTTCTGGTTGCTGCATAGAAACCAGCAAACTCAGGAGACCTTCAGCACTACACCTTGCCTGAACAAATCAACTTTACACTTGCTACAGGCTGTCAAAGGGTTTGTTGGACCAAGACAACCAAGTCTCCATAGGCTTGATTGAATCAATTTGATCTGTTCAGTAAAATAAAGCTTTTACCAATGTTGTAAGCATATGTAAGTACTTTTGAGTTTCACAAGGGTTGCTTCTGGCAAATCCCAATTGTGAACCCCACTAATACATTCAATTCTCCATGATGCAACATATCATTATCAACAAACTTTGACCAACAAAGAAATATGAGGGTTTTTCTTTTGTGTAATAAACTAGGAAGGGACATTTAAGCATCACAAGTCAATTGGAGCTTTTATATCAATCTTGCCTGTTAATTATGTCTTGAAGCTGATGATCAGAATAGGTGAACTTCTAATCTTATCACCCACTGTCAGAAATCAAGATGTCACATTCAACACATCACACTGATCCTCTGGGAAAAATAGTCAGATCTCACTCAATAATGAGTTTCTGATCTTACAAGAGTATATACATAAACTACAGTTGAATCTGATGGAGGGTCATCCATAATTCCCCCTGCCCAAGAACCTGAACACCTTCAAATTGACTCTCAGGCAGTATGTATTTGTGCCCTGGAATCTTCACAGCTTGTTGAAGCAGTTGTACAGGAGTGTTATGCACTGCATTTCAGTAAGCTGTATCAGTCTTTCTCAATTTTTCTATGTGCGGAAACACCTCTCTTCCTGGTTGTTACATATTTGCATATTTATTTGGTTTTTCTTTTTGTCATTTTCTTCTGACACTTTCTGATCTACATGTTCTGTACTTATTGGTTCAGTAACAAGTTAAGGTTTCCAGATCTTGGTTGCTTTGCTCTCTGATTTGCCTCGGCCCATCGGCCAGATGGCAGAATCAGCCCACCAATTGCCCCACTGTCATTCCTCCGTCTCAGACCACTCTGGTGAGTCGTTCTCAACAGCACCTAGTATAGCTTCATCTCACATAAATATTCACAAAAATGTACATGGGCCCCACCGATAACCACATTTGCTTTGTGATTTCGCGATGATCGTGCCAGACCAAGTTCAGATTCCAAAGGAATCCATGACGGTATATCCATGCTGAGATATGGAGGTGGAGGAAAAGTATGACTCACGGCTAAATGTGGTTCTTCGGCCAAATTCAAAGAGAGCCCGGGCTTGGTGAGTCTTGACATTGTGGCTGCTTCCTGGCTATTAAACAAGAAACAGGGGTTTGAATTCTAAAGCCTTCAACATACTCAATTGCTTGGGACTTCAACTGAAATACATACGTGCCTTTGCCGCCTTCCGTTCCATAAATAGCACCAGCCCATTGGAGAGCCATTAGAAATTATTTTCCCAGCTCCTCATCGTGTCGGTAACTTGTTGCACTCAACTCAGCTGACAGCAACTCTTACAATACCTTTCTCCCATCTCGTCTTCTGACCTTTTGCAAACTGTCTCCTGTACTTTTGCTACCCTTTATTTAGCTTTTTCACCATGTCTTCTCCAATCGATGCGGCACCCCAAACCCATGCTTCCCCAGAGACTGCATTCACCATCCAAGAGGCTCGTGCTTTCTTATCCTTATCACGCGCTCCATAAGTGCTTTATTAATAAGATTATAAATTCTCATTTTCTAGATTGAAATGAATGTTGTCATGCCTCAACGCAACGGGTTCCCGGAACCTGCCATCGGGTCGCAACAGACTCAGGTTTGTGAATGTTGAAATATCATCTTCGTTCCATGATAGTTTTACTAACAGCTTTGTCAATCCTACTTTTTTTAGAATGAGATTGCTCACGTCGCCGGGCAAAGCCGCGCTTCCCCAGAGCCCACCACTGCTCTGCAACAGGTTTGTTTTTTTACACTTTCATTTGTTCGACAAACGTTTTACTGATAAGTTTATATCGATTTGCCTGTTGTTAGCTTGAGATAGTGCACGTTGAGAACGGCAACCACCCGGCGCGCGGCGAGGCAAATCCGGCACACATATCTGACACGGCTGTTCTCGATGCTGCCAGTCTGGCCTTGATCGATGGTATAAGGGCCTCTCAGGATCGCGATGTCACCTCCAACGAGAACAACAATCAGACCAACAGAGCTTCTCCTCGCCCACCATTACGAGCCATGATGAATCTCGACTACCCACGCATCCGATCAATGCTTCTGGGTAGTAATCCCAACCCTCCTAAGAAGGCCAATGGACGCCCGGCTTCCTCCACAGACATGCAGTCTTACAATGGAGCAGTCGAAGTTTCGCCTAACCCACCAAATACAGAAATGCTCGGCCTCCAGTATCATGCCATCCGCGCAGCGCTTTTAGGCATTCAGCAAGCTCCCCCGCGTAACCACGCTCCCAACCAACCGGGCGAGCAACCCCGCGAGATCACCGAGCAGGAGATAGTTGAGTTTTTAGAAGAGTGCGCTGGGGAGTTTGTCCGCTATAGTCGCGACTCTCAAGCATCCTGCGAAGCTGAGTTGGAAGCCCGAGTTAAACTTGTGGCCCAAATGCTTTGTAATTCTAAAAAGGCTGTTTTGATCCAAGAAAGACTTTTTCTTAGGTTCTCGTTGTAACTTCTAAATAGTACCAATACCATCATACTATCCTATTATTAGTCAGGACTATTATCCGATTGTTTATTGAAGATGGTTTCTAAGGCTTTAAAAGTTATGACAAAACATGAAAATTGCAATCTATTTGTCGGGAAAGTATTGGATCATATTTCATGATATGTTTTGATAACGGTGTTGCGGGCGCTAGCTTTTCCCAAACGTGCCCATCGGAGTAGTGTCAAGACGTCAAGCGAACCTACTCCCGAGTGCAAAGCGGCACATAGGCTGATGGTGCATTGCGAGGCGAGGCTGCGCTACAAGTTGCATCGCTGTCCGGAGGCCGGGATCCTGATTATCGGGTCCAAAAAAACGCTAAAGCATGAGCACCTGCGGGACGGGTTTGGCCTCCCGGCGGAAGTACTTTAACAGGTATGGTCGCGGGCTTTCTTGAAGCATACCATTTGTCCCGGAGCACAACCTCATGCGTCTCAGAAGCTGTAAGGATGCTTGTTCTGAAGCTGAATGATGAGTCACCCCCCTCTCCAGGCTGGCTTCTTTTGGGGCATAAATGTACACGTATCTGAAACAATCAGCATAGGCGGACCCACGGTAAGGTTAAGATCGGTCAGCATGATCTATTCCAGACAATACTTGTGCTGCAACGGGTAACGGGCCACTGTTGATGTATGGCACATGGATTCTATCCAAAGGTTTTTCCGCTTGTTCTTTTTTTTGATAAAAAACTTTTTTTTGATAAAAAAAAGCCAATAGTTCTACGTTGGAAGGGAGCTCAGCATTATCACAAAAAGAAACCAAGCCGTCCATCTGTCCGCAAATTATGAAGAGGGCCATCCTGTATGAGCGGCTGCTGGTAGGCTTCCTACTGCTGATTACTGAATGCACCACGACAGGCGATTTCACTCCCGAATCTCTCGCACGATGGCCAGACCAATCTGTCCGGGAGGGTCTGTCGAGAGAAGCAATTGCGGAGTCCGATCCAGGACTCGAAGGAAGCCGCTCGCAACGAGATTCGTATTCTATGGTCCACCCGGCTCCTGTTCAGATGAAGGAAACCAGACCTCAGAAAAGAATCAAACTACTGGGGGTATTCATGGAGCCTAACGTCCCACCTCAACCTCAACCAAGAATGAAACTAATGGGATCTTTCATGGAGCCTCAAGCTCTACCTGAACAAGCAATGGAATCAATTGGGGCTTCCGTGGTTTCCAACGGCCCATTGACTCCTAGAAACAATCATGAAGTCGTCAAGCCATCGGTTCAATCGAATCCGACTACGTCTTTGGAGGAATCGACTGAAATAGAAACTGCATTGAACCGAGATAGCCCACCATCCCCAGGATCAAAAACATACAACTCTAAGATCGTTCCTCCTAGCGAACCTTCCCCGATTGTCGTTCAGGATGTCTCGAATTCTAACGATCAGCCGACTCGGGAAAAGGGATTGCAGGGAGATTTTAATCCGATGGAATTGAATTTTGACTATGATCTGTTCGAACATTCCCCATCACTCTCCACAAGTGAAGGCTCAAAAGCCAAAATATTGCAAGTTTTTGAGAACCTTGGTATTAAAAAACTCAAGATGAAGGTGGAAGATTTTGTCGAGAATCAGCACGACTTCCAGGAAATGGATCAAGAGCCTCTACCGAGTACTTATACCGCTACAGAGAGGAAGAGTGCGCTCAATCTTCGAAGAAATGATAGATTAAGGATAGCTCTTGATCATTTTTCAAGGGATCCGGAAATATGGTATAACCATTGGGCACAGCAGGCCGGTTTCGATTCGAGTTCATGTGTCCGAAAGATAGACTCTCTCCCCGACAATCGGGTCAAAGAGGTAGCGAGGCTCTATTTATTTTACGTTGAGATGATCAGTACGATTGTGCCAAGTGAAAAAGAAGGAGAAAGTGTGGGCTCACATCTATCGAAAGCAGTTCAACTTCTCGAAGACGTGATGAACTCGGACAAGACTCGGAAAACCAGGTTTCAAATACATGTCGAAATGAGGAAACAGGCGGAAGGGCGTGGGCCATCCCATTCTTTAGCTGCCGTTTGGACTTTGGTAAGATGGTGGCTAGCAAGTTCGAGAAATGACATCCTTACACAACTGGAAATCAAACATAAACCATTTCGTAATACTAAGATTTTTTTCAACTTTATTTTTCGTCACTCGATTGAAATTCTCAAGCAAAGGCTGGAGAGCAGCAGCAGAATCATCAAAGAATTGAACGCCTGAAGTCGGATCTTTCTTCCATTTGAATTAATGTTTTCCCTCTAATTTACGTGTCTCTCCAATCAGACTTAGAACTAAAGAAAATGCATTTTTTGCTCATAAACATGGCTTGTTTGTACCCTGTGATGATATCATGGTCCACTCCCAAGATAACCAGGAGAAAAAACACACACATAAACTAAGTAAACTCAAGACAATATTAATCACAATTGAACGATTTCAAGAGAAAAAAAAAACTATCAAGTCTATGAGTGATCTTCAAGAAAAACAAAATCAGAAAAGTAGAAACATATCATGAGGTGAGATGAAAACAAGACAAAAAAATCACAACAAAAGAGAATAAGGGGTTTAGCTATTATCTGTCAGAGCTGAGGGCCCATGAGAAACCTATTTCAATGATGGTTATGAGATATTTTCAGCCAATTCCTTCGATAGATTGTTGTGTTATTTTGATGATTGATTGAATGAAATTTTGAATATGAATTTATGAAGTCAGGCCATGAGAATTGAACTAGAATAATAAATAAAAAAAGAAAAACAAGAAAAGAAAAGATCTATGCCCACCTGATGGTCAACCAAGACCCATTCTGTCATTCTTGGAATAGAGCAGCTCAAACTTGTTGAAAAAAAGTGTGACCTGTTGTGACCCAACCTGACCAATTTTGTTCTGAGTCAGGTTGGGCTAGAAAATCATCCTTGATATTAGTAAGCTTGGACTTCAATGGTTTTGTGGAGCTGCTACATATGCTGCTGATTGCCATTCCAAACCATAGACAAAGATAAGGAAACCCAGCCAATTTAGTGTTTTTTTGTTTATAACTTATCAGAACTGATAAGAATAGTCACTACAAAAAATCTTGAATTGCATTTTGCAGATGCATGGTAACATCACATGTCACATGCAATGTCACCTCGCATTTGCAAAATGCAATCAAATTTGTAGTGCCAAAAAATTCAATCACATTTTGCAAATGCAAAGTGACATCCCATATTGTGACATGCAATGTTACCAAGCATCCGCAGAATGTGATCCAAGATTTTTTGTAGTGAGGGACAAAAAGGTTTTTCAACAAAGTCTAAACAACAAGACATGTACAGTCTCCTCCCAGATGTTTATAGCCATCTGGGTTGAGCTCCACCAAGGGAGCCCAAAAACATCAAGTCACATTAAGAGTTTGTGGAATGGTGGAAAATGGGTTTCAAAGAATGAATATGAAAAAAATGATAATAAAAAAACAATATTTTAAGGGCCTTAATAAAAAAACCCGCATTTTCCGCATTTTGACGCGCTTTTGCTGTGCGCAGCACACGCGCATTCCGTGTTTAAACCCGCATTTTTAATTATTTTTTTTTTGCCATTAATTTCGAGTTTTTTTGATTTTTTGAAGTTGTTTCCTACACTTTAAAAGGTGTAGAATTTAATGGTAAAAACCATTTTCCATAAAAATGAATTTTGATTATTAATTATTTTTTTCACTCATTTTTCAAGTATTTGTTTGCTTTAAGTTTTTTACCTCATTTTTCAAGATTTTGTGTAACTTTAAAGTTGTTTCCTACATTATTAAGTGTTTAGAAATTTATGGTGAAATCCAATTTTCATAAAAATGAATGGATCATTTTTAATAATGCAATTACACCCATTTTTTCACTTAAATCTTTAGAGCTCAATTTTCATTCTTTTTTCACATTTTGAACTTTTTTCCTACACTTTCAGACATGTATAAATTTATGGTAAAAATTATTTTGAATCAAAGTGAGAACTACATCTTGTATACTGCATTTGACACCATTTTTTTTATTTAATTCTTCACTTTTTCACTCAATTGTTTGCATTAATTTTTTTACCTTATTTTTTGGGCCTTAATAAAAAAACGCGGTTTTTCCGCGTTTTGACGCGGTTTTGATGCGCCGCAGCACACGCGGTTTCCGCTTTTAGACGCGGTTTCGTAATTAATTTTTTATGGGTTATTTTTTGACTTTTTTTGAATTTTTAAAGTTGTTTCCTACACTATAAAAGGCGTAGAATTTAATGGTAAAAACCATTTTTCATAAAAATGAATTTTGATTATTAATTATTTTTTTTCACTCATTTCTCAATTAATTGTTTGCATACATGTATGTACCTTATTTTTTATGTTTTTTTAAAATTTTAAATTTATTTCCTAGGTTTTAATATGCGTAGAATTTAATGGCGCAGTCCAATTTTTTTAAAACTTCACGGTTCACTTTTAATACTCAAATTACACCCATTTTTTCACTTAATTTTTTACAGCTTAATGTTCATCATTTTTTGACATTTTAAATTTATTTCCTACACTTTAAGACATGTAGAAAATTATGGTATCAACCATTTTTCCCCAAAATGAAAACTATACCTTGAATGCTGCAGTTGACACGTTTTTTTATTTAATTCCTCACTTTTTCACCTAATTGTTTGCATACATGTGTGTACCTTATTTTCTATGCTTTTTTGAAATTTTAAAGTTGTTTCCTACATTTAAAAGTGTGTAAAATTTAATGGTAACATTCAATTCCCATAAAACTCAACGGTTCATTCTGGATACTGTAATTAGTCATATTTTTCAATTAATTTTTAAGAGCTTAATTTTCATTATTTTTTGACATTTTAAATTTGTTTCCTACACTTTCAAACATGTATAAAATTATGGCAACAATGAATTCTCATCAAAATGAAAACTATATCTTGGATAATGCCTTTGACGTGTTTCCTGAATTAATTCTTACACACTCAATTATCCTTATTTTTTGGAATTTCAAGCTCATTTCCTACACTTTTAAAGGTTTCAGAATTGATGGCTGTATCCATTTTGCATTCAAATAAAATTTGTATATGGTACAAATTATGCAAGAAACAGGGTACGCTCATCTATTAAGATTGAAGCTTGTATTTTGAGTGAAAGTGGACTTCACCATTCAATTCTAAACATTTGTAAATGTAGGAAATAAATTTAAAATAAAAAAAAATGCTTAAAATCAGGCCGGTAAAAATCAATCAAAAAAACATTAAAAAAAGCGTGTCCACTGCAGTATTCAGGAACAAGCGCTGATTTTTATGTAAAATGGTTGTTACCATCATCTTTATCATGTATTAAAGTGTGGGAAATAAACTTAAAATCTCAAAAAATAGTGAGAAATAACATGTAAAGAATTAATTGAAAAAAGTGTCTAGTTTCAGTATTAAAAATGAACTGTTGAGTTTTAAGAAAATTGGATGTTACCATTAAATTCTACACACTTTTAAATGTATGAAAAAACTTTAAAATTTCAAAAAAGCATAGAAAATAAGGTACACACATGTATGCAAACAATTAGGTGAAAAAGTGAGGAATTAATTAAAAAACGTGTCAAATGCAGCATTCAAGGTATAGTTTTCAACTTGGGGAAAAATGGTTGATACCATAATTTTCTACATGTCTTAAAGTGTAGGAAATAAATTTAAAATGTCAAAAAATGATGAAAATTAAGCTGTAAAAAATTAAGTGAAAAAATGGGTGTAATTTGAGTATTAAAAGTGAACCGTGAAGTTTTAAAAAAATTGGACTGCGCCATTAAATTCTACGCATATTAAAACCTAGGAAATAAATTTAAAATTTTAAAAAAACATAAAAAATAAGGTACATACATGTATGCAAACAATTAATTGAGAAATGAGTGAAAAAAAATAATTAATAATCAAAATTCATTTTTATGAAAAATGGTTTTTACCATTAAATTCTACGCCTTTTATAGTGTAGGAAACAACTTCAAAAATTCAAAAAAACTCGAAAAATAAGCCGTAAAAAATTAATTAAAAAACCGCGTCTAAAAGCGGAAACCGCGTGTGCTGCGGCGCATCAAAACCGCGTCAAAACGCGGAAAAACCGCGTTTTTTTATTACAGCTATTTCGGAAAGGGTTGTCCACTTGGACTCGCGAAATCTTTTTTATTTTTTTATTTTTTTTATTTTTTATTTTTTTACTGAACTGGACCTGTCAGAACTGAACTAGTGATGACAGCTGTACCTCCTCGGCTGTAGTTCAGTACAAAGAAAAATTTAAAAATTTTCAAAAAAAAAAAAAAAATTGCGAGAGACAACTGGACAACCCTTTCCGAAATAGCTGTAAGGCCCATTTTTTATGCTTTTGTGAAATTTTAAAATTATTTCCTAGGTTTCAATGTGTGTAGAATTTAATGGTGCAATCCAATTTTTTTAAAACTCAACGGTTCATTTTTAATACTGAAATTAGACCCATTTTTTCACTTAATTTTTTACAGCTTAATTCTCATCATTTTTTGACATTTTAAATTTATTTCCCACACTTTTCATCATTTTTTGACATTTTAAATTTATTTCCCACACTTTAAGACATGTAGAAAATGATGGTAACAACCATTTTTCCCCAAAATGAAAACTATACCTTGAATGCCACATTTGACACGTTTTTTTTAATTAATTCATCACTTTTTCACTTAATTGTTTGCATACATGTGTGTACCTTATTTTCTATGCTTTTTTGAAATTTTAAAGTTTTTTCATACATTTAAAATTGTGTAGAATTTAATGGTAACATCCAATTTTCTTAAAACTCAACAGTTCATTTTTAATACTGAAACTAGACACTTTTTTCAATTAATTCTTTACATGTTATTTCTCACTATTTTTTGAGATTTTAAGTTTATTTCCCACACTTTAATACATGATAAAAATGATGGTAACAACCATTTTACATAAAAATCAGCGCTTGTTACTGAATACTGCAGTGGACAGGCTTTTTTTAATGTTTTTTTGATTGATTTTTACCGGCCTGATTTTAAGCATTTTTTTTATTTTAAATTTATTTACTACATTTACAAATGTTTAGAATTGAATGGTGAAGTCCAATTTCACTCAAAATACAAGCTTCAATCTTAATAGATGAGCGTACCCTCTTTCTTGCATAATTTGTACCATATACAAATTTCATTTGAATGCAAAATGGATACAGCCATCAATTCTGAAACCTTTAAAAGTGTAGGAAATGAGCTTGAAATTCCAAAAAATAAGGATAATTGAGCGTGTAAGAATTAATTCAGGAAACACGTCAAAGGCATTATTCAAGATATAGTTTTCATTTTGATGAAAATTCATTGTTGCCATAATTTTATACATGTTTGAAAGTGTAGGAAACAAATTTAAAATGTCAAAAAATAATGAAAATTAAGCTCTTAAAAATCAATTGAAAAATATGACTAATTACAGTATCCAGAATGAACCGTTGAGTTTTATGGGAATTGAATGTTACCATTAAATTCTACACACTTTTAAATGTAGGAAACAACTTTAAAATTTCAAAAAAGCATAGAAAATAAGGTACACACATGTATGCAAACAATTAGGTGAAAAAGTGAGGAATTAATTAAAAAAAAACGTGTCAAATGCAGCATTCAAGGTATAGTTTTCAACTTGGGGAAAATTGGTTGATACCATAATTTTCTACATGTCTTAAAGTGTAGGAAATAAATTTAAAATGTCAAAAAATGATGAAAATTAAGCTGTAAAAAATTAAGTGAAAAAATGGGTGTAATTTGAGTATTAAAAGTGATCCGTTGAGTTTTAAAAAAATTGGACTGCGCCATTAAATTCTACGCATATTAAAACCTAGGAAATAAATTTAAAATTTCAAAAAAACATAAAAAATAAGGTACATACATGTATGCAAACAATTAATTGAGAAATGAGTGAAAAAAAATAATTAATAATGGAGGACTTCCCGTCAGATCTGGGACCCTCGCAGAAGTTGATCTAGAGCCGAAAACTCTTAATTCTCGCAGAGAAATTTGAATTTCGCGGCTCTAAACCGACTCTGGGAGACCCGCAGATGTTGACGGGAAGTCCTCCAATCAAAATTCATTTTTATGAAAAATGGTTTTTACCATTAAATTCTACGCCTTTTATTCACAATGAAAAATTGTTCTTGAATAATGCATTCCACATTTTTTTTTAATTAATTCTTACACGCTTAATTATCCTTATTTTATGGAATTTTAAGTTCATTTCCTACACTTTGAAAGGTTTTCAAATTGTTGGCTGTATCCATTTTGCATTCAAATAAAATTTGTATACAGTACAAATTATGCAAGAAATAGTGTACACTCTTATATTAAGATTGAAGCTTTTCTTTTGAGGCAAAATGAATTCTACCATTAAATTCTACACACTTTTAGATGTAGGAAATAGATTTAAAATTTCTAAAAATGATTAAAATTGAGCTGGTAAAAATTAATTAAAAAAACATCAAAAAAAACCTGTCCAACGCAGTATTCATTACCAATCTTTTGTTTTCATGCAAAAGGATTTTTACTATCATTTTAACCATGTCTTAAAGTGTGGGAAATAAATTTGAAATGTCAAAAAATAATGAAAATTAAGCTGTAAAAAATGAAGTGAAAAAAGTGTGTAATTTGAGTATTAAAAGTGAACAGTTGAGTTCTAAAGAAATTGGATTGCACCATTAAATTCTACGCACATTAAAACCTAGGAAATAAATTTAAACTTTCAAAAAAACATAAAAAATAAGGTACATACATGCATGCAAACAATTACTTGAAAAATGAGTGAAAAAAAATAATTAATAATCAAAATTCATTTTTATGGAAAATGGACTTTACCATTAAATTCTACACCCTTCAAAGTGTAGGAAAAAATTTTAAAAAATCAAAAAAACTCGAAATTAATGGCAAAAAAAAATTAATTAAAAATGAGGGTTTAAACACGGAATGCGCGTGTGCTGCGCGCAGCAAAAGCGCGTCAAAACGCGGAAAATGCGGGTTTTTTTATTAAGGCCCTATTTTAAAATTATTTTGTGAGAAAGGATAAAAGAAAATCTACTTTTTTTTGGTTGAGTGAAAAGTGAACACACAAGAGGGCAATTGGTTTGGAACATGAAATGAATGATTAAAAAATGAAAAATATTGATCCAAAAAAAAGTTTGAGCATGGTGGGTGGACGACACCCTGCATTCAAAATTAGGAGACTAGATTGCCGTACCAGAATGCCATATTTCTTGATGAATGACCCCCTAAGCACCCTTGTTAAACCACCAAGTAGTCATTTTTTTGGGGGGTCTTGGCTAATCGACTCCCAAAAATTGGAGAGTCAACTCCCAAACCCCGGATTTTCCACCAAAATCCCCAAGAAATGGGAGTCAATCCCCCAAACCCGTCAGCGGGTTTGGGAGTCAAAACCCCAAGAAAAATAATAATAATAAAAGCCAACCCCCCAAGGAGTTGAGGGTCAATGCCCCACCCAAAACCCACTAGGTTTTGGGGGTTGCTAACCAAAAAGAGCCCGCCACAGCGGGGAGGATTCCTCCTGGCCGCTGATGGCACACCCTCAGCGGCCAAAAGAAAGACTCTCGGCCGTTGAGAGTGTACACCCTCAGCGGCTGAGAGAAACAGTCTCCGCCGATGCAACAGCCGGGAGAAAGACTCTCAGCTGTTGAGAGGGTACACCCTCAGCGGCCAAGAGAAACACTCTCGTCCGTTGAGAGTGTACACCCTCAGGGGCCAAGAGAAACACCCTCAGCGGCCAAGAGAAACACTCTTAGCCGCTGAAGGTGTTTATCTCCTTGGCCGTTGAGAGTTACACCCTCCACGGCCAAGACAGTTTCTCTTGGCCGCTGAGGGTGTACACTCTCAACGGCCAAGAATGTTTCTTTGGGCCGCTGAGGGTGTGCCATCAGCGTCTGGGAGGCATCCTCCCGGCCGTCGTGGGCTCTTTTTGGTTAGCAACCCCCAAAGCCCAGTGGGTTTTAGGTGGGGCATCGACCCTCAACTCCTTCGGGGGTTGGCCTTTTTTTTATTATCATTTTTCTTGGGGTTTCGACTCCCAAACCACCCGCTGACGGGTTTGGGGGATCAACTCCCATTTCTCGGGGATTTTGGTGGAAAATCCGGGGGTTTCAGGGGTCGGGAGTCAGCTCTCCAATTTTTTCAGAGTCGATTAGCCAAGACCCTTTTTTCCAAATTTTCACTTTCATCTTTTCCTGAAAGAAATATGACAACTATCAGTTTGTGTGATTTTTCTCCTTTTTAGCATTACTTTTTCACAAATTCTATAATCTTGTTTCTCATTATTATTATTATTTTTTCATATTCATTCTTTGAGACTGATTTTCCACCATTCCATTCACTATTGTGACATTGAAATGTTTGGCTTCCAGGTGACCGTGTGGAGCTCAATTAAAGGAGATGGCTATCCAGATCTGGGAGGAGGAGACTGTATACTCCAAAAGGTTGTGATAAGCTCTGATTCCATGTCCATGGTGAACAGGACCACACACACATACATAGATCAAAGTATGTAGTCCAAAGCACCTGATTTGATTTGGCCCTCACCACCACCACCACCACCAACCAATGATTCTCCAACCGGATCCAAACTACATATAATCATCTATCCATTCCATGCATGCAAGATCCAGGCTTTCCTTATAAGACTCAACCCAGTTCTGTTTTCAGCCCCCAACGAGAAGAAAAAAGACATGTGATGACTTCATTGATAGAGAACAAAGAAGAGCAACAAAAACAAAGATTATGTAGCAGAGACATGGAAGCACAAATCTAGCATGCTGATCCGACTGCACAACCTCATGCATGTAGAATATATGTATATATGTATGTACAAATTCTGAGTATTGGTTGGATGGATGGGATGTCCACATTGATCAACATTTTGGATTGGTGTTGGTATTGGTGGGTGGAGGGAAGAGAGAGAGGTAGAGAAAGAAGGCGATGTTTTTGGCGCCCAAAAAAGAAGAAGAAGAAGAACAGAAGAACAGAAGAAAGAGAAAACAAGAGGATCAAAGGACCGTCAAATCCAGGACATCATCATGATCGAGATCATGGTCGGAGACGATCGAAGAGAAGGGAAGGTCCTCGCCATCGAAGGAGATTTTGAATTTAGTAGGGTCAGGAGAAGGGTGAAGGAAGTTGAGATGGATGAGGGAGTTTTTGAGGATGGAGCGGATCGAGGTGGACGGTTTGACGCTCAGCTCGACCTTCTGTTTGTCCTTGGTGCGCACGGTCAAGTTGATCAGTCCGACGACCGACTCCTGCGGCTCGGCTCCCCCGTCTGCCCCCTCCATCGGAACCTCCGTCGCTTCGCTCCGCCCCCGTTCACTCCCGATCGGTAGGTTCTTTAACTCCTCCCGAAGAACCTCTTCTTCGTCTGCTTGTCTTGGTTTCTGGGCCCGATGGCGTCGTAAATCAGACACATATTCCCAAGCACTACTCTCATATACTTCTACAGAACCAACAACACACAATCCAGTCAGCTTTTTTTTTTTTTTTTTTTCTTGTCCGGTCAAGAGGAATCTTTCTCTTCGTATGAGGTTTGGATGTTCATTAAGATGAAATCGCGGGATGACTGACTGAGAGCGGTGTTTCCGCCATAGATCCTAACCGATTCGGGTGTCACGAAGGGCGATAATTTGATGTGATCGTAAGAGACCACCAATTGGTCAGCGGGCAGTCCGGTGATCTCGTGGAATCTCTGGTAGACGACATCGAACTGTTCTCCCTGTATAATATAAGGACGTGATTGATCGAGAGAGGCAAGGACGATGAGGATAGACTCTCCAGCATGATGGAGGGGGAGGGAGTAATCCCACCCTGACGGATGGGGAGGAGGAAGCAAGAGGACATACCGATTGCATGATGAAATGGATCGGGCGTTCGTAATGCTCTTTAGTCTGTAGAGTAGCGGTGGCAGCGAAGCGAGGGTCCATGACCATATTGATAGTGAACGTGATGGGGGTGCCAAGAGCATGATTAGCGGGGGCGCGATTGGGGCCTCTGTGAGCGTTGAGTCCACGCGCATTGACGGTGGTGTAAGTATCAGGGATTGTCGGGTCGTCCAAGCCGTTTAAGGTCTGGATCAGCTGGGCCTCCTCGACCTTTCGGGCGGCCTCGGCGGCCTGCTTCTGCAGCGAGGACGCGTGGCCTTGTTGGGTCAGCGTCTGGTACAGTGCTTTCATCGTCTTCCGGATCACTTGCTCATCCGGCGCCGGAGGCGGCGTAGGCGATCTCGACTTTGCTGGACTCTTCTCTGCCCGTTTGGCCCCGTTTCGTGGCTTTTGATCCGTGCCATCTCGCGATCGTTTCGCTTGGTCATCCGCTTGATTCGATCCTTCATTTTCTTCAGCTGATAAACTATGAGGCATTACCAAGAATTAGGGTAGAAAATCCTGGTCAAGATCTTGATCATGAAAAATTTCCCCTGACCAATAAAGAGAATTGATCGAACAAACCTCTCGGCAGCAAGGATTTGAGAAGCCCTAGTCCAGGTAGGAAGAGGCCTCGACGAAAGACGTTTCTTATTCTTACAATCGTCCTCACTCATATCATCGCTATCGTCGCCATCGTCGTTCGAGTTTTCATCGCCACTGAGGTCGACGAGGTTTAGTTTCTGGGCTGGCGGATCAAGACTTGATCGGGTGGGCGATTTCGAGGTCGATGGTTCTGAAAAAAAAAAAAAGGATGGGTAGGTGGGGGTTCAATAGATTCAACATGGACTGACATTTTTTTTTTTTTTATAGGAATTTAAAATGGAGACTTACTGCTCGGCGCTGGTGAATGTTTAGTCAAGCCGAGCGTTTTGGAAACGAAATGACGGGGTTGACGGCTCGACAAGTTAAAGAAATCTGAACCAAAAAAATCAAAATTGATGAGCCCCCACCCCCAAAAAAAGCAACATCAACAGATCCGCCCCAACGAAAGGCTGTGTTCATTTGAGCTTGTATAGACGTACCCCCTTCATCGTCATCGTTAGGATTCCGATTAGCGGCGGCTGGAGGGGGGATTTTCTTGATTGGCCGATGGGCACGAATAGGTCTAGGTCTAGGAGGGACGGGTTTATTTTGAGGAGGATGAGGTTGATTGATGTGAGGCGAAGGATTATCGTTCTCCATTTTAGGATCTTGCGGTCTTGGAGAAAGAGGCGTAGTATGATCAGACAAACCGGAGGTCTGTCTGGCGCGTTTAGAGGGGGATTGAAGCGGACGGGAGGGTTCGCGCGACGCAGAGTCAGACGAGCGATTACGGCCGATGCACTCCTGTTTTTTGTCTTCTTCTTCTTCTTCCAGCTTGGACGGGGGAGCTTTGCGTGGCCGGGAGGATCTGACGGGGATCGGACTTGCTGAGGACTCGGGCGAGAAGGGGGCCCGCTTGTGGGATGGTGTGGCGGGTGCTGGTGGAGTTGGGGATGGGGAGCGTGGCGGGGCCCGTTTGGGACGGCGTTGCGGGATCGGACTGGGTGAGGGTGAAAAAGCTACTCGGTCCGACTGTTGATTGTTATTATCATTATCCTGGTTGACATCCGTTTGGTTGTTGATGCTGGTATCTTGTTGATTGACGAGAGCCGTGTTTTCTTGTCCGTTGTTCGCTACTTGAACATGATTATGATCAGGCCGAGTATCGGTCTGATTAGGAATATCTGGCTGGTGATGGTCAGCTTGTCCGTTGGAATTTGACTGGTGGTAGTTTTCTGGGTGCTTCTCGCGGGTTTCTATATTCTGGGGAGTGATTTCTTGATTGGTCTCCATTGGGGTTTCAGTGGCTGCCGGATTGCTGTTCATGTCCATCGGAGAGATACCGATCTCTGTGAAATTGTGAAGGTCTTTCTTATTTTCGCTGTCAGTGATCTGATGATTGTTGTTGCTCTCTGGCTGGTTATTGCTTTCTGAGAGCTGATTGGGTTGTTCTTGGTCGCCCCTGCTGTGATCTGCCAGTGGGACTTGGTGTTGGTTGGGTGTGTCCATCTGTTCAGTCAGTTGAGTGTTTTTGTTTTTGTTTTTGTTGTTCTTGTTTTTGTTGTTGGTGGTGGTTGAGTTGTGAGTTGGTTGAGTTGCTAGTGGCTGGTAGAGTGGTGCTTGATAGTTTGGGTCATTCTTTTGGGCTAATCTTGAGGATGTTCTTCTGCTACTGCTTGTTGTTGTTGGTTGGCCTGTTTTAGAGAATGTTGTTCAGTTGTTTTGTGTTGTTGTTGTTGATGATGATGAGTGAGGATTGATGCTTACAAGTACTGCTCTTTCGTTTGGCCATCTCGGCTGTTGTAAATACTTATTTCCAATTCAACCAACTGCCACTTCACTTCCAAAATCGAAAGATATTGTGTTCTTGAGCAAGTTTCTTACCGAAGACTTGACTGGGGGCACACTGAGCCCTTTGTTGTCTATCAGAAGCCTTCTTACATAAAATTCTTCCCTCACATTCATCAAACACAACAAACTTGTTGATTACCTGCTGCTTTGGGCACTCCTCTCTCCAATCCAATCCAAACATGACTTAACTTGACATAATAGCCCTCAGATCAGATACTCCATGACCGGCTCTCTATTAGAATATCATCCACACCCCCATGTTAGTATGGCTCATGTTCAAATTCCCTGCGCCGGTCACCCCGGGTTGCTGCTGTGGTGTTCCGGGAACCTGGCCGAGAAAAGACGGCAAACGGCCGTAGCGGGGGGCTGACTGCGGCAGGGTCTGGGTTGGAGGCCCCTCGCCGATTGAAGTGGTCAAACTGTGTCGAATCAGAATCAGAGTCAAAAATCTCCTCCCACCTTCATTCGGACTTCTCAAGACTCACAAGAACTCAAGCCACTCAAGATCTCAAGAACTCAAGCCTCCCAAGATCTCAAGACTGCACCATCATCATCCCAGACAAGTAACCGATCAAACTTGCTCACCAAGGAACAGACAGCCCCAGATTGACTAGAATATGTGAATACATCGATTGCTACAGGCTCACCTCAAAAAAACACTCTCTCATCATGAAACAGAAACTACCTCAGCCGTTCTATGGCCCACTAAGGTCCACACATCCATCCTACACCCGACCCCATCCCCCATCAGGACCATCATCACCATACGCCTCCTCCTCCTCCTCCTCGTCTACTTCCAGCTTCCAGTTCCCCAGCTCTCGATCGCCCAGTCCCTTCGAAATCTTCCATCTTCCCCGCTCCGCCTCGACCAGTCAAATCAAGGAGCGCTACTACCAGCTCGTCAAGCTCTACCATCCCGACGTCGCTGGATCCAAGAGCAACGGTGCAAGCTCGCTCCAGGAAGAGGAAATCACACGGAGGTTCAAGCTGATCAGGGATGCATACGAACTCCTGAGCTCGCCCTCCAGGAGACAACGCTACATCAACTTCCACGAAGGATGGCACGACAGTCGAGCCCAAACTCCCAACCGGAGCTGGAGGAATAATCATACCAGGGGCTATCGGCATCCAGACCCGGACTTCAACCTCTCCTCAGTCTGGACGCAGTTCATCAACAGACATCGCTCGGCCCGGGCAGGATTCTACTCGAGCGTCAACGATGACGGCTCGACTAATGGATTCAACACCCATCACCACCAACAAGACTCCCCGGGCGGATCGTATACGTTCAAGCAACAGTGGGACCGGGACGGCTTGTTCACCAAGAACGGGGTCTTCATCAGTGCCGTCGGTTGCATCAGTCTCTGTCTCTACCTCGTCCAGCTCTGGAGGGTCCTCCCCCTCGTCGGCTCCCCCGATCATCCCCTCCAACCCTCCTCCTCCTCCTCCTCATCCGAGAAGGAGAAGCACAAGTTTCGCGCCTTCATCGAGCCCGCTGGAGATGCCAGATTGGACCAAGAAGCATGGGCGAAGTTGCGTGCGATCCAATTCACTCCCATCGACCCCCACCGGCCCCTCATCCCCTCTCAGCACTCGCAGTCTCCATCTCCCTCTCCTCCCGCACTACTAGATCATCATCAGAATCCGGAACCTAATCATCGCTTCTACTCCAGCTCCTTCCAGGACCGGATCCAGAAACAAAACCTCAAGGCCCTCTCCGACCTCAAATCCGCACGCGCGTCTGCCGTCAAACCCAGCGTCTTCTCCAACAGGATCTCGGCCGACTCGGCCCATTCTCCTCCTCCTACTCCTGCTACTTCCTCCTAGTCCATCACCAAAACAAACCTCATAACAACAGCAATAACGATAAAACTACTTGCTCTGGTTGTTTCTTTCTTCTCTCAGGATTTTGATTAGACATATCCTTCCTCTTTCTCTCTCTTGTTGGTTCGCGTTGTTTCTGTCTGTACTCTTTATTCCCTCCTGATCGTACAAGCATATCGTCTTCTTTCGAGCATCCATCCCCTCCACTCGATCACTGGTTCTTTCTTAACTACACGGAAAGAAAGAGAGAGCGGGGCCTTGTTCGGATCGACCGCCGGCGCCACCAGGAGTGCGTCGCGGATCCCCCATCCTCCGTACATCCATTCCCCCACCTCTCTCATCCACCAACCATTTACATCAAAAAACATTCTCAACCCTCACATGTATCATTCGCACTTTTTTTTCTTTTTTTTTTCTTCTCCCTTTTGTTGTATATATCAAACTGAACTCAGGTTGTGGGTCTTTTGAATCGGGTACATGCGCTAGAGAGAAGACAAAGTCACTAGATGAGTGAGTTCAACTCCTCAACCAACCCCACCATTCATATGAAAAGAGCCACCTGGTGTCACTGAGATTCTGGGTTGTGCACGGGGTGACGTCATTATGGCGTTGTTAGGCTAGCGGTAAACTGGGGCCTTGCCATGGGCATGTGGCCTCGTCAGGGGTTCGACTCCCCTACAACGCATGAGTGTTTTCAGCTGAATATGGGCCGTCATTTTTGGCGCCTCGGGGCCGGCCAGATATCCTCTTTCGAGGCTGGTCTTCTTTGATCGAGCTACATAGTTTGTTTTGTGAGACACAGACACGGCCGATTGGTTTACATATTGTCTTTTCAGAATTCCTTGGAACCTCTCAAAAAAATTTTGTCTTGGCAGATTGCATAAGTTTAGAAAATCCCTATTTTCAAAACTCATGCAGTCAGATAATGTTGCACGGTCCACACCTGCAAGCTCACGAAGACCAAGTCGAACCTCATGCCGTGTCAAACCCTACATCAGGTGATGATCACCATCTGATTTGCCCATCGGTGGGTCGGCCACCCGGGTCCCTTCCACGCTCAACCATGCTCCAGTCCCGTCTCCCAAATTCCCCATTGCCACGATCCCGAGGAGCCAGCCGAGCAGTTTCAATCAATCCACGCATCCATCCATCGCCGTCCCGTCTCTACCCTTGCGCCTAATGTCTTATCACGGCAGCGGAAGCGATTGGTCCAATTACAATATGCCATTGGCACATCCGTCGATGTCACCGCAGGATCCGGTCATTCCTTTTTCACCCCCTATGCAAGCGGTTCAGCAGCCATACCATTACCTATCGCCGCTGGCGCCGCATCCGTCCCAGTTGCCTCCGGCTCCAGCAGGTGTCCCTCCGGTCTCTCGTGAATGGCCTGCCAATACCGATGCTCACACCGGTCATACTCATGTGTCCAGCCGAATGCCGAAGATGGGTCGCGACCACAGCACCTCTCTGTCGCCCGTTAGGGGGCCTTTGTCAGTCAACCATCGAGACCCAGTCCGCGCTTCGCCGGTCATTCAAGATCAAGAAGTATACTCACGATCACCCGTTCCACTTCCGATTCCAACACCGGGCATGTTCCAATGTGACATCAGTTTCCTGATCTATTGCGCTCGGAAAAATAAGCAGAAGAAGACGACTTGGGTCCCCGTCAAGTCCAAAGAAAACTTGTCGATATCGTTCAACTGCCACACAATCGACGTGGCTCGCTTCAAAGTCTTGGTAACTAACACATGCGGAGCGCGCCACCCAAATCTGCCTCCGTTGATGGACCATTGTACAAATGTGTCGCAACCAACAATGCTCTGGGTGGCCCACATGGGTCGGAATCCGGCATGGCTAAAGACTGGTTCTCAATGCGTGGCCAGTGACCCGATGTTTTCTGCCTGGATGGATGCGATAATCAAGGGTGGTGTGAAGAAGGGCGGTCTCTACCTCAAGATGGCCAACCCAAGCGCGGAGCAATCACGTGCAGCCGACAACGATCTGATGGCGTCAACCGTTCGGCGTCATGAGGCTCAAACGGCGACTCTAAGGGCCGCTTTGGATAAGGCTCCGATGGCCTCGGGTTCCGCGTTGGACGGTCCTTCACAACCGCTGGCCATTGGCCAGACTCCCTTCGATCAGGATGATGATGCGGTGTGTGCACTCCTGTTCTATCCTTCTAATGACATTTGCGATGATGCTGATGGCTTTTGCCATCTGATTCTTTTGAGTGTCTAGGAAGACTCGTGTGATGAAGGTTTTGATGCGCGAAGGATAATCGAGGAGCAAATCTTCCAAAAATATGCGGGTAACACAGGGGTTGACCCAAGGCATACGGTCTACCCCCACCCTACGGATGTGAATCGCTACATTATCCTCACGTCTGGTAATGTCACATCCTGGGCTAGGGCCATTGTAAGTCTCCCTCGATTGAACCAAATGACATATGGATAATGCCCTGACAGTAGATGAAAATTGGGGGGTGGCTAGCATGGCAAGCATAAGGGGGTCAGTCTCACCACCCCACCGAGCCGTCTCAAGTTCTATAACAAGAGAACTCGTGAATCAGCACCTCTCCGTCCAGGTGACCCATCATCTGCAGCGACGCCTGACGCCTCCGCCCCGACCTCGCAGGCACTGTCCCCAGAAATGGTTGCTTCCATCGTCGACATATGCACCGAAAGAATGGCTAGGAAACGTCCCCTCTCACCTGACATGGCCACATCTGCCGTGGGGGTTGCTGGGCCCGAAGGCGAACTGCTTGAATACCTCCTATTTGCTGGGGTCGCGAACACTGAAGAGACCATGCGCGTCCTGAAACGGAACGAGGTCGACAGCTACACGATGTTTGCCGAGGGCTTCTTCACCAAGGACCAGTTGCAACAGTTAGGTTTGACGGTTGGTACACTCGCGAAGCTATGTCGAAATGTCGGCCGTTACGAGCGCAGCCGTGCTCAGGCAAGACGATGACCCGACGCAGTATGGCTCACGGGCTCCTTGGCATGCTTGTCACTTGGAGGCATCTGTCTTCTATCTTCGACAATTTAAAAATCAAATCAATTAAAAGAATTACTAAAAAAATCGCCTGTTTTTCTCCTTTTTTATGCACTATCACTATTCTGTTTGTTTCATGTTTGGCAGTTTTTTCTTTGGTCCTCCGTTGTCGTCCACTCGTTTCCACTTCCGCCCGTTATCAACTTCTAGGATCCCCCCCTACTATGTGATGTCTTTATATTTGCGCCTGCTAGCTAGGGCCGCACTGTGTTGTATGCCTTGGCAACACCCAACACCTAGTAATTGAAGCCCTGTGGGCATTGAATTTATTTGCATCGTGTCAATGATGTTCCCAAGTTGATCTTGATAGCTCAAGAAGGTAAGTCATCATAATATAGTTGCCCTCACCTGCCCGTGATGATCACCTGGCGTTGCATTATCTCATTGAAACAAAACTCAGGAAGTGGAAGCAGATGGATGGAATTCTATCATTCCCTTGTGGTGTTTCATGTTTTGGACACAATGATCATTCAGTCGTATTGATTCAGGCGTCATCAAACAGCAAGTCGCCCGAAGAGCCGCAGAGACAGACAGAGAATAAGAAAGGATAGACAACAGATCTCTGAAGGACAACAGAACTCTTTGAGATCGTCTATTCATGCAAGTAAGTAAGCCAAAGACAACTACAAAGGAAGCGATCTATCTTCTACATAGCGGGTCAACCTAGGCACTCCCTCACAAAGGAGCCGAGTGATTCCCAGCGGGAACCCCAAATTCACCAATTCGGCCTCAGATGATCGGCGGAAAAATGTCCAGTGCGTGATTCCGTTTGCTCTCAAGCGTCGGCGGGTGGCCTGGTCGGCATCCTCAATATGAGAGACCCTTAGGTAGGTCTCCATATCGACGGCCTCCATTGCCGCCGATTCAGGGCCCAACGGCGCTCGGTAGGTGTGCGCATGAACAAGCCGCGCCAGGTTTGGCCCGTGAATGACCTCGATTTCGTCCGGTTCCTCGATGGGTCGCTTCTTGGGGTTTGGGCCTTGAGTTTCGGGGCTCGGGCCAATCACGGTGGTGGTGGAGGCACCTGACGTAGACTGGTTTGCCGCGATGGTGTTGAGGCTTTCCTTGCGTTCTGATTCGGCTGGTATGCCGTCCTTGAGCCCTCCGTGGCTTGCCGCCAAAGGTAATGCCTGTTAAATCCCACCGACCGCTGAGCCAGTCAGTAACCAAACCACTTCTAACCGGTACACACATGCGCAAACTCTCCCACCTTCTTCTTGGTCGGTCTGACCCTTGACTTTGGACGAACCAACCCATCTTCGCGGCCTCCTTGATTCGCCGGGTTGTTGCCCGCATCGTTCGCCTGCGCGGAGGGATAAAACACAAAAAAGATGATGAGCATGTGTTTCGTCATTTGGATATGCCATAGCTAGCCGCACCATGAGTCCCATGGCCGGGGGCTCCCGCATGACGATCTTAAAGACAACCTTGTTAGGGTAGTTATCGTAGGCACAGGTCGCAAATCCCAGGAAAGCCAATTGCCCGGTGATCTCCGTGTTCTTTGACTTGCTGAACTTGACGTTCCCAGAGATCCATGCGTGCCAGTGAAGCGAACCAAGGTGGCGAGCGGAAGTGAGAAGGTCAAGTAAGCCGCTTTGGTACTGCCCAAGGCCAAGGTGCTCGATGACCTTGCCTTGGAAGTGGTTCCAAGTCATTGATTGCAAGTCAACCAACATAGCGGCAAGCTCGCGTGCTGGCGTGACGATGGACCATCCGTTGCTTGCGTCCACGACTTTTGCGCTAGGGAAGAGACTCTTGTGGGTGGAGTTTATGTATAATAGGTAATCAATATGGATGGATGCTTGACAAGGTGGTCTATCTATTAAGGCTTGCTCCTCGTCCATTTGGGTTTCAGGACAGAGGATTTTGGAGACAGTTGGCATAGTTGAAGAGAAAGTGATAGTATCAAACAATGGCTCGTGGGGTTGAGGATCAGAACCCAAGAGAGTGAGCACAATGGGGTAGGTTGATTCGGTGAGGAGGAACAAGAGATGGATCACCTGTTCTTATACTCACCAATGGTGGGACCACATCCGGGCCAGCCGGAAGCTACCAGACAATATGATATGCCATTCGTTGCTCAGATGACACCCTTTGACCGCGATATCAATCAAACCCAAGGGTCTCATGGCCTTCTGGAACGATCCAATGCGCAGATATGACACCGGGGAGGTTGTCAGATAAGATTTAAATGCTGCCCAGGTGCTCCCATATCCTCACTGTTCCCAGAATCATCACTGTCATCCATGAGATGAGTGGCACATTGGCTCGGTCGAGGATGGGTCCTCGAATTGGAACGTGGGCCAACTAGCGCTTAGGGAAGGCACGCGATATGAGTCCGGACGGTCATCATTGATCATAATTCAAAGAAGTCATCTTTCTCGAGGTATTACTTCATGAACAACTTGGATGAGATAGTTTAGGAGAGGAATTACAACCAATAATATAAAATCAAATAGCTAGCCAGGAGAGTAGGACAGTGTTCAGTGCAGCGGAGCGCATGTGTCAATGCGAGATAGTACAGTAGCATGTGTCAATGCGAAGACTTGGAAATGGGAGGAATAGTTCATTCGCAAAAATGAAATTCGGTCATGTCTGGACCTCCAGCATCCTCAGGGCAATCATACCCGGCGTGGTGGAACAGTTTCTGACAGAGGCGTGCTGAGGCAACTCGATAGGTAGTGGATTCGATGGTCCACTCAGGGTCAACGGACCTAGCCAAATCCTGGGAGCGACGTAGTTTGGACTTAACTTGGGAAAAGACCAACTCAATTGGGTTGAGTTCGGGGCAATAGGTAGGGAGATAAACGATGTGGACCCCAGCATTTCAACATAATCGAGCTACTCGCGCTCCACCGTGGATTCCAGCATTGTCGAGGACTAGTATGGACTTTGGACCGGGATATGGATTCATGCGAGGAAGCTGCGAGATGAGATTAATGAGTGCGAGTGTCTGGACAAATGTAGAGAGAGGGAGGAAGAGATAGAGGGACCGACCAGACAGTACTTCAAAAAATGAGCGAAATTGGTTCCCTTGACGTTCTCCTCGGTCACTGTTAGTGCGACAATCCCATCGACGCTGATTGCCGGAAGCAGGGTGAATCGCTTTGCATTCTGTTGCATGATCGTTCTATTCGCCGGTTTACCTTTTGAGGATCGAGAGAAAGTTCGCAATAAGTCCCTCGAGCAGACACATGACTCGTCTATATACGAGATAACCAATTTGCAGAAAGGGCATCAGCCAAAAAGTGCAGGAAAAGAAATTAGAGAGAGATACATACCAGTAAATACAAGGAACTCCGCCGGGACAGTTGCCATCTTTTCCACATATGCATACTTCGAGACGAGGGACTTTTTGATGTTGATCGTGTTGGCTTTCTTCAGGGTAATTTGCAGGTGTTCTACTAGCATGGAGTGGAGGCTACTCATGCTCAACAGGGTATCGGTTTGATCGTAGAGCCGCTCTCGCATCTCGTCCAAGAATAGCCCGGGTTCCAAGCGAAGTAAATCGATCATAAACGCTTGGTCCTCTGCGGTAAGTATGAGGCCAGGGCCCCTCTTCTCGTATTCCTCAGGATCTCGGATGACACGTTGGGTGTTTCGGTACAGTTGCGTCCAACGAGCAAAGGATTGCTTGGAGATCTTCTCGCCCAGAGTCTCGCAGATGAACGATTGTGAGTGAGACTGGGCAACCATGCGAACCACCGCGAGTTTGATACCTGCTGGGATGAATCGATAGGGCATTTCGGATGATTCTTGCGACGGATGAATCGGTTGGTTGGTGTGACAGGCGGAGGTCCATCCGAGTTGAGGGGGGAACTGGAGGGTCTGGAGGGTATGGGCCTGCGCCTAGAGGGGTTTGGGGAGGGAGCTTACGTACGTAGATCTCAAGTGACGCAAAGCTAGAGGGTACGCAGCCAATTCCGTGCTCAGCGGCACATGCTCCACAAGTCTGCACATCAGTTGTCGTGCTGACTGTCAGCTTCAAAATCCATGAAAATCCTGGATTTGCAGGCTCCTTACTGCATAACAAAAAATCAGAACCTCGAGAGGTTCCAAGGATTTCTGAAAAGACAATACATTTGTTGTTGTATGAGAAGAAAGGCTCCCTGCTATGTAACAAGATGTAATCTTTGGAGTTTGCATAGTTATGTTTTATATCTCTATTTATTTCTTTCAGTGAATCTGTCTAGCTCTTTGCTTGGCAGGTCACTTACATAAATACGTAATAGTGATCTTGAACAACAATCGATCCACAGCCCTGTCTCTGTGCCCTCTGATTATCCTCATTAAGCTCTAGCGAAAGCATTTTACTTTTGGAAGGTTATCTTGGGGGGGGGGGGGGTGCCAGTCGGGCTGTCAAGAGACATATTGGTGACGATGAATATTCCAAATTTGCCGGTCCTGCAGGAATCGGTGACGGCTATCGGGGGCTCATTGAAGGGCCCCTTGAGCTCGTTTAGAGGGTGGGCTGAAGTGGATCGTTGCGCAGGGCTATGAGCGCCTCCCTCTATCGAGGATTTCGCTCTCCCTACTAATGGTCATCATCGACTTCTTGATCAACGCTTCATATGGCTGGAGCCTCCAACTCCTTTTGTCCATAGTTTCTGTTTTTCCTCCTCTTCCAGGCTAGATTGGCAATCCCAATATGATCAAGATAGACATCCTGGAACTCGTCAATCAATTCAGCTTGTTCCATGAGAAACGCCCTGCCCAGACCACCTCACACTGATCTTTCTCTTGTCTTGAGTACTTGATTCCCTTCTTCTTATAAATACATTCGCTACCAAAGAGGGTCGAAGAAGAAACAAAAAAAATAAAAATAAAAACGGAATACCAAGAAAGCTGTTGAGACATACTTATGTGACAATTTATATGTCACGTTAAATGATTGAAAAAGAAGGGGAGAATGGGTATCGTTGTGAGATCATTTGGGCATTTTCAACGATTTGCCAACGCTGTGACTCGCAGAGCTGGAGCCGAATTTGAGATTGTTGTCGCGAGCGTTGAGATAGAGATATCGATCGATCAACTAAGGAGCATGAACCATCCGTTCCAAAAGTCGGTCAGTGAAAATGACAATGTAATGTGGAGATTATGTTACGGACAGGAGCTGAGGAGGAAATGCTTAACTTGGTTAGTCTCAGTTAACACTTTACTTTGGCTCGAGAGATATGAAGTCAACAACGCATCATTGAATTCCTAGATGGAGAGCATAGGAGGTTTAGCATCAGTTCAGTTGATGCACACAGAAAAGAAAAGAAAAACTATGAAGGATGCTTACGGTCATGTATTCCTTTTTGAAAGAAGCATTCTCATCGGGCTTAGGCAACGAAGCCACCAACGAAGATATCTCTCGTAACAGGCCATGGTCGATCTTAGTAGCAGTAGCAGTCGGATTTTCAGGTTCGAGGTCGGCCATCAATTGGGCTAGATAATCGACGATCGATCCGAGTTTGTTGTGCAGCATTTGGATGGCATTCCGTTGGGTGATCAAATTAGAGACGACTACGCAGCGTAAAGATCGAGGGGGAAAAAAAAAATTAGAGATCGGTTCAGTGAATGTAAGGAGATATTCGAGCTGAAATATACGAACGGCCACTCTCATTACTTCCGACGTCAGGTTTGGCCACACAATCCACTGCGATGCGTTCGGCCTCACTAGTTTGGACGTCGAAGGTGCACTTGACGAATCCTTCCCCATCGGCCCCCGTTGTGGCCTGAGTGAACTCGTAGATCTGGACCGGCAACTCCTTGGCGGCTGTAGTTGAGCCACTTGAAGAAGACGGTGTCGGTAGAAGATCGTAGAGTAAGAGGATCGGACTCGAGAGGTCCACACATTCCGACACTTGGTTCAGAATCGCTAGGTCTTTTTCTCGTGGCTCTGGCCCGTTCGTGTACCATCCCAGTAGATCTAATGTTGGAAAAACCTGTTGAACTTTTTTTTTTTTTTTTTTTGGTTCCAGGTTCGGGTATTGGGTAGAACGGAAAAACAATATCAACTTGACGTCCCTTTAACTTCTCTGTTCACTTGACTTTTTTGGCATTGCAAAAATAGAATACTGACATTGTTCTCTTCTGGTTTTCAGGAATCCATCGTTGACTTTCCCATCTGAATCAGTTAAGAGTTCGAAGCAATTGACGATTTCGATCTTTTTACCGATCTGTGTACCGATCAAAGCACCAAAGACTGATACAATTCGAAAAAAAAGAAAATTTCTCCACGGTCATTGGTCGTTTTTTTTATTGAATGAATATGGTAGATAAAGTTGAGGCGGGACTGACTGTCTATATCTTGTCTTTCAGCCTGAAGACGCGTCCTAGTGAAGTGGTCGGATATATTTAGGATGGGTAACGGATGCCTAGGAAGGTGTATGGAGATTTGATCGATTAGCGGATGATGAGGACTTCAAGAGGATGGTTGTCGATGTGCTTACAAGCTGATATCCAAATCCGAGACATTCGCTGACTGATTGATGATTCGGTTGGACTGGGTTGTTGTTGTTGTTTGAGGTTGGTCTGCCATCGAGTTGAGGTTGAGAGTAAGATGTTCTGGTTGAAGTTCGTCCAACTTAATGTGACTCAAGAGAGAGGCAGCACAACAAAATCGGGTATTTGACAACTCCACTTCATCCTCCTGCTCTTGTCTATCTACATCAACCACTCACAACACCCCCTTTCCTTCAGAAGATTTAAACCTCAAGTCATCACTTTGTCAGTCCATCCACTGTACTCTATCACTTTCTGTTTATTGCTAAATACTTCGTAAATCAAACATTTTCCCGATGGATTGACTCTTGAAATACAAAAGCAGCTGACCATGAAAAACTGACAGAGAAATAAAACAGTGACATTCTTGAAACAAAAAAAAGCAGAATTTTCAATTGGTTATGACTTGAGGAAATCAACTCTGGAAATGTAACTTTTCACACTCAAATACAGCCCAGGCTGCTGCTGCCTTGCAAACTCCCGAGTAATTGCAAGGGTAGCTTCCCCGTTGCGAGCTTTAGACCAATGCCGGTCACTGAGCAAAAGAAGGAGACCGTTGGACAAGAGTGCTCCTTGAGTGGTTGGTTGGCTCACCGTTTGACTGGCCCGGTAGTGCAGTACTGATGTAAGGAAACTCTCCAAGGACTCGGTCCTTCAGCTCATCCCTTTTAATTATCAACGACGGCTTCCTACCCCGAAACAAAGGAACAAACCAACACCTCTGCTCTCGGCAACTGCAGGGGCTGTCTACCCAATCGCCGGCTCGCCCCAGTGAGGCTCGGTATCTAAGATGGTTGAGAATGAAAGATTTCCAAATCATTACAAAAACCCTCAACAAGCTTTCCATAGAAGGCGTAAATAGTTATCCGCTTACTTTTTCAACAAGCTTCTACGTTTTTTTTTGGCCCGCCGTTGAGAACACTCACAACAACTGATAGTATCACTGCCCTTCGTATCCTTCCCTCGCTATCTCTTCTCCATAAACTTGAAAAATCATGAATCCGCTCTCAAACAACTTAAATCGCTTGTTCAGCGTAGCCTGTCTGGCCAGTTGGTCTGGGATGTTAACTGCGGAGCCTACGCTCACGGACACCTTACCTGCTAGCTTGAAGGTCTATATTGGGGGTATATGATTTTTTTCCCCTTTGCTTGTTCTGTTTTCTTTTAGGCGTGCTTTCTGAATCAATTTGCTTGTGGTGTTTTAATTTTTCTAGGTCAAGACAAGGTTGTGAATGTCTTCATTTATGATACCACTAAAAATACTTTCACCCCCAAGACAAGCTCCGATGCACTTGGTGCCAATACAACTTGGTTTCAGGTTGATAAAACTAACCAGTTCATAATCAGGTATCTTACCTTATAACTCGATTCAATTTCTATTGTGAGGCTGCACCTAACAAATTTAATTGACCACTTGGCCCGCCCAGCGCTTCCAGCGGCCATCCTCCAGACCAAGCGGGTATCTTTGCCGCCTCCGTTTCGGCTGATGGTACCTTGAAAAGGACAACCTCTATTCCATTGAATGGCAACCCACACGTATCAGCTGCATTCGACCGAGACGACACTACTGTCACCATCACAACGGGAAATGTGTAGGTCCCAACTTGACAGATTGGATATCCACACCCCTCCCTGATTTCATCTGTGAAAAGAGCTGATAGAAATTTTCATCTGCATCTCAAAATATGCTTCTCATAAGGAATGCTGAGTCGGATTTGAACAGTTATAAACTGATTCTTGATGGAACAAAAAAACCCGAACCAGAGGCAACTGTTAGGTTGCAAGCCTTCCCCGCCCCCACAGATCCGAAGGTCTTTGGTCAGTACCAAGTAGATTATAACACTCTAGATCCGTTCAAACAGTCATCCTTGCTGTGCTGATTTTCTTGTCAATATGATCATTCATCCAGCCTATGCCAGTCAAGTGAAACGCAATGTGAGCCTTTTTTGTTTATTGAGCTGAGACATCGTTGTTATTTTTCTGACCAACTTTGGGACTCTTGGATTGCTTTCAGCCAAGTGGAAATATCTATCTCATTCCATTCTCTAACTTGGACTCGATTGGCTCGCAGACGATAGCTCCGTTCACGTCCGCTCAGAATTCTGACATCGTCGTTAAATCTGGCTGTGGTCCCCAATCTCTCACATTCCCTCCTGGAGACGTATCAACAGAAACAAACATGATTTTTTACTTGCTCTGTCAAAGATCAAAGGAGATTCTTCTGATCGAAGTCCCAAACCCTACAGGATTCCCCCTCGCCCCAATCTTGCACAATTCCATAAGTACCCTAGCCTCGGGTGCCAAAGCAGAAGACTTTGACGCGACTGAAACCTTGATCACTCCCGATGGGAAATTTTTGTACACAATCAGTGTTCCAAAGGTTTCAAATGGCAAGCAGGAAAATATGTTTACAGTATTTGCTCGTGATGCAGCAACTGGAAACTTGGTGCAGACAGGCACATTCAAGACAGGCGGGAAGGGCTCCCGCAACTTCAGGTTCAGTCCTGACAAAGCTGCAAGTTTGATTATCGTCTCCAACACAGATAGCAACCTAGTCTGTGTTCACAAGAGGGACCCTCAGACAGGTGCATTGACTCAAGTTGGTTCAACCAAATTAAACTCACCAGGGTTCCCTTTATTTGTAGCTTAAAAAAACCAAATCACATTCACACTTTTTGTCCAAAAAAATGATGAGAGATCCTTCTGAAGAGAATGATGATCTGTTTGTTTTCTTTGGTTGTTATGTAACTCATTCCTTGTAAAATTTCCCGTCAGCTTCATTGATAGAGGTTTCTTTCCTTTTCATGAAATGTATCAAATTAGAATCTCTTTGTTGTACTATGCATAAATGCAATCATTTAGGACTAAAATTTTCATACTACATACTTTTTTCCAAAGTTCAACACAAAAATTGATTCAGATGATCTACAGAAATAACAGTCCTCCATTGAAGTGTGAAGCAAGTCCCAATTCTCAGGGCTAAATCACTTTTTTGGCCTGGATTGATACCTTCTTTCTGTGGAGGAATCCTCTCTGGTGAGAAGGCCTCGCCTACCGGGAGGGATTGATCCCTCTCAAGCTGGTCTAATGGTATTTAACAAGGGTCAGTCAAACTGTCAATTGTCTCCCAATATGAGGTGCAATTTTAATGCATGTGGGTGCACAGCTACCAGCCAATGATCTCCAGCAATGTATAAAGATAATTTTCCTAAGCTTAAGGCAAACATCCATCTATCTACCTACTCTTGGCTCATTCACAGAAGAAAGATATCAGAATGCCAAAATACATTGTATTGAATTTGGATGCTGCGGGATATAGTATAGGCCCTTCAAGAGAGTGGTGATAGGGCTGTCACGAGTATCAAGCGTGAAACCTATGAGCTGTGACAGCTCGTGCTTGTTGACCAGCAGGATTGAACTTTCGAGGATCAGTCGATCGTCATCGTCATCGTCATTTCAGAAATTAAGGAGCTGAAGAAACAAAAAACGTGAGTTGGGTGCATGTATCTATCTTTTCATCTTCAGTTCTGCTTACTTCCCCTTGGTCTTCTCTTCTTCTCTGTAGACTCAACCAGAAAGAAAGAAAACACTATTGTCAGTAAGTATTTCTTAACCTTTATGTCACCATTCTTCTTGGTCACTTTACTAAAAAACAGGAGCTGCTTTATTTAGCCGAACTTAGTGCGGACTGGTTATGTCGTGGTGGTGAATCGTTGTACTCGTTCAATTTCTGGATAAATGTAAGTGGAAAACATGCCCCGGAGAATCTTCTTTTCGGCACTTCAGAATAATTGTCACATACTGATGATTGCATCATTATCTTGCTCTTCAATGGTTTATGCCTTCGCCTGCCAGTCTCGGCATAATCTCCAACTCTGCACGAACAACCTCGCTTTTTTTTCGTCATGTGGGAGCAATCTCTTAGTGGTCTCATCAAGGCTCTTCGTTCGAGTAAGGACGACGAGAAACGCGTAATTCAACAAGCTTTATCAGAGATCGCACAAGAAGTCAAGTCAACCGATCTCGACCTCAAGGCTGCTGCAATCTTGAAACTCTGCTATCTCGACATGCTCGGTTATCCTCAACTGTCCTCTTACAGCTTCAACGTGGTGGAATGCATGTCAAGCAACAAGTTTTACATCAAGCAAATCGGATACCTTGCTGCTAGCCAGTCTTTCGGTCCTAATACCGAGGTTTCAATGCTTACTACAAACCTAGTCAAGAAGGTGTGTGCCCTATGGGATTTTTTTTTCTACCCTCGACCAAACAACAAATCAGTCCGGTCATTCCTACCCGCGTTTCGAAGACTTTCTCACTGAATTTTTAACAACAAAAAGTCTAAGCTCTTCTTCTTCCCTTGACTGGAGCTTTCTAGGACTTAGTATCGCATTCAAGCCAGCCAATGTCTTTTCTCAACCTAACTAATGGCAACTTTAATTCGACTGCCCCCGTCTTGTGCCTCGCCTTATCCTCCTTACCTCACTTACTCAACTCGCAAAACTCAGCAGACCTCTCCTCTGACTTAGTCTCAATGCTCAATCACTCCAAGCCAATGATCAGGAAGCGTGCTGTTACTGCAATACATACATTGGCGAGCGCAGATATGGCGCGGATGATAGAAGAACGGGGTGACTTGACTCGTGATCAATACGCTGCCTCGGCCGATCCAGCATCAAGTAAGACCATGGACATTTGGGTCGAAAGGTTCCGAGAAAAACTGTTGGATGATGACATTGGTGTCGTCAGCTCAACAGTCAATGTGATTTGTGAATTAGCATCAAAGGAACCTTGGCCCTGGCTCGAGCTGGCGGCGGAACTTTACGATTTGTTGAAGCTCAAAAAGAACAATTGGATGATGATCAAGATCGTCAAGATTGTATGTCCCCTCTTATTTGTTATCTATTCTTTGGCCCAGGTGGCGGGGTCTAATACCAGTCTTATTTTGGTTAAGTAGTTTACGGTACTCACACCAATTGAACCCAGGCTAACAAAGAAGCTACTGCCTGCGCTCAGTGATATTATCTCAACCACAAATGCCATGTCTTTACTCTATGAGTGTATCCATACGATCTTGGCGAGTGGAATGCTTACTCATGCGACCTCTGCGGAAGAAAGCTACAAACTTGCCAAAATCTGTATCGACAAACTGGCTCACTTTCTCGATCACGTCGACCAGAACTTACGATATATGGCTCTAGTCGGCTTGAATAAGCTAGTCCCTAGTCACCCAGAATTACTCGAGGGGTATTTGGAAACTATTTTAGAACTCATTCATGAAGTTGATCCTATGCTAACCATCCGGGCGCTGGATCTGCTCGAAGGTATCCAATACCATTCCCAAACACTGAAGAATACTGTCGATTACTTGGTAAACAAGCTAGAGGGACAAAAACAACACTCGACTTCCGAAGGAACGGGGCAATCAGATGCAGTCAAGGCCTTAATGTCGATTCAACTGTCCTCGAAACCTTCGCATCTTTCGCCCACACTCGCCCCTAATCACAAACTGCGAATTATCAATGTCATTATTACCATATGCTCCAAATCAGCCTATTCACACATTTCGGATTTCAATTGGTTCCTAGAAGTCTTAGTTCGTTTGATCCGTCTCTTGGTGGCTTCGCAAATCGAAGGCACACACACCGAGTCTAATTCCAGCAATACTGATGGTTCGCACTCGGTCACCCGCTTGGCCAATGTCTTAATCGATGTCTCTAGTCGAGTGAGAGACATCAGACCGTACGCTGTGAACAAGATGCTTTCTTTGCTACATGATGACACATTCTTAGATAACATTTCGAATGACTACTGCTACGTAACTGATATCGGAAGCTCGGCCGCTAATTCATATGGACCTGACAACGAAGGAGCATCCTCAGCTTCCAACCTCGTCACAGCAGCCATTTGGATATGTGGTGAATACAGTGACTCTGGATATGTGGATCTTAAAGATGTGATCTCTACTTTGTTCAAGCGTCAATTGATCCTCGATAACAGCTCGAGGTTGCCTCAAATATCTACATTTGCTTTGCACAATGGCCTTAAAGTATTTGTAAAATGGCTCAGGGAAATAGTAGACTCTTGGTATTCTGAAGCACACTCCGACGAAAGCTATGCTGAAGAGGAATTCCAAATGGCGCAAAATAACTCTCCGAAGCAATCACGTGTAGATGTTGAGCTGGGGCAGCTAAACAGGCTGGTATCTGCTATAACGGATCGAGCGCGCGACCTCACCAAGCAAAAGAACTCATGGGCATCTTCCAATTTCTTTCCGACGATTGACCATGTCCAGCTGCTGGATCGGGCAAACGAAGTGGATCGACTGATGAGCTTAATCAGTCGGGAATTAATTGGATATCGGCCTCCGACTCGTCCCCAGATGAAAGTTCCGGAGCACCAGAATGAAGCCTCTCACCATGCGATGTATGGAATGAGTTCATTTGGAGAAGCGAATCCGTTTGCGACAAGCTCCGGTAGTCCTGATGAAGGATTTCATAGATCCATGGGAGATATGAACACAAGTGTCGACTCCTCGATGACCTCTTCGAAGACAAAGCAGGTTCAGCCGCCATATTGGTACAAAGTTTTGTCGGATCTTTTTTTTGTTTATGAGTTGAAGCCGGTCGCCAATTCTGCGCAGGCGATGATTCAAGCGCCTGATGAACTGGACCTGGATTCGTGGATTCCTTACTTAAGAGACACCTCAGAACAATCTCATTCCTGTACGGGATTAGACGAATTCGGCCGCAAGATCGGCGAGGATTTTGTCAATCCTTACCAAAGTGCTGCCTCGAATGGGCCGTTCTTTGATGATCCATCCATCGATCCAAATTTCGCTCCAGATTCGTCACGCAAAAGGAGAGCCAAGAAAAAGAAGGATCCAATTGACAAAGAGGCTTTGGCAAAGGTGCGTTCTTTTCTAAAACATTTGATCCACAATAGAGCTGTTAAATCCTCCATCGTTTTGTCCATTCAGGCAAGGCAGGATCGCATCGAAAGGCAGCGAGACGATCCATTTTATATCAACACAAAGACTCGGAAAAAGCAGAAAGAAAAAGGACACGGAAACGGTCGAACGTCCACAGACTTACTAGATATCGACAGCATCCCTATTGTCAAACTCGATCTTTCGGTATCCCATGATGATCCACCCACTGCGGGCCCTTCATCTATTTCAAACAGCCACCGTCCACATCACTTACTCAAACAAACACCTTCGTCCTCTTCCTCTTTTTCTTCTGCGTCTCGAACTCCAGTCATCGATGCTGAGGGAGAAGTGCCTGATTTGAGCTACCTTCAAAAGTACAAAACCAAGAGAAAAGAAGATGGAGCACAGCAAAAACCAGTGACAGCCCTCAAAACATCCTCCAATCAACGAGAGCATCTTAATCCTAATCCTCCAATCTCTCTCACTCCAAACGACCATACTCATACTATTGTTGCTCATACTCCTGAAAGCATCAAAGTTGTCAAGAAAAAATCATCCTCCAAGAAGAAGAAAAAAACAGACAAAAATATTGTCCCAGTAATCAACTAATTCAGACTTTGTATTTCAATCCATTCCTACCCTCTTTTTTTATTGTTTCTCTTTCTTTTCAGTGATTGAAAATCCAATACAGCTCAATCTTGTTATTTCTTTTTCATCCATCCCAATCATGAGTAAATAAGTTCTAATTTCTTTTCTCCAGTTTTGTCTTTGCATTTGATCCAAATGAAGTAAATTTTAAATATGTAGACAAAGTTTTCATGCTTCAGATAATCTATCATTTGTGGATGTGCATTATGCATTTGTATTTGAAGATGTGGATTACATTCCAATAGCATATAAACATGCATTGCATAAATATGTGACTGACAACAGATGATCAGTACCCTGCAAGGAGAATCCTCTTACAAAATTCTGAGACTGTGACACCAAATTCATTTATTCACGCTTGAACCTGAATCAAAATCATCATTCAAATTTGTTTCAGACATGATTCTGAGGGACACCTTGTGGAAAACACTATTTTCTGGAGGGGGAAGGGGAACACCTCACAGAAAAAGTTTTTTTTTTTTTGCAAGGGGGAGGGGGGGACACCTTGCAGAGGGAGCCTTTTTTGCAAGGTGCCCCACTTGCAGCTTATCCCATGGTGGCTTTTCTTTATTCTCTTGTATGAGTTTCCTTGATAAGTTTTTCAACAAAGCCCACTGGTCATGCTGTGGCAGGTACCAATAAATGACAGTAAGATTGGTGCAAAAGGTGTGAAAATTGCCAATTGCGGGTGTTTTCTATGCAGATCATGGGCCACAAAGGGTGACTTTCAAAATCAAATGGTGCCTGAGGGTTTTTCATGGAATATACACCATCAAAATCAGTAGTGGTCTGGTGGCTTGCAACTAAAAACGGGAGTTGAAAATTGCTAGGTGTTTTCTGTGCAAAGCAGGGGCCAATAAGGGTGCATTTTGGAATCAAATAGCGGTTTATTGTTTTTCATGGAGTAATACATCAAAATCAGCAGTGGGCTGGCGCCTTGCAACTATCAATGACAGTGAAATTGGCATAAAGGGTGTGAAAATTGCATATTTTGGGTGTCTTCTGTACAAATCAGGGGGTCACAAAGGGTGCCTCTTGGAATAAGATGGTGCCAAAATGTATGTCACTTCATCAAAGGCAAATTTTCCTGAGATGCTCCCTTGGGGAAATACCTCTTTTGTGTGGTGCCCCCCCCCCCTCCCCTTGCGGAAAAATCTCTTTTGCAAGGTCCCTCCTCTCACAGAACAAATCTTTTTTTGTGAGGTGCACCCCTCTTGACACAAACACTTTTGCAAGATCCCAAGTCAGGAGCACCTGCTGAAGCTGGAGAGCCTTTTTGAACTGTGGTCTAGATTCAGACAGCCAAACACCACTGGGACCAGTTCTCAGCTCCATCCCTAGATTGCTAGAAGTAGGAGTGAGCGGATTGAGTGGCTCAACAAAGATGAATCAGAAATGGATGAAGCACACACACAATTTCCAGCTTTAATCACAGCAAAAGGTTCCTCTGGATCAAGATTCGAAAGTAACACATCTCATTATCACATAACGCAACCCAACGAAATCCAAAAAACTCTGATGAACTTGTAACACATCAAAAGAAAGATGAGATCCCAGAGATTGAATACATAGCCAACACACATATAGAGCCATACTTTTCAAAGGTATAAGAACAGAATCCTGTAAATCTAGAAAAAAAGAACCACATTATGAATCAATTATTTTGGTCAATAGCAGATCAAGTCGATGAAATGGGGCAAGCTAATGGCCTACCAGGAGGGGGGCTGTGACCCTTTCGACGCCTGTTTGGCGTTTCGGAACTTCCAAAGCTCTTTTCGTTCTTCGATCTCTTCTTTTAACCTCTGTATCTGAGTCGATACTTTATCCAAAACCATATTCTGTTTTTTTTTTTTTTCATCATCGAGGATTGTTTTTTGCAAAAGTCAAACCAATGTTATGAGTCAGCGATCAGATGAGGTCATCATCATCAACGAGGTTCCATCAAGACAACAATCACCAATGTACCAATGTGTTGACTTCAGTCTGAAAGTCATTCTCACGCGTCTTTTGCCATCCGAGATGTCGATCACACTTTTTCCTCATGATTAAGCATATCACACCCTCTTCAATTCCATAGTCTACTGTAGCTTCTGGATTCGAATCAACCCTTTCTGTGTTCACGTTTTCTTGGATAGGTTCTTGATTTTCAGACTCCGGGGAACGGAATAGGGCCAAAAAGCCTTCGGATGATGTCCATTGTGCCCCTGAAAATTAAAACAAACTGAGAGTAAATACGATGGCTGGCTAATTCACCCTCCCAAAACAATTTCTCTTACAATCTTTGTCGTCCCATATTAGTCGCACATCAAATCCGCACGGTGCTTCGGTACTGCTTGTGGCCGAGCTGAGGAAGCTAGTTTCCGATTTCTTCACCCCACCTCTTGCTTTTCCTCTTCCCCGACCACCGCCGCCCCTCTTTGGTTTGGTTGTTGCAGGAGCGGCAGTTGTTGACTGATCTGGGCTTGGGTCTTCTTGGATCTGAAGCGCCCTGGCGGTGGCAAGACACATGTTTTCCCATCTCGAGATCGCGTACCCTAGGTATTTTGATCGGCTCAAGGCTAATTGTACTTGACGTTCAACCGCTAGTTTTTTGGCCAGTAGCTCTTCCAACCGCTCCGTTCGCTGATTCAGTAGAATGTCGTCGAGTATAATTCCATTGGCTTGAGAACTTGATGACTCGGCCGGTTCTTCACATTCAATGATCACCACGCCTTCTGGCTTGGTGACTGCTCGTACAGAGTTCCAAAATCGTTGGTAGTCGGTTGTAGCATTATTTAGGCGATTGGCAGCGCGTTCGATACCGCACCAATCACTGCAATATTTTGAGAGCACGCGTGCCGCCAAATGACAACCAAGCCGCGCACACCTTTTTTTCCACGTTGTCTGCTTATCGGCACCTGATCAATTGTACATGGAAAACAATTAGCATCCAATTTGTGAAAGTTCAGATTGGGTTAATGTCAAATAGCAAACCAGTTTGACAGCTTGGGCAGATAAAAATGTCTACCAATTCAACTGAATCTTCCTCGATCCCCACGCAATCGTTATGGTACCAATTGTCACATCTAAATCACCTGAGATAAACAAATCAGATATTGCGGGTACTCCGAAGCTTCGGAAAAGCTAATGCGGTCATCAACCAGGGAGCTGTAGCGAGCGTACCGGTCACACGCAATCATAGTTCGACCATCGTACAATGTCCTGCAAACGCAATACAGTCGATCGTCCTCCATTTCCGACTTGCGATCGCTTTCAGATTTTTCATCCTCCTTTACATTTGATTCTTGTGGGGGTGATTCAGCCTCAGATATCGGTTCGGCAACGTCCGCTAGAATCACGGCTGGTTGATTGGCCTGGTAGGAAATCAGTGGCCTGGTCGATGTGCCTCGAATGATCGTGGTGCCATGAGAGCTATGGTAGTCAGTTGGAGCTGGTAGGGGCCGTTTGGTGCCTCGTCCTCTGCGAACCATGGGAAAGAGGTATCAGGTGATATTTTTTCGAAAGATGTATTCGTGTCGGACAGCTTGCTTGGTCAACTCGAGTGGTTTGGAGTAGAAGGGCAATCAACGGAGAGTCTTGTCTGTCCAATCAGTGACATCAGGAATCTGTGACATTCGCCAGGTGCCCCTGCTACGATCGAGCCCTATCCGACTCAAACCCAGCGGATTCTCCGCGGATTCGATCAGCTTGCTGCGGGGCTGGCAGAATGGAATCCGGCTCTCAAAGAGAAGACAACAGGAATGCCAAAAAAGCCCTTTGATTTGACAAATTGCTTCTGGCTTCAAAAACCTTCCACTCATGCACATCATGAGATTTTAGTTGTTACCACCTCCAAAGAATGAGATTTTCAGTGTCTGCTTTGAATTTTCACATTTGGATTTTTGCAGATGCTAGTTTTGTGAGCCTCAGAAACACATAAAATATGAGCTTTTTAAACATTTTTTGTAACTCAGTTCACCAGCATGTGACTGATTAAGAGCATCTCCACCGCGGTCCCTAAATCGGGTCCCTATCCCGCATTTAGGGACCGCACCCCAAAAAACACCGCCCACCGCGGTCCCCATCGTCATCCGTATTTTACGGATTTCATCCTCGGTCCCTCTCCAGACCCTGGATCCAGGGATTGGATAGGGACCAAGGATTGTGCACACACAGCACACCTCAATGTAAATGTCACACACCACACACCACAACCTCAAGTAACATCTTGCCAACACCGCACCAATACTTGCATGTCATGTTGATTTACAGACTGCCCGGTGTGGCACAACAAGTCTGCGAGTCCCTATCTGCATTCCCGAGTCCGTATTTTCAATCAATAGGGACCCGAAAATACGGACCGCGGTGGAGATGCTCTAAGTCGAGGACCTCGGAATCTTTTCTTTGGGTTCTGTACAACACTTCAGCAACATGTTATTATTGCTCAGTTGAGTTGTTGTGTCCAGAGGGTGCCCAGCAACTTCTCAATTTTATGATAAAACAGAGCAACCAGAACAAATTTCAAGTGGGGTCAGAAGCAAAAAATTCAAATGTGAACCCCACTAATGGACAATGCTTTTCTCCTGCCTCCTTCTTCAAGAAAAGGCCACCAAACACATTCCATCCTTAGATATTTTCTGGGTCTTCAAATTGCATATCTGTCAATGAGAAGAGACTACTAATAAGCTGGTCTGTTTTGTTTTTCACTGGAAACAGGTATCTTGAAAAATGGAAAAACCATTCATAGATGTAGCTTAGCTCCTAAATGGATATTAATTGCCTGTCTTGTGAAAAAATCTGGACAATATTTATAAGGAAAAGGCTGATATTTGCACATACCTCTCACACCAGAAATAGAATAACCCAGTCTTTCAAAATTCTCTCCTAGTAATTTGGGATTTTTGAATCCAGGAGAGACTCTCTTCAAGTACCCTTAAGGCTAGGACACAAGGAAAGCCAACCATAATGCTATCAGTAGCAGTAGGGTAACACAAAATTTTTGAAACTACCAGTTTTTTTTTGTAGCTGTTAGAAATAGTACACTCACACTAAGAGTGTAGATGAAAAACTGCAACCATAATTCTGAATTACCCAGTGGCAGAATTTTAGCATTTTGACTGCTAAAAGGTGCAGCTTTCCATAGTGGTGATAAGGTCACTGACACTATAGCATCACTAGATCCAAAAAAGATGGTGGCTACACCAATGTTTTGTTGCCCAAAACTCACAGTGCAGCAAAGCAGCCCAGAGCTTCCAGTCAGATTCCAATCAGGAAATTTCCTGTGAAGGTTTACTGCTAACGATGAAACCAATCCAATCCCCGGATTGGTATTTATTGGGCATTGGATCAAAAATGGACCCAACACCGGGTATCGGTAGTGGATTGATCTCCAATCCAATCCCAATTTATTGGAAAACTGGGATCAGGTGGAGCAATCCAATACCAATACCCGGTATCAGGTCCATTTTCAATCTGATCCCCAATAAATACCAATCTGGGGATGGGATTGGTTACACTTTGGATGATACCAAAGTGTTAAGCACGCGGCCTGCAGCTTTTGGGTGTCAGATTGGGATTGCAATGCAATCCTGATCCCAATCCAATACCACAGGATTGGATTGTGTTAAAATTAACAATGCATTTTGCAGACAGTTAGCAGAAAATGATTGACTTGGGCAGGATTTGAACCAGCGACCTTAGCTTGAAGCTAAGACACTATACTAGAAGTGCTGCCTTTACCAACTAGGCTACCAAATCCATGCCTGATGTGCTGATATTTAGAACACTGTGGATTACAGAATTTCAACAGATTGCTAGGGTGATCCAATCCCTCATTTTTCAATACCTGGTATTGAAAAATTGATCTGATCCAATAAATGGGCCAATACCGTATTGGATTGGATTGGTTTCACCGTTGTTACTGCCAATCTGGAATTCTTGGATAATCAGACAACTCAATTACAAAGTTTATATGGTGATTAAAATCAATTAGTTTCATCAAGTTCCCATCAGCAAACAAGACTTGGGATTTAGTTTGGAAAAATTTAAATTAAGAATTCAGTTCAGGTAAGTATAATTGTCACCCTAGACCTAACTATCTCCAGAACAGTGTTGAAACTAGTCTTGAATCATGTAATGGTATGAGGTCATCTCTGTCTCCTCAGAAAATTTAAAGTCTGGGGGCCAATACAAGTCTGTCATTACATACCATGTTACATTTCATTTTGTCAGGTGAGTAGTAACTAATAATGAGGTTGAATACTGGAGACTAATATAAGTCTATGGCTACCTTTTTTTGAGGGGTATTTTCATTTCTTATAATTTATTTACAAGTTTACTATGGGTTTGTTGACACAGTAGTGGATTTGACTTGTCAGTTGGACATTCAAGGACAAAAATTGTGGCAAATCCCAAAAGCATCTGATTTTGAAGGCTTCATAGTCAACCATGCTTGAAGCAAGCTGAAGATACATAATTCCAACCTAGTACCACCATTAATCTCAAAACAATCCCAGTTCACTAATTACATACACAAAAGCTGACATGCATCACAAGATCCTTGGTTGCTTATTCTTCTTCACAAGCTGCCAAGCCATGGACGACTTCAATTGTCATCCTTTCAAGCCATTTGGTGAAGGGACAACTAAAGCTGTAGGAGAAAGCCATGCAACAATGCGGAAGACCTCCCCTGATTTCCATTTGACTGGAGATCCAGATATTCTCAACAGATCAGATGTGAATCATCAGCTCACTTCTTCAGATTTTGATACATTTAGGAGCTCTGTATCACCAATTCAAATATCAAGAAAAAATTATCCAGTCACTTTTGTAGAAGGAAGGATACCAGATGATCCAGTCACAGGAATTCCAACAGAAATTACTGGAAATAATCCAAAATTAAGAAGGAAGTTGGGTCAGAGATTCAAACAGAAATCCTCTGATCTCATTGACAAAAGAAATAACCCTCAATCTTGGAGGCCTCCTTCTTCTCTTGATCTGAAAGAAAGGGCAGAGGTGATTAAACTGATGGGTGTTTTCATGGGACAACAAATGGAATGTGACAGCTGGGAAAGAGTCATAAGAAGGAAGCATTCACACCTCTCAACTTCAAGTTCAAGCCATGCCTCTGAAGCTACTAGTGACATAATTGAGGTCATTCAAGAAGATAAATCTTTTCCCCAAGTAATTTCAACTGATACACGCTTGCCAAGAACTCCAAGCAAACCCTTGGGGAATCTGATTGGACCCAGCCATGATTCCGTTGGTGGGGAAACTAGCCATGATAATACAATCATTTTGGCCAAAAAGGAGGTTCCAAAAAGTGATAAATTTTACAAATTGAATTTTGATAAAGAGGTCTTCACTTCTCCTCAAAGAGTCAGTGACACACTGGATAATAGCAACTTAGATAGGATTCTTATGATGTGTGAACAGCTGGGAAATCAGGAGCTGATGATGAGTGAAGAACAATTTATTGAATACCGATCAGAATTTTGGGGAAAGAATAAAGCTAAAAAAGTAGCAGATCCCACCAAAACTGTTTTTCCCACCAGAAACCCTAGGGTAACAAAAATGGCAAAAACATATGAAGCAGCATTTGAAATTTTGTTTAAAAACAGAGCAATTTGATTCCATCATCTTGAGAAGCAAGCCAATCATAAATTTGAGTTGTTGACTGAAGACATTGATTTTGGTCAACCTGAATTAATGAAGAATATTGTAGTTTGCTATTTATTCTATGTCAAGATGATCACCAAGATTCTTCCAGGACCAGATGGAAATGATAAATTGGGTGTACAACTTGTCAAAGCGTTTGAATTGGTTGAAATGATCCTCAGTTCAAGCTCTTCTCCTTATAATCCAGGATGCACAACAAATCAAAAAATTCTTTCTCAGAAAAAAAACCAAATCAAGTGTCTCTTTGGACAACTGGTTTGTTCAAGACATCAAGAATTCTATCATCGTTCAATACTTTGGGTTCTATTATTTTTTTGGATGGAAAATTATAGACCAAATTTTATTAATGAATGCAGGAAATATGATTTAAGACTTCAGAATCCTAGAACTTTTTTCAATGCTATTTTCTCTTACTCCATCAAAAATCTAACCCAAAGATTACAAAACATCTACACAAACCAATCACCATGATTACCTGGATAATCTGATCCAACTTTTCATTCCCATCAAGATCAAGTCTCCATATTTCATATGTTAATAACTTTTCAATCACTCATTTGTTTTGCCATTTTATATTTTCTCATTATGTTTTGGAGATTTGTATATCCCTCAATTGATTCTGCAGAACTTGAAAAAATTTACTATATACTCACAAGAAACAGCTGTGTGGAAGGATTGTAAGAGATTTTTGAATTAAAACTATTATTTTGTTGACCCTAACACAATGTCAAAGCTCTGCTTGAAATTGAAATATTCAGAATCAGATGTTTCAAATCCCTTGATAAGCGTGTAAACTGGTGCCAGTTTCTTAAGTTTTTCTTGGTGTAGTGGTCATTCCCTAGAGGTGGGTTTTCCAAGCAGATTGACATAGAAAACCCAAAGGGTTGGATTTTTTAGGTTTTCTCCCTCGACATTTTGGACACTGTAAGATCTTTTACAGTAATATGATTTCCCCCACTGTATACACTTCTTATCACCTTTTTAAATATTTGAGGCCCCATTTGGAAGCATCATAAATTAAGGGTAATGTTGCCTGATTAATTCAATCAAAATGGAAACAATGCGGAATATGTAATAATACTGTTACTCAGCCAATTTCAACTACTGGTTACATGAATACTAAGAACAAACTTGATATCTTAGTCTATCTTCAGCCCCAGAATATCAATATTGTGCTTTATATGGGTGAAGAGTGTAATATTGGTATTATGGTGCTCAAGGTAGCCCATTATCTCAACTTTTTTTTTTTTTCATACTGACCTTGAAATGATAGTCTGTCTTTGACAAGATAAGCTAGGACCCTACAGAGAAGCCCTGCTGGACAAAAACACATGAGACATATTCTATGTAGTAACACAACATATTTTTTTTCTCTTGTCAAAAATGATGAAAGAAAACTGAAAATTTGGTATAAGCAAATACATATGGAAAATTTCCATATTTTTTTTTTTATCCAACATCCTGAAAACGGTATTTGGTAGCTCAACTCACCCAATTGCCAAGAAGTTACCCATGAAAGAAACTTGGCAGATGAGTAGAATCAAAACCAGAACAAGGTTTTTACAGGGTACTAAACAACCCCATGTAAATGATATCTGAGATGCATTAAAACAATTCTACCATGTTATATACCAAAAGCATATTTTTGCCCAGATCAACATCAATAAATGTGGTTACCAATTAAGGGATCACCAGGGTCCTGACAAGTGCCAATTGGCTCATCCTCAAATTCCACAAAGCGCAGGACATGAGAAGGGTAAAACGACACATAAGACTGTGGGGGTAACTTTGAAACGAATTGAAATGTACAACCAGAAGAACGACAAGCAAAGCAAAAAAAAAAAAAATAGTACAGCCGTATGAGATATTTATGAGTGAATGAGGACATTGTTCATTCATCTTCTGAATCTGAGAAAAGAGGCGGAAGAGCTGGATGATAATTATGAGACTGATCAGCTGGAGAATGGGACGAAGATTCTTGTTGGGTAGACTGATCAGCCATGCAAGGAAACAGCCGCAGTGCGTCACCAGACGGATCAGCTATATGATCAGACGGAAATGCTCCGGTGCGAGGTGGAAATGGTTGAGGATGAGGTGTAAATAGTTGAGGTTGGGGTGGAAATACTGGATATTGAGGTAGAAATAGTTGAGAAGGAGACGGAAATCCTTGAGACTGAGGTGGAAATACTGGAGGACGAGATGGAAATGCTTGAGGACGAGGAGGAACTACATGAGAATGAGGCGGAAGAGCTAGCTCTTCAAGTTTTGCTAGTGATCGGATGCGAGTAGCTTCTTCCTCGCCGAGCAAGCTCTGCAGATATTTTTCTGTGATTCCTTTAATAACCTGCCGATAGAAATCTTTTTGACGTTCTTTCCATGCGCTGATCTCATGCTCCAGGGTATGATTTTTGGTGACGACGAAGGCACCAGAATCGAGAGCTTTAGTGTATGAAACCCGTGCAAGAGCGAGCTGCTTGTCCATGTGTTGACGTCTAGGTTTGGATAGCGACGGAAGTCGACGGACACTTTGGTTGAAATCTCGAAGGAATTCATTGAGTTGCGTGCAGTCTTCACATGTACAATCCACTTCAGGGCACGGGACGTCGATTGGTTCAGGCTGCGGCCCAACGTTTTTATCATAAAAGCGCTTGATAAATTGAACAGTGAGCTGTTGATAAACCGGTTGGTCGAGAGAGACTGATTGATAGCCTAGAGTCGAAATGAGGTCGTAGAGGAACGGCATCCAGATGTCGCGCATGTCTTCAGAAGAGAAGGTAGCAGATTGTGCATTGATGTTCCCAATAAAATCTTCCAATAGATTTTCTTCATCAGTGCTCATTTCACTGAGATCGGAGGCAAAACCAACCAGAGCAGCTGGAGTGACTACCAGTCCGGCTTCCGATGTTGACTTATTGCTGTCCCTGTATTCAAATCGATCCCAAGGCGGTGCAGCGACCACCTGCCCGTATGAAGTTGTCCACTTGATCTTGGCTGGGGTAATGATCTTGCATAGTTTCTTCTCGTGGTTGAAAACACGCATGCTCAGACTTCTATAAAGTTCTGTGATGGCGGCAATCGGAGGTTCTGCCACTGCTGCTTCGATCTTGAGCTGTGAAAGAAAAGCAAGTAAGAACGCCGTAGCCTCAACTTGCGGAAACCGGTCAACGATCGATATGATCCTAACCAAATTGGAGGTAAGCAGGCGTCAGGTACACTCCCGGAGTTGAGACTATGAATTTTGATTTGTCCAAAGAGTAAAACAATTACGCACAGTGTAGATTTTTCTTCCCATTCTGCATCCAGGCACAAGAGGGCAGACGCAATCAACTCCCCATCTGATACTGTGGGTCTCTTGCTGGTCTCGGGGAAATTCGAAATACATCGACGGATCATGTCCTGCACCCAGATGCTAGACTTTGGGGGCATTACGTCTGGTACAGCCGTATCACTACTGGGATTTGGTAAGTTCAGGATGCTCCTGACTCCATCAGTCATAGATCGGTAGCCTTTGAAGGATAATGTTATCCTCCTGGACGTGCAGATAAGATGAACGTTAGTTTCTGATCAGAACTTGGTATCATTAATGACTCGGGCATTGACAAACACACCATGAGGTACCCGAACTTGGGAGTGCTATCTCCTTTTGAGCCGCATCACTATTTGGATTTGACATCTTGACTATGACCTTGATCCTATCAGCCATTGATGGATAGCCCTCGATGAGTAATGGTATCCTATCGAACATGGAAATAAGATAGCCACTAGTTTCTGATTAGAGCTTGAAATCAATTCAATAATTCAGGGTTCCAGAAACATACCATGTCTCGTACTTTTCAGTACGATCTGCATCTGAAAGCGAGATAAGCCATTTCTTTGTCCAATCAAAAAAGCTCATCGTCAAACGGCCTCGATGATCGACTGCGACCGTTTGGAACAGCGTGTAGTGAGAGTATTGAAGAGCAGTCTGGAGGATATGAGCCATCTCCAGTCTTTTGTATTCTCTTGGCTTCGATATGTAGAGTGTGCACATTGCATCAAGCATGGAAGTCTGAAGTGAAGGGGCCGGACAGATATTTCCAAGGTAGCGTAGAGCCGAGTTACACTCACTGTTGCGTGAGGAATCAAATTCATCTTCGTTGTGTCTGGATCGGAATGAATATTTTGATGGCTTGGACTCAAATGCGCATCGAGCCAGATAGTCTCCAAGCCTTTTGTGCGGGACAACAACAAGGGCTGGACGGCGAAACTTGTGAGAGGCAGACTCATCGTAGCAATCTTCGCTGGGGTCATCCACATCCTCAAAGGGATCGGGGTCCAGGCAAAGGCTCAAGTCAAGCTGAAAGTCACTGGCAATGGTTTCCCCATATAATGTATGGAGCGACCTGACGGTATACGTAGTCTCTTCCACTTCGTTGAGCTCGTGAAAGCTAGCCATAGAGTCAGTGCCAGACCCGGAGTAATCGGAGTCCAATTGTTTCCTTTCATATTCCCGAGTGATGGGTCCGTAATCGTTTTTCTCTAAGACCGCCAAGAAGATTTCAAAGGGGAGTTCGCGGGAAAGACCTTTGAATAGATGAATCCGCGCCGAGTCTGTAAGGTTGAGTTCTTTGATAGACGTAGGAGGTTTACCGTATTCATAACCAAGTGGGTCGTACACATGGCTCGGCACAGTGGTCGTGTTCCGGATACCCAACTCATTGATCCATTCTTCGAGAGCATTTCGGAGTGGAACCTTTTTCAAGTCGAGTGCACTTGCAGTTGGCCGGGTTGAATCAGGCCTGGTGGCCAGATTGTAAGTTAAGACGCATCGATAGCCTGATTGGACCGGTAGAACCTCATGAGTAACGTCCGAGTACCAACAAGCAAATGATGGCCGGTTTGAATCTGAGCCTCCCAAAACCATCGGTTCGCCGTTGTATTCCACACGCACTTCACCGCCCTCGTGAGCCGATGGCAAACAAATCATCAGAGTTCCAAACATCCCTCGGGTCCTTTCAGCAGTGGCGCTGTATGTGCACCCCGCCCGTTCAAGAGAACCCCGTTGGTGTCAATCCCTAGCCTGAAATTAAGAGTATGAAAAGTTGGAAAAGAAGACTCTTACTCGGTCTTTGGTTTCACCACCGCACCCTTTCCATAGATCATCATCCCGTGGAAATCTAGTCGGATTGGCTCATTGAGGCCTAGCTTGTCTGCTGCAAGACTACTCAAGCCGACTAAAAAACCTTGCCAAGCTGGCTCGAGGAACTCCAACTGACTTGGCTTGAGTTCCCATATGTAATTACCGACAGACAGGTTATCCTCCGGCGTTTCGGTTTCGGAGCCAGAATCAGGAGCTTGATGGGCTTTGCTGATAAGCAGTTGGATCTGTTCTTCGCTCAGAGGCAGGTTGATGTCTCCAACTCCATCGACACAGATCCAAGCTGGTAGGGGTGTGTAAATCGGCTCCCAACCGGCAAATTTTCCGGTAAAGCTGATCGCTTCGACAGCCTCGTTCAAGTTGGATTTCAGTTTGACTGCGTACCGTTTATGACTAACCTCCATGATGTCTCCTCCAGGATTGTCGATGAGAATGAGATGGAGGAACAAAGTTGGTCAAGAGTAAAAAAGACCAACACAAGCAAAGTTTAAATTCACATATCCAAGTTACCCCGGGGGGTGGAAAACCCTGGAGCGGGGGAGACAAGCTTTTATCCGATAAAGAGGCCGATAAACCCCCCTTTCACGCCGGGGACGCGGCGCAGCTACAAGTGTGGGGTCGAATTGTATGACTCCTTGGCACTTTCTTCATCTCTGCTCATCAAACAACGACCATCTCCTGAAGCACCAATAATCACACATTCAGAAACATAAGGCTCGCCGTATCGGAATCATTTCTTGGACGTTTACTCATCAGGTTTATCGATGGGCGATCTCCCGGATAGTGGTACTCCTCAAGACAAGGGCGCCGCTCCTAGTAAGTCTGTATTTGTTTATGAGAACTGGGACTATGTATAAGACTTATGTATTGATAATCCCCTCTCTTTTACCTCACATTATCATGATAATATTTCAAAAAAAAAAAAACTCAACATGTGCGTTCTTACACAAAAAACCAATCGGATATTGATTAAGATGAAAGACTATTATTCGCAGCCAAGCAAAACTCGGAGGATTTATTCAAAGAAGTCGAAGAGAACGGAGGATACGATATCAATTACCAAGACAATGTTCGTATCTTTTCTACTTTACAAAAAGAAGAAAAAAAAACTCAGCTGTTCTGCACAGACACGAAGAATTGATCTTAGACTTACACGGATATTTGGATCGTTTGTATCTGTAAAAGTTAGGGAACACGGCTCTACATTATGCGTGCGTAAAACTGCTTCCACGATTTCAAATGATGACAGAGGAGGACGACGACTTGATGAATTGAGTGAGACTGATGTTGATCGATCCGGGGGAACCGATGAACAAACAGAGTGATAAGACAATCGCCACATGTGATGGAGTTGATCCTCGAACACGAAGGGGCCGATGTGGATCTACGAAATAAGGAAGGCAAGACCCCGTTGCTTTGTGCTGTTGAGATCGACCATCCGGTGGCCATGTTTGAGATCATGAGGTCTTTACTGGATGCCGGCGCCGACACGAGGTAAGCTCTGTTTTTGTCTTTAAATTCCATAAATTCAAAAACACTTTTCTCCTCGGGGGGAGGCACTATCACTGATGTCGAACTGAATTAAACTAAAAAAAAAAAAACATAAGACTCCGAGATAAGAGGACGAAAGAGTCATTGACCGATAAGTTGCGCCAGCGGATTCGGACCAGACGACAGGTCAGCGAGGGTGCGCCAGGTTCGGGCGATGAGGAAGCTCGGCTGATGAGGATAATCGAGGAGGCCGAGGCCGCCGGCCAGATCGATCAAGATGATATCGCCAGCGAGGACGACTCGTCTGGTCCTCGGGACGCGCCCTCGGATGATGAGGATGTAGCTTCTGATTGATTTATATCATTTCTTCTTCTTCTTCTTTCTCTCTTTTTTGCTTGCGGTATCTTGTTTGTCTTTGACCGGCCTCTTTCGTAGTATTACCTGTCGAGTCTCTCCTTTTCTGATGTTGTTCTTTTGTCGGTGATTCAATCGTCTTTTAACAGCCCATTCTGGTTTGTATTACTCTGTCCTCATTTCCCTACATTCCAACAAAACTAAATAAACATCCAAAGATAAGTAGAAATCGTAAAACAGAGGCAATGTGATATGTAGATAGAAAAAAAAAAACACCAAACATGGAAGTCCCATCAAATATATAACCGTGAGATGATTTCCGAATTTCTGCAAAAGAAAAATGTGAAAAGATGGAGGAGAGAAATGAAAAGATAGAAAGATGTAATAGAATAATCGTACAAAAATAAGAGAATGATGATTGTGTAGAAAAAAATTAAAGTGCAACAAGGAAACTGATTTATTTTTCGAAAGGATATGGCTGAGCAAGTATGAACAATTTGAAAACACAGGTAGAAACCCAGAGGAAGGAAGAAGAGATCAAGGGCTCTGTTTATTTTTCTGAATGGCATGAATTTGGCTAAGTTGAGAGGCTCTTTGCTGGACGAGTTGGGATTCGTCAGCCCAAAGTTGGCGTTGGAAGTGATCGTAGAGCTCGGGATAATCGATCCATCGTTCCTGGATCTCGGTCAGCAATCCGGAGGACGGGCCGAGCTGGGCCTCGATGGCCATCGCATCCGGCTCGCCCACCACTTGCGCCCCCTCACTGCTCGTCGTCGTCTTCGGAACACCCCTCGGATCGGCTAGACTCGGTCGATGGCTCGGATAATATCCTAGCGCTTTGTCGATCGTTAGGATGAGCTTCGTCATCGACGTTTTGTCCTGCATATCCCCCATCACCATCCTCTCATCAGAAAAAACCCATCTGATTTTTTTCCATTGACAAAAAAAACAACAGGGAAAGGTTCTTTACTTACTTCTACACATAAGCTTTCAAATCCTACCAAGTTAAAATCTTCGATCAACTCGATGATCGCTTTATTTAAATTCGCGAATTTAGGTGAAATTTGGTTCTCTAGCAATGGCAAAAGATAAGATAGATCTTGTACATCGGTATAAAAGTCCAACTTCAATTCTATGATCAAAACAAATAGATTAGACAACGTAACTTCCCGGTAAAAAAAATATAGAATGAGGCAAATGGATACATATGTAGAACAAGAAGAATGACTCACTGAAATCCTCGTTAAAGTGCTTCAACAGATCGATTTTGGTTAGGACGTTGACTTGAGGAAGGCCGAGATGCAACATAGTTTTGAGGTTCAAGAGGACGATTGAGATATATTTGATAGGATCGACGATGTGAGTTGAATCTGTTAATTGGACGACTGCTAACTAGAAGGAAAAGAAGAAGAAAAAGACAGATCAATTTTTTCCCTCCCAAACATGACTGCATCATCGCCGATCATGCTATGATTAGAAAGAGAGAGAGAGAGCATGTTCTCACTCTCCAATCCAGCTTCTCGAGCTTATGAAGCACGTTTTTCAAGCTCTCATGGTCGGTGGAGATCTCGACCTGGCCAGGCAAGTCCAAGACGATATAATCGATTTCCTGAGCGAGAGAGGCAGGGGAAGCTGGGCCTTTTGATGATTCAGAGGAGGATGAGGGCGAGGTGAGTTGGGAGAGTTTCTCGGCAAACCAATCGAAGTTTTTCTCGAGGAATTCGAGACAGAAGAGGATCGAGCCATTCGGCCCGAGTCGATGGAACTCCATCACTTCCTCCAGTCGGATCAAATCCCGGATGTCGATCGCCGCCTCATACGATAATTGGTCGGCTGCCGGATCAAGATTGATGACCAAGATCGGCCGGGAAATCGCCCTGAAATACTGTTTTTTTGCATTTTTTTCAACATACTGGATCAGTTTACAATGTCTTTTCTTTTGCGTAAATGTGGGTGGACAAAAAGGAGGGAGAGAAAGTTGGGATCCAGACCTGTTGTAATCCCCAGCAATAGGTCGTCTTGCCAGACCCCGGTGGGCCCACAACCGCCTGACCAAAGCCCATAGACTCGTTGATTGTTGAGGGGAAGAGACCAATGAACCTTAGTTTCTTGTCCAGAGGCTCTCGTCTACTTCACGCAAGTTCAAGTCTGATTGTCGTGTGTGGTCCCAAATCACGTTCGTTTAGTCCAGAGAATGTGTGTGTTTTGTGTAAGTGTTTCGTGTTTTTCAGAGGAACGTCGACAAGAACTTGCTCAACAACTAAAATGGCCCTTGCAACTACACATTTCTTTTTTTTTTTTTGCATAACACCACGACGACCCTTCAAAGGGGAGGCACACCATCAAGAACAAAAGCCTGTTTCTCCCTCCCCCTTCAATTGGTCATGGAGCAAAGCTGAACCTCCACATCTCACCAAGCCCTTGTCTTGACTTCCCTCTGAAGCCTGATCAATGTGATCTCTAGTTCCCTACCACAAAGCCTCAACTTGTGAACCTGAAAAAGTTGATCTCCAAAATCAGTGCTCATTAGCAAAATGATGCAGTATGTTATAAATAACAGGGTTGGAGTAAAGCTCAATCACACGTCTCTTGCTTCTCCACCATCAGCAATATATTCATCAGCAGACCATTGAATGGACCCCATTAATGATCCAGATTTCCATCTATGGATATAATACTTTTGAATTAATGAATGAAGAAAGGAGAGTGGAGGGATAAAGGAATGAAGAGAAAGCGAGAAAAAGGATGATCAGAATCCAAGAAAATCAACAAGAAGAACGAAACAAAAGCCGATCAATCAATCAACACCAAACCAACAAACAAACAAAAGAAATATGGTATCTATATTGTGTGTGTTTTTTTGTGTAGGTAAATACAGAGAAAAGCTATCGAAACTCCAGGCCAAGTTTCTCTTCTAAAGCCTTCCTGACCAGATCCTGGGTAAGATTAACTTCCTCATTAGAAAGGTTCCTATACGTGTTTTTTTTTTTTTTTCGACAGCAACAAAGATGCCGACAATCATAACCAAAATCATCAAGATATCAGTCAGCATGGACAGGCTCATATGAGAAGAAAGGGGATAACAAGAGGGAGAAGAGTCAAAGTTACCTTTCGATAGATCGATAGATGATCCGGTAACAGCGACTCTGACGGCCGGTTTTAGGATGTCTGAATTCGTCGATCTAGGACAGTTTTCAATCGATGATAAGAAAAAGAGAGAGAGAGATCAGATCACCCCGAGTTGCAAGCCGATAAACCAAGAGGCGGGGGGGGGGGGCACATACGAGTTGACTTTCCTCGACCCACGAGCCGCCGACATCACGAATGATTTCGAAGAGATCATTGGCTTCGAAGGATGACTCCGTCGTAGAAGTAGTAGTGGTAGGCGCAGGGATCCAAAAACTAAGATCCTTATAACAGCCCGGATTCTTACTAAACGGCTGGAACGTGACTACCTCGACCGGTTTTTCTTCTTCTTGTTGTTGAGGACTAGAAGAAGAAGGACTTAGAATAGCTTGGTGGAGGAATTGCTCCTTGAAGCGAGCGTCGGTCGACCAGAACAGTCGGATGTCTGGGATCGAGAAGAGCACCATAGCGATTCTCTCTAGTCCCAGTCCAAACGCCCATCCGATCTTCTCTGGGACCTCTACAGGGGAGGGGGTGGGGAATGATGAGTTGGTGGTGAGAGAAGAGGACTGTATGATGATGATTTCTGGACTGACTAGCTTCGATTAATGTTCGTTGTTGAACGACCCCACAGCCCAAGATTTCGAGCCACTTATTCTGGAACAAGACCTCGACCTCGAAGCTGGGGGAAGTGAAGGGGAAGTAGGCGGGGATCCAGCGGATCTGGACGGGCTCATTTTTCTGGTTGGGCAGTCCTGATGAGAACAGCTTGTGTTTGAAGAGCCCATAGATCACCGAGTTGATCGTCGCCTTGAGGTTCTCCGTCACGATCATGGCTTCTTCCGTCCGATGGGCGGCTTGGATCGGGTTCCCTGAATCGATTGCCGTCTGGTCCTCGATCCGGATGTTTTGATGCGATTGTTGGTAGCGTAGCTCTGCCGTCTTGAGTGCGAATTCTTCGATCTTGGTTCGAGGTAATACGCTTGCGCCTTCCATCTATAAGAAAGAAAGAGAGAGAGATCATCAGTATTGTTGTTGTTATTATTATTATGGAGGGAAGAGGAGGAGGGATGAACCTGATGGAAGACCGGGAAGTGGGAGGAGTCGATCTCGTCCCTGCGATAGACATCGGCGGCCAACAACCAGTGCTCTTTGGCGTTAGCGAAGCTCTCGATCTCATGGGCGGAGGTATGAGTTCTGAGCATGAACTGGGAGTTGAGGTAGTAGGAGTCGCCCTTCTTGCGTCCAGGATGGTCATCTGGGAAGCCGAGTTGGTCGAAGTTCTGGAACGGACTGACGACTGGATCAGGGTAGCGTAGCAGCTCGAAGCCGGCCAGCTGGCTGGCAATCGAGTCTTTGAGGATCCTGATCGGATGGCCGGCTTGCTCGTATAGGCCTTGGCTGAGTCGTGGGAGTAGTGAGCTGGGCAGGTTGGTCATCCGATCGGATGGGAAGCAGCGTGAGCCGATCCATATCTGGTCTTTGGTTGTTGATGATAGGTTCCTGGTCAGTCGATTCCTGAACATCTTCTTTGGAAAAAGATGGAGGAAGATGAGTTCTTCCTGATGGTCATCACTGTTGGCTCAACCAACTTCGAAGCACTCATCAACAAACTACTCAACAACCAACTCATTCAAATACTACCACCATCCAACATCAAACTACTCATCCAGATCGGAAACCAGCCAAAACCAGAAACAGCCAACCTCATCACCAATCACAATAACATCCAACTAGTCATCTTCAACTACTCAGACTCAATCGACCACCTACTCCAACACGCCAATCTCATCATCACCCATGCAGGTCTGTCATCATCATCACTAGCATTGAAGAAAAATATCATGCTTACCCGACCTAGGAACAAACACATGCAGGCGCTGGATCAATCCTCTCGGCCATCAATCCAATCCAACCATCCCCACTAACAACAACCCACATCCAAGTGACCCCAGAGTATACTCTAGAGATCAAGCCGACCACAACAAGACCCAAACCACGGGTGATCGTGGTCCCTAACCCAGGACTGATGGATAACCACCAGATCGATCTGGCCCAACAGATCTCTAACTTGGGATTAGCTTACTCCTGCTCAATCGAGTCTGTCCTCTCTTTTCTTTCTCTTACTTCAACATACATATATATAACTTACTATCCCTTTCGATCGCAGTCAACTCTTTCCGACTATTCAGAAAGCACTACTCGGCCCTCCCCCGCAGTCCTCCTCATCCTCCAAAGAATTAGATCCAACTCCAGGTCCGATCAAGTTCAGAAACTTGTTGGATCAACAAGTCGGATTCTCCACATCTCACACTTAGAAGATAACATAATCACTCGTCTCCCTTACGCCCTCAATCAACATTCTAGATCTTGATAGGATGAGCATTCAAGAAAAACTAAATCAAAATCCATGACTTTCCAATGTTCAAAAAAGTGAGAGAGAGACAGAGCAGAATTAATCTGATGGACGGTGCCGTTTGAAGGGCATCGATTTCTTCTCCTTTCCATCCACTTTCTTCCTCTTCTTCTCGATCGACTTATGCAATTTAGATTTGTTTTGCGAGAGTTGTTGGTATCGATTAGTGAGGATGATTTCTTTTTGTGCCTCTGAAGAAAAAAAAAAACAAGAAAGAAAAAATGAGATTGGTTTAGTATGGATATCATATATCAGTGGATGTTTAGGGGAAACTTTGAACGGACTTCTTTTGAGGTAAAAGGCGCCTTTGCCCTCTTTTCGCTTAGCATTTTCCTGACTTTTCCACTCCTTGAGGGCCTGTTTCTCCCACATGAGTTTCTGATTCTGGACGTCCTTATTCTCCTCCTTGCGGATGTGATTTTCGAGCGCCTCAAGCTGATCCGGATCGAGCTTGGAAGAGCTTTTCTTCTTCTTAGCCAAGGCGAGTGTTTGTCGCAATTGCTCCAATTCGCTCTTCCTCTGCTCTTTCAAAAACTCGAATGATCGTTCATGTAATTCGCTATTAACTTGGCCTGATAAGCTATCGAATCGAGGGTCTCGCCGTTCGATCTTCGGCACCTCGACAATCGTCCGTTTGCGGGTCACCGGCTTCTTGCTACTGATCTCGATCGGCGCATGCTTATGTGACCGCTGAGCAATCGATTTCTTGCGGGTCGAATACGCTTTCTTGATCGTCTCCTCGTCCCCAGATGACCCCATCTCATTCGTTCTCCTCGACTTTTCACTTTCTTGGGGCTTCTTCTTCTGCTTGGATGTACCTTCTTCTTCTTCTTTCTTCTCATTACTCCGCATCCCTTGCTTATTGTTTTGACGAGCTTTGATCAGTGAGCCTATTGATTGCATCTTCCGGGCTGCTTACAATCAATCATCATTTTTTTAGAAACATCATGTTCAAAGTCAGGAGAGTTCCGTCATCAGTCGAAGTGAAAGAGTGAACACGGACCTGCAGGTTCTAAAAACTGAGATACATGAAAGAAAAATGAGTATGAGATGAGCAAGAAGAGGAGAGCACAGGGCTTAGATGTTGACTATCTAACTAACCGGATCATCTGACTGATCATCACTATCATCGGAACTTGAATCCAAGTTATCCTCGAGCTCGCTCTCAGCAATATAGCGGATCGCTTTGCGTTCTTCGGCCCATTCGTCCTCAGATTCGTCCGTCAACGATCCATAGTCTTCATCATCCTCATCCTCATCTTCTTCTTCTTCTTCTGCTCCTTCGCTATTATGATCATCGCTACTGATATCTTCTTCTTCTTCTTCCGGTTGAACTTTCATCTTCAGTTTTCGTTCCTTTGAGCTTGGTCCTCCTTTGGAATGCGTTGGTTTTGCCATGTGGTCGAGTTCGGGTGACTATGAATACTGTAGGTTGGGTAAGTCAGGTTTGAAAGAAAAATCGATAAACGAGAAGTTGTGAAGAGGTTGACTTCGGTTTTGAAAAATTGGGTTTCAGATGTCCCGCCCCGTGACATGTATATGCATGCATACAATCTGTGATCCCCAGCTGTGAAACCGGCACCGGGCTCCCCTAAGGGATTATCCCAAAAACCGGGGTTCAGGGTTTTACCCCGGTCCTGAACCCTGGTGTTCAGGACTCGGGACAGGCCTCATGAAGACCCTGAATCCTCGGGGCTTTCAGGTATGGTGTTGAGAAGTAGTTGATTGGGTTTTTTCTCCCTCAGGCATGTATTGCAAGTCTTTTTTTTGTGTATGTGTATTCTTGAGAAGCAAAAAGAGAAAAGAAAAACAATGGATGACTTCCCGTCAACTTCTGCGGTGTGGAAAGTAAGGTGAGCCCTTGGAGATTTCTTGCACTTCTCCGCTCCGCAACACGTCCTACTCCGGTTTGTTGTCCGGGGTAACTTGCTTGATGGTCTTGTAGGTAGAAAAAATAACTATTTCTTTTATTGGTTTTGGTAGGCAATATTCTAACTCTCTCTATCTCTAACAATTCTTTAGGCTAATACACGATTCACTCCTAAGTCACTCTGTTTTCTGATATGTTCTGAGTCATAAGTCCCCCCCCTCATCTTTTCCCCTTCTACCCCGAACTCCACTCTTGCCAGCTATCCCACACACAAGTTTCCTCCTGCTTCCCATGCAGTCCTCCACTGTCACTCCCTCGCACTCCGCTTGTCACCCCTCCGACGCCTGCCAGTCAGCGTACTCCTCCGGCTGCCCTTTGGATCGGTCTCCCACCGCCGCTTC